TTTGCGGTCGCACCATGACTTTTCTTGCACAGTGCAAAAGCCAAAAATCATTCCAGCGACTTTGCGAACGGACCAGAACTCCCAATTTTTGTCATCCATTCCGCTGAAAGGAATTTGAATTTCAAAATCCAGACAAATTGCGACCTTTTTGAGTGTCTGTGAAATCATTATAAAGAGCACAAGTTTTGTTTCGATTCAGAGTTCCGGAAGGACGTCTTTTTATACAAAAATTAGTCTTGCAAAGAGAATAAAAGAGAGTCGACGTCTCTCACGTTATTGTATCAAATTACAATTTTGAGATCACGATGTTTACCATGAGGAAATCGAGATTTCTTTTTTGATTCACTGACTTTTATATTACTCCTCTCTTTATGACTAACGTTCCGCATTTGGGCCCAACGGTCCTTTTTTGGTCAGACGATTCGAATTTCTTAAGATTCGAGCGAATTCTTCAGACGCCCCAGACCCCGCACGGTCCACGAGGCCCGTTTCTCACCTCATTTCGGTCTCCACGTAACCAAAGTTCACGCTCGGGCTTAACGAACGGCCGCTAAAACAATGGGACGGCTTTGTCCTTTTCACCGAATTTTCGTGCACAAAATTCCGTCCAAAATCCCGCTTGTGCAAATAAAATTGCGGGTGAACAAGTTGACGGTGTGGAATTTTAGGACAGCGTTTTTTTGTCGCCACAACCGTGCTTTTGTAAATCGAACTCTATTTTTAATTAAGGTCTGCAAGGGCAAAATTTGCAGAGCTCAAAACAAAATGGGGTGTGTTATTTTGCCGTGTGTCCTAATGGGAAAAATGTCCCAAAGCGACACTCACTCATTGTCACAGTTTCATTAAATTTTTCACACATTTTGGAGATGAGTCGCATATCAATTCCTGCAGCCAAAAAGTCGCATAATTTTGTCAATTTTTGCCAAGATAGAAAACAGCTTTTACCATATATTTCCCAGTCTAGTGCGTTGATTTTTCGTGGAAACATCGTCCTCTACGGTTGAAATAACCGTGAAACTTTTAATGGAAAAATTTGCAAAAAAAAGTCATATTTTTGCCAAGTTCTCTGCTGTAAGCCGTAGGGAAAATGTATGTCACAACCGTTTATTTAGTCAATTTGTCATAGTTTAAGTCATCAACTATTGCTTGTCACTCTACAAATTCTTTAATTCCAACCTTGAGTTATAACAAACCGTGACGTTCTTTGTGACATTTTCGAGTGACATCCCGTCAAAAGAACTTCCTTTTCTTATCTTTTTTTACTGTCAGCATTATCATCAGGACCTCTTAATGCCCTTTATACGTTTATAAGTATGATACTGTGGCCCAGTTGTACAAAATTTTTTATGCTAATTAAGAAATGGCGGTCTTTGATCGGCGGTATGAACGATACAAATCGCTGTTTCTCGCTATAAATTGGACGTTAAAAACTTCTCTTTCTTGCCCTCTTTTACATCGGTGTTATGCAAATTTACCTTGTCAAACAATGATTAATCGTTGCCACTTTTTCCGGCCCGCGCCGTTTGCATAAGCGGACCGCTGAAAAAAGGGCTAGCCGCTCGCGTTTACACAAGCAAAGACTCCTTCTTCCCGAACTTTTCAAGAGTGCAAAAAAAAGGAATAAAGAAAAGGATGAATATTCGAACGGACGCCGGTTTTTGTTTCAACTGGTCCCACAATTCGCGTCATGTGCAAAATGAAGGTGCATCAGAGGTTATGTATGCATTTTTGGCCCATTATCAGTCTGTCGGGAAAATAATGAGCATTCTGTCGCATCGAAAGTCGCATTGCCGCCGAGAAAATGAATTGTGTCGCGGCGAAATCATATTGTTTTTTTACGCAGTGACATTGTGCTCGCTATTTTCCCGACAGGCTGAAAAATACTAGCCTTGTCGTGGGAGACATCTGAGCCTTCCGTTAGCCCTGATTTCCGACAAATTTGCTTTGTCATCGTCTTCTAAATCCCAAATATTATTTATTTTGAGCTCCAACTGACGTGAGATTCACAGGAACGTAGAATTTGCACCCAAACTTTAACTACAGACCAAAGTATTGAAAATAAAACATTTTACATCAATCCCCCTTACTTTTTCATCAATTCCCCCGCTTTTTACAGTCCTCCCCAAGCACCCATAAACCTATTTACAGGCATTTTTTGCACGAATTTTTTATGCTTTCATTGCTCACCTCCTCCCTGGAACCGATAACCCTTTAGGCGGTCTTGGAAATGTTTGCCAAGCCGTAAACCTTGAAAATTTGGTGGGAAACACCAATTCGGTCGGGGTTTTTGGATAGTCGTTGTTGTAAGTAATCGTTTTTTTCGTCTTTGGAAATGAAAATTTGCAAGGTATTGTGGCAAAATAATATCTTGCTAATGTCCTGATTGTGGCCAACTCGGGATATCAGTCTATCGGGAAAATAATGTGGATTTTTTGCGTCTTGGAATCGCCAATTATCCCGTTGCGATAGCCAGCCGCCTCGAGAGATTGTGCTGCGACAAATCCACATTATTTTCCCGACAGACTGATATAAAGACACACAGGACCTGTGGAATCTTTCGTATTGTATTATATATATCAACCGAATGCACAGTACACCCAACCCTATATTTTATCATGCCGTTTTGCCCACCAACACTACCGTTTACCGCTATTTAGACACCAATTGTAAGAATCTTGATATAAGTTCTCGGAAAAGTACGCAATCTTTATATGTTGTGCTAAAAAACGGCTCGTTTTCCCAACCACCCATCGTTCCTTATTATTATGCAAAAGAGGACCGAAACGCATTGTCCTCAAAGGCCGTGTTGACACAACTGTCCTTCAACATGTTAAACAATTTTCGTCGTTTGCAGTATTCAAATGTACCGGGGCGAGTTTTGTTGGGGATAAGACACCGGCCTGGGAAGCTCTTCGCTATGTTGACGTAGCATATCAGGCTGTCGGGAAAATAATGTGGATTCGTCGCGCGTTGGAATCTGCCATAATTTGGTGCGCGACAGCGACAAGGAGAGACATTTTGCTGCGACAAATCCACATTATTTTCCCTACGAACTGATATTCACCAATTTTTTGTTAAAAAATTAAATTTTGAGTGATGACTTTTGCTCTTTTGGAAATATTTTTACCATGTAATACACTGAAAAATACTGTATCCGCTCTCTGCCTTTGTTCCAAAATTTTTTGCAATCTCCAAAAATGACGTGCCAGTTTGTTTATTCGCCCCCATCGTATTCCCATTTACGAAACAAAAGATAATTGTGAAGTTTGCCACTTTCGCGAGCCTCGATGAGGCAAAGGGAGAACTCCCTTTTATCCGACGATTTCACGGCCCTCGAACTCGTGTTTCCTTCGTTCTGTAGGCATGCGTAACCAAACGGAAACGTGTATGTAAATGTTCGAAAAAATCTCTCCTTTTTTTGGGGGCATTGCCTGCAGGCCCGCTGCACGCTGATCCCGTGCATTTTCACAGACGAACGGATTGTTGTTTGGAGGGGAATTCATGCAGGAAATGGTGATAAACAACAAAAATTGGTGGGACTTTGATACTGGTCGGTTCGCAAAGTCGCTGAAGTGATTTCCTGCGACATCCGTGAGAAAACAAAAAGTTTACTTTACATTGTGCAACTTCTTGCTTTTTGCACCGTGCAATAGGTTTTTTCGGCTGTCGCTCGTACCCTAACGTGTAAAAACCTCAGGGAGCGAGGGACAGTCGAAAAAAACCTATTTCACGGTGCAAAAAGCAAGAAATTGGACAGCGCAAAGTGAACTTTTGTTTTCTCACAGTGCATGTCGCAGGAATCACTTCAGCGACTTTGCGAACCGACCAGTATCAAAGTCCCACCAAATTTTGTTGTTTATCACCATTTCCTGCATGAATTCCCCTCCAAACAACAATCCGTTCGTCTGTGAAAATGCACAAGTTCAGCTTGCAGCGGGCTGCCATAAAATACAACAGAAAGTTTTTGCTTACAAAACCCTTGTTCAAAATGCTTCGGTACTCTTTATTTCCCACTTTCTTTTTCTAAATTTTTATACTGTAATCTCGTCTTGTCATCTCCAAATTCCAAAAAAATGATTCACAAAGGCGGGTTACCCAAAACAAACTCCTTTTTTACCTCAAATCCCAACAGAAGCTCCTCGAAAAGACAATACCATGGAAGTCATGGGAAAGAGGTGATTGTCGATGTTTCTATAGGTTCTACCGCGTTCCTCGGCCCCGAGAGTATTATATTTTCCCACTGTTCCGTTCTTCTTGCAGGTTTCAAAAGAATCTTTTGAAAATGTGCAAAAAATAATTGGTTTTCGAGGACCGCTGACAAGTTGAGCGCCTGTGTTATAGTGGGGTTTTGCGGGGCTAAAGGTAAACAAGATCGTTGGAAAATTTGTTTATCGTTTTTTGCGTACTGTCTGAGTATTAGAAGGTTACAAACACCACCATCTACCTCATTCTTGGCCCCCTGCTTGCCTTCTCCATTTTCCCGCCCCCAACGCACACTTTCTGATTCTATTGGAATTTCTGATTGCAAACATGACGTCATAGGTGCAGCCTTATCCGCTTTTTTAGAATGATAACTTTCCTTGTTGGCAATGCGACAAACTCGTCATAATTTCTGGCTCAAAATCGTAATATGCAATTTAGAAATTGAATATTTCGTTGTTGGAAAGGTCAGTGCTCATCTTTCGCACCAATTTTGATTTGAATTCAAGGGAAAAGAAGACGATCTTTCTTGGTATTGTTCTATTGCGTAAATGGGCTTTTATTTCGAGGTATAAAACTGAATGCCTTTTTTGGAGGGTTTCGGATTTCAAATCGCTTAAAGGGCAAGTGGGGAATCGGTGGATTCTGGAAGAATTATCCTTAAATCATTGCTAAATTATTTTCTCACCGAGTGTTTATATTCCAAATATAGTTTGCAAACATGTTTTGCCTTTTTTTCAACCCGCCAATTCGTGATTTACGCGCTCGGTGGCCCCTTACAATCGCTTTACAAGTTCAAAATGATTAACGTCCCTAGATTTATCTTCAGAGTCATGAAAAGGAAGCCAGATATCAGCGTCATGTTCGTCCTTCTTCTCGTTGGATTAGTCTCAGCGGATTCAAAGTGAGTAAAAGAACTATCTTCAACATTGTTTTGATAAAACAAAACTTTACCAACTTCGTCATTTTCAGAGGTTTCTCCTTACTGCGGATGAGTCCCGAGCCTCGAATGTGCAAGGAATTTCTCTGTGATGACAAGTCCGTGACCACTGAGACCCTAAGCACTGTGCTGACGAACGGTGGAGAACAACAGCAATGCCGTGACTGTAGAGACTGCACAGACTCTGGATACAGGTAAGAAGACTAGAAGAATCTTTGAAAACGATATCAAGCTCTTCCGTCGAGGGTCTTTCAGTTCGGCCGGTACAAAAACAAGCTAATAATAACCGCCTTTTCAGTGTTTGCATTCAACGACGAACCCCCGGTTGTCATTGTGGACACGCCGTCCCAAACGGATGCTCCGCTGCGACCCGAGGCCAAACCGATAATGCTGGGTTCGAACTGGTCCGCTTATGTTACATGAACGGTAAGCAAATCGACGAGTGAACAACCGTGTTCGCCTAGCTGTCAAGCTTATAATTTAACTATGAAATTGAGGCTAATTCCGCTCATTTCAGCCCTCCGAACTCCTCCCAAGCCAAGTGCAACGAACGAAAAGAAAGATGTGATCGTGACAATCCAACCATTCTGGCTGGATAAATACTGGAAAGGGTTGAAACTGGACAACCTGACCCTGTTTTATGAGTTCGAAGTCAAGGTAAGTCGAGAATCATAGACTACTCTACAGTGGGGGACCTGATCCAGTGGCAAAAAACGTACAATTTTGCATCCATGAGGTATCAAAAAGTGTGGCAAAATACCTCCCTCTCCAAGTGAAAAACTTCGATTTCAAAAGCGCACCCGCTCTTTTTGTGAGGGAAAGGGCGCGCCTTTCAAAATGAAGTTTTTCCACTTGGAGGGGGAGGCATTTTGCCACATTTTTGATACTTCCAGGATGCAAAATGATACGTTTTTTTGCCACTGGATCAGGTCCTTCACTGTAGCGATTGTGATTGTAAACTAAAATAAACCTAATTCTATATTTTTCAGTCGCCCGAGAACTGTGACGGACGTGTGACAACGATCAACAAAGGCTCCAAAATCATCGGCTACCTTTGCACGCCACATCTCCAAATCGATCTGGAAGAGGAGCCCGAGGCGGCGGACAGAGCCACCGAATACGACGAATCCAGCCTGGCACCGGAAATTCAATTCGAGCGTGCTGTTTTCGATGAGGCTACAGAAGTGCGATTCTACTACCGCGTCAACGCAAAGCGGGAAAGACAGCTGAACCTGCGGAATCAGTTGGTCGACCGACCGAGACTCATCGAATCTGACCGACTCAATTTCGATCTGACCACCGATCCCGAAGACAACGCGGAGAGAAAATTGCCGGATAAGATTGTGAAGACAACAACTACGACGACCACCACGACTACTCCAACGCCGACCACAACTGTCGCTGTGAACAAGGTGAAAATCCAGGACATTCCGGATCATTCTCAACCGAAAGCCAATAAAATCGAGGAAGTGCCAAAGATGGAGAGCAAGTCGGAAGAAAACAAGGTGAGTTCGACAATTTTCACAATATATTACAGTGACGGACCTGATCCAGTGCCAAAAAACGTATCATTTTGCATCCGGGAAGCATCAAAAATGTGGTAAAATGCTTCCCTCTCCAAGTGGAAAAACTCAGATTTAAAAACTTCACTTGGAGACGGAAGCATTTTACCACATTTTCGACACATCCCGGATGCAAAATGGTACTTTTTTTCCACTGGATCAGCTCCCCCACTGTACATGACATGTTGACAGCACCCTAGATTGTTCAATGCTTACAAATACCATTTGATTTTTAGCCCCAACCAACGCCAGCACCAGCCGCCGGTACACCATCCGACTTCCTAGAGGAGCACCTAAACAATGGTGGCCAACTCAATCTGATCCTCTACGTTGGACTCGCAACTTTGATTGTATGCGTTCTAATCGTCCTACTGACCTGCTGCCTTCGACGGCATCGAATGGCCTACAAAAAGACGAATGGAGCAGCGAAAGCAACCAAACAGCACAATGGCTACGAATACAAACAGACAGCACAAGAGGCCTAGAGCTCGATTCCGGCTCGTATTACAATTTCCAAAATCAAAAACTTCAGTTGATCGATTTTCCGATTCCTCACCTTGCAATTATAACTTCTATCCTTCTCGTCGAAGGGCAGAACCTTCTCGTAGACAGTTCCTCCCAAACAAAGTCGATCGCACGATCGATTCAAGTGTCTTATCATGCCAAAATATTATCCTATTCTGTTTGTAATCTTGGAGTTCACTTTGTAATCAATGCCTTTACCACTTATTCTTCGTTTGCAATCTATTATTGAAGACAGCGGGTGTAAATATTTCGAATATTCTCGTTTTCTGTATTGTTGTTTCTTTGGGTTAATAAATCATGTCTTGAAACTCCCGATTTTGCTTCAAATCCATCAAAACCCACCATAGATATCATTCACTAATGGGAAATATAGGTAGAACATCAAATCGATTATTATTTTTATATTTTATTTAACAAACAATTATACTTAGGTAGGAATAGACAACATAAAAATCATAAATAGCAGATATATAAATTAAATCTAGAAGAACAGTCCCGAAACTCCTCCGAGATCCTGCTGTTCCTTGACGAAGATCTCAAAGTACTGGTAGATAATTGTGACAGCCAACAAGATACCAGTCCCGCTGCCGATGGCGCCTGAAAATGGGTCAATTAGTTTCTTCAAGGTCAAACCTTCATCTAAAACAAAGAAAAAAAAATAAAAAAAAACCATTATCTTACCCATGAAATCGGCTGTTACCGATAGTGCTCCAATACACAGACCACCGAAAGCGGCGGCAGTTGGGATGTATCGGTTGAGTTCCTTGATCATGGAAGTGTCTCTGTGTCCGGACATCATCATCTGTTGTTCCTTCAATTGTTTGGCAACGTCTTTGGCGGATGACCCGGAGAAGTCGATCCAGATCTTGGAGAAGAAGGCGCAAGACCCGAGCATGAAAGCAATGTAGGAGATACCGTGAATTGGGTCGGTCAGGAGAGCTCCAATCGATTCTGGTGGCGAGAGATAGTAGCAGAGACCTCCGGTGGGGTAAGATCTGTATCCACCCGAGGCATCAGACCAGGTACCGAGCAAGTTCACAATGAAGTTTCCACCGAATCTTGAGGCCAACATTTGAGAGATGACGTACAAGTTGGAGACAAGTGCAGATTGGAGGATAATAGGGATGTTGGAGGTGTAGAACAGCTTAATTGGGTAGCTGGATTGTTGTCCACGATAACGGGCAGACTTGATTGGAAGGTCAACGCGGAATCCCTGCAAAATAATGATTTGAACATGTTCCATTAAACCTAAAATACAAAAAAAAGAAAAAAAAACTCACTTGGAAGTAAATGACCACAGCGAAAACAAAGACGGTGGCCATCAAGTTCATCAAGTTGGGGAGGTTCTGCCTGTAGAAAGCTTCACGGAGAGCGCGGACCTTGTCTCCACGGGTGGCCAACAGATGGAAGAGGGCAATGACGGCACCCTCGAATTCGGTTCCACGGCCGGTATTCACAGTGGTCGGAGAGAAGGCCTTCCACACGATGGTCTCGCAGATGTTGGTGGCAATGAACAACGAGATACCCGAGCCCAATCCGTATCCTTTTTGGAGAAGTTCGTCAAGGAGAAGAACGATCAGACCAGCGACGACCAGTTGGACAACGATCAAGAGGCAGATACCGGCTCCAATTTCGTGTGGGTCTCCGTACATTCCCGACACGACGTATACGATGGCTTGACCGACAGTAATCAACATACCGAACACTAGAATTCGAAACATGAATAATATCCTGAAAACTTACATTTCTGGGCTCCGTTGAAAAGGGCACGCTCCTTAGGAGTGTCTCCGACTTCAATAATCTTTGCACCAGCCAACAATTGCATAATCATTCCGGATGTGACAATGGGAGAGATACCAAGTTCCATCAATGTTCCTCGATTTGAAGCCAAGATAACACGAAGCCAGTAGAGTGGATCAGCAGAATCCGTTGACATAATTCCTAAAAAAGAAAAATAGAATAACCGTCAAAAAATAGGTGGTTTTCAGCTTTAACTTTTATTTCTAAAACCTTATCTACGTTAAGCAAGATTACCCAACAACTCAGTTCCTCAAAGCCAAAGAAATGCCGACTATTCTCAGTATTTAGGTCATGACCTATTTAAACTTTTTTCATAGCCTATTCAACCAAAAACCTCGACAAAACTTACCGAACAATGGGATTTGACAACAGACCAAGAAGACGAACAAGGTGATGGCAGTCCATAGCATCTTTTCACGGAATTGGATCTTCCTTTGAGGTTTTGACACCTCCGGGATAAACCCGCAGAAGGGCTTGATGAACTCAAGGAACTTGACTAAAAGCAAAACACATCATGAATAATATAACAATCCACTTACTTCCCATGTTGATCAAGTTGGGCCAAGTCTGGATGTGTTTCTTCTAGGCCGGACTAACACACAAGTCTACAAACAATTATACAATAACTAGTCCACGACAGCAAATCCCGAGCGAACAACAACGCAAACAAGTTCGGACCGCTCCACGCTAATATCAGATACACAATAAAATGAGAAAAGTCCCAAGTGGGAGGGTTGTCTTGACTCTACCCCTGAACAACCACTTTATTCGTTCGTCAATTCAACGCCACAGCTAGTCGTCTTTCGTAGCTCGCCGATGCAAAATATCCAAACTCAGTGGTTTTGCGGCGAAGATCAGGGAAGCGCGCGCTTTTGAATGGGGCTTCTTCACCTGTCCCGTCGGCGAGTCCCGCCGCGAAAACAAATCTTGCCCGAATACGGTAGGAATATTCTTTTCCTTCCAATTTTTGTTGAAAATACTTTTTTCTTCGGAAGTAATGTAAAAGTTGAGGTTTTTGGAAGTTTTTTGACATCTTTGGTATTTTAGATGTCATCAATAGTTTCTCCGATGCTATTTTTTTATATTGTCGAGGTTTTTCATATTTTTAGTCTCATTTTACTTGGTTTTGAGGAAGTTTATTGTTGTTTCTGATTTCAGGGTAATAATGGGCTCTTTGATATTGCCACAGAACTTCCAACACATTATTCGTGTTCTCAACACCAACATTGATGGTAACCGCAAGGTTCCATTCGCCCTGACCGCCATCAAGGGTGTTGGTCGTCGTTTCTCGACTCTCTGCTGCCGTAAGGCCGGTGTCAACCTCAACAAACGGGCTGGTGAGCTGTCCGAAGAGGAGTTGGAGAAGGTGACTACTGTTTTGTTGAACCCCACCCAATACAAGATCCCCAACTGGTTCCTGAACAGACAAAAGGACATCAAGGATGGTAAATACACCCAAGTGAGTTCATTTCCGTTTTGTTCTGTTGGTTTTTAGGTATCAACAGTGTTTGCTGGTAATGGCTGTTCTTATGTTATATTATACTTGATGTAATATACCTAAATTTTGCTCAAAATTTCCAAATGGATAGTTTATCCTCCATTTTTTCAATTTGAAGGGGCCTATTTTTGATTCCTGCTCTTTTTGGCAGCTTTTCCGCATCTGTATTTGATTTGACATCGGGTTTTGACCAATCTTCTTTCAGGTTATCTCCACTGCCCTCGAATCCAAGCTCCGTGACGATTTGGAACGCATGAAGAAGATCCGTCTTCACCGTGGTCTCCGTCACTACTGGGGTCTCCGTGTTCGCGGTCAGCACACCAAGACCACCGGCCGTAAGGGACGTACTGTCGGTGTGTCCAAGAAGAAGGGAGGATAAGTCGATCTGGCGCTGGCTTCAGGGTTTCCCCATCCTCAAGCCATTGTTTTATTGTTTTTTATATTGTTCATGTTAATGAGAATAACAAAAATAAACTTTTTGTTATATTATTCATGTTGAATATTTCACGAATGTTTTAGAAATTAATAATTTATTCGTTCTTCGAATGTTTTGGTTTAGAATCCAGTTTCACATGTAAAAATGCACAAACGTGGGCAAAACAGTAGCCTAACAATAATAAATGCAAAAGAACAAAGCCTTCATTGTATGGATGGACGTCAAGTCTGATAAGTTTGTTGAATCCTTTGACTAAAACGTTCTTGAAGATGTTTAGACCGTTATCTTTATGATCCAGGAAGAAGAAGGCCCCAAAGATCCCAGGAATTACGTTGGTAATGCAACAAACAGCAGACAATCGGGCAAAGTGCGCTTCTCCAACCGCAAATCTTAACCTCCTGCCCAAGTTCGAGTTGTAAAATGCCAATCCGACCCTTTCGATGACCAATTCAACGGCCGACAGTAGCACCCAATAGCCATAATTCGCATTCAGTCCATGCCAACATAACACAAATCCGAACACAACGACCATAGCCACAAATCGTCGGACGATCAAGGTGATCGTGTCTCCAGTGCCCAGAAACGGGATGTAGAGTTGGTGTTTGAGGAATTGATAGAGCCCCCGATCAAAGTAGCGCCACATTCGCGAGTACTTGGTCACTCGGGAGATGCAGATGGCCGATTCGGGAGGGGTGATTCCATCGATGTGGGCGAAGAGACGGGCAATTCCGAAGATGACCACATACTTTGTGTGGAAGTATTGGCCGGCCAGGTAAGCGATGGAGACCACTGAAAAATAATAGTAAAATCATCTAAGGGCTTTACAAAATTTAATTTAAAAATGACAAAACGCTCCTCTAATCATCTCTCTTATACCGTTAAACATTCAAAAACAGTCTCAAAAAGCTCAAAAACAAAACTCTTTTATGTTCCAACCACTGCAGTCGTGTTTTATCAGCCCCCACGCACCGGATTGACTTGTAGTCCGAAGGGAGACGGCGGGATTTTTAATTGACAGATCTCAAACTAGAACGGCTCCTGTTCATTCCTTTCGTTGTGGTCGTTCCGCCGTCCGTCCTTCGCAAACTACACACAAACTTATGCGGGTGGCCCAAAAAGTCCGCTACCTGCATGTGATCTCGGTTGAAGGAAGAGAAGGTTCTTTATTTTTTTTCACCGAGCAATCAGTAGGGATTACGGTAAGGGGTTTCCCGCACAGTGCAAAAAAAGATTTTTTGGCGTTTGCACAGTGCGAAAAAAGTCAGGGTGCGAGCGACAGCCGAAAAAGCCTATTGCACGGTCCAAAAAGCAAAAAATTGCACAGTGCAAAGAAAAGTTTTGTTTTCGCACTGTGCATGTCGCCGATTTCAGTCCGACTTTTTCGAATATTTTTTTTTGGCTTGGAACCGCCCACCATCGCTTTGCGACGGCTAGTCGCAACTGTAAATTTCGTCCGCGACACGATCTGCCACTATTTTCCCGACAAACTGATGCATAGTTTCTAACAAAATAAGGAGGAAGGTAAAATACGTTGAATTTTTTCTCATCCGATGTAAAATTGTTTTGTCATCAAGTCCAGATCGCACAAAAACAAAAAAATCTCAAAATTTACCCTGATAATTATGCAATCCCGTCATTGTAGTGAACGGAGCATTGAAGAATGCGTTGAATCGAAGGAAATGAAGAGCCAATTCAACCACTCCGAACCACAAACCCAGTCGGAGAGCCAAAATTACCATCTCCTTCGGCTGGAAGGGCTTTTGATTGTGTCGTTGGTTCTTGAAGTCATCGAAAAGCACAATCAATGTGGAGCAAAATGGTGGATACAGGAGGTATTCGATGTAGAGGAGGACAAGATACGGGTTGATTGCGACCTCCTTGTTTCGACATAGGTAAATGTTGAAGTTGAGTATCTGAAATAAGGTAACACACGATTTAAAAGATAGATGAAATGTCGCGAAATTATCGACACTTTTTCTCGCCCGCAATAGTTGCTTTTTCTCGAAAAGGAAGAAGAAAGATAAGAAAACGCCTTTTATCGGATAGTGACATTTCGTTTTGAACGAATCACCAAAAAGGGGCGGGAAATTTTTTTCTTCTATTTTGGATTGACGCGTAACAAAACTTCGCTTGGAACTTACTTTTACCGCCGTGTAGACGTACATCTGATACTCTCGGTAATACACATCCGGCTGCATGGAATACGGTAGGTATTGAGGGCCCGAATTCAGCACAAAAAGAATGCATCCAACCCATGCGATGAGTTCGAGGCGAAAGTAGGCAACCAATCCCGTTATAACCAGTGCCAATGCGGTGCAAATGAAGAAACATGACCAGGAATGGATCTGCACCATCATTGCTGTCCAGACGATCACCAGAAACAGCGATTCCTGCGTCCGACTTGGGATCTTCTGAGCCAAACGGAAACAAATGGCATGAATGATGTAGGTCTTGAGAATGGTGAGGAAAGAGGCGCGAAACAAAAGCCATTCCGTGTCAGAATCGTCCACAATGAAGTCTGAGTGGTATCTGAAAAGGGAGTTTGTTACAATAGGATAACAAATTTCGTTGCTGAATAAAGTTGAGGTACTGTCGGAGTTGGACGATTGGGAAAACCGAAAAGTATTATTTTTCTTCGATGCAAGTGTCGAAGTTAGGACAATCAAGGGTGCTGATTTCGAAAATGACGTTCATTTTTTTGATCCTTACTTTTTTCCTTAAGCAGTACTATAAAGTAGTAATTTTTTGAATTTTTTTCACAAATACTCGATTTGGGGGGTTTCGATGGTGCTGATTTCGAAAATCTTATTCGTTTTTTCTGATTTGAAAGCAGCACCATCGAAAACCCCCAAATCGAGTATTCGTGAAAAAAAATCAAAAAATTACTGCTTTACAGTACTACTTAAAGAAAAAAGTAACCATCAAAAAAATGAATGTCATTTTCGAAATCAGCACCCTCGATTATCCTAATTTCGACATTTGCATCGAAGAAAAATAATACTTTTCGGTTTCCTCAGTCGTCCCAGTTCCGTATACTATAACTCATGCACAAAGAACTTACGGACTTTCCCGCAAAGCACTGTTAAACCACAAGCCAACCTGTGAGGATGCTGTGTAGGTCAACACAACAGCTATGAGCGAATGCGCAATCCAGACGGCAAAATAAAAGTAAAGTTCTGGGCCCGAGATCGGATAATCATCATGATTTATCCGTTTAGTCGCCTAAAATCAAACAAAAAATCAGTGGGCAACAGTTCAAATTCCCCAGAAAACATCCACAACCATCTAGCAGATCAAAAACTTTGAAAAATCCTTACCATTTCGGGGGTTTTACCTCTTCACTCAACTGTAATATAAGTTGAGGTCATGGAGCGGGCGGTGCGCGCTGCTGGCCTTCACTCCCCGCGCTTTCGGATCCAATACGGGGTCAGTGAAGGTTATTCGCGGCGATCTTCGTTTACATAACTCGTCCTGCAAGAGGATTTCACATCAAAACTTTAATGGCCTAATCGAAAATTTTTTTTCAGGGAGTGGTCGATTTAATGGTCGAGTGGAGGGCGCAATGATAAGCAGGAAGCTTTGGAAGGGAGATTAGTCAGAAACGGAGCAAAATTCAAGGCAAGACGGCAGAAAATTTTTCGTCGTTTGGCCGGATTGTCTGCAAAAAATGGCACTTTTGGTTCTGTTGCGCATCATTTTGCAGGACGAGGCCGAAAAGGCTTGAATGTAAGAGCAAAGTGATCACATAGATGTTGCCTACACTCCATGAAAGCCCAAAGTTTCGAAGAAACTTCAAGACAAAAAAAATTTTTTACATCACCCACGTGCTATTGGGCAATATTAGATGAGCACCTTTTTGCATGGATTGACGTTTTTTGAAACGAAACTTGGAGCAGTCACTGACGTCGTCATGGATCTGAGGAGTGCCTGGAGACACGCAGCGCCCTCTCTGACGAACTTTTTCATCTTCCCGCTAAATAGGCCACTATTGGCATTTTCATAAAGTTCATGGACGTTTTTTCGCTTTCGCACAGTGCATCTTGAACCTTTGTCGCCAACGCACTGTGCATTTTTGCCTGCGCGCACCGTGCAAACCTCAAAACAGCCGATTGCACTGTGCACATTTTTGAGCCAAATCGCAGCGGCGCAGTTGAGGAAAGCTTACGTCGCAGCAATATTCCAAATGCACAGTGCAAACCCCAAAAAAGGTGAGTGCACGGTGCAAAAAATCGGGGATTTTTGTGCACGGTGCGGACCGCGACAAATTTTCGTAAAGTGCATGGACATGTGTCGGGCCCCGCACCGTGCAAAAACCCCCATCATGCACAGTGCATTCACCTTTTTTTGCACTGTGCGGCGAAGTATCGCTGGACGTAAGCAAGTTTCAACCACGTCGCTGCGTCGGCGCCGGACTCGTCCCGTTCGAAAAGTCGCTGGAGTGATTTTTGCGACACGCACTGTGCGAAAACAAAAGTGCACCTTGCACTGTGCAATTTTTTGCTTTTTGCACGGTGCAATAAGCTTTTTTCCGACTGTCGCTTTCTTTGCGATTTGCGCGGTGCAAAAAGGAAAAAAATGCAGTGTGCGATGAGCATGGGAAAAGATTCGCAATGCACTGTGCGAAAGCGAAAAAATGCCTATGCACTTTATGAAAAAATAGCAAAAAAGCTCTGTTCTATTCACTCGTCCGAATCTTTGGATTTGCTTCTTTATTAAAAATTATCAATGAATAACAACGAATTCAACAAATCGACGATGTTGTGTCGGCGTCTCTTTTGGATGACATTTCGAGACAGAAGCAAATCACTTTTTTTGGTTTTCTTTTTTTTTCTGGATGGAGAAGACAGTGAGTAAAGGGAGAGATCGAGGAGGTGGCTCTACGAGGACGGGGCTGGGACGAGCAGTACAGCAAAAGCGACTACTGTCATCCCAAGAAAAATTGATTCCCAATCCAACTCTACCAGTAAGAAGAGGCGACAACGACAGACCCGAGATATGATGTCACAAGAAGACTATACTAAATCGTTGTTCAGACAAAAGAATGAGAGAGGGAGAGAGGAAGGGATGTGGTTTGCATCAGATCCTGAGATTTCGAGCATGGACTATGATCAAGACCTAGGGTGATTAAAAGTGCGGGGGCTCTCTACAGCGGCGGACCCGATCCAGCGGCAAAAAACGTACCATTTTGCATCCGGGAAACATCAAAAATGTGGCAAAATGCTTCCTTCTCCAAGTGAAAAAACTCCGATTTCAAAAAACGGAGTTTTTTCACTTGGAGAGGGAAGCATTTTGCCACATTTTTGATACTTCCCGGAAGCAAAATGGTACGTTTTTTGCCACTGGATCAGGTCCCCACTGTAGTACTCGATGCAGAAATTAATTACAGAGATCGGGGAGGAGGGGTTTCTTATCGTTTGAGGGCTCAAAAGAACCACTAATTCCGCCGTTCAAACAACTCGAAGTCCAACTACATTACAGAAGAGAAATGCGGAAACGAAGAAGATTGAGTCATGTTCAACATGAGGAGCACATCCGCCCCATGTCCCAACTGCTCCCACATGACTTGAACCGAAAAGAAATGGACTTTAAATTAAAAACCGAGGACCCGTTTTGGCTCTGGGAACCGTTTCGTGGACTAATTACACAAAAAATAAATCATGGTTAAGATAATATCGTTGAGTGAAGTGAAGAAAAAAAATTAAGATAATCGGGGGCCTAGCACGGTAAAATTGACGAATAGATAGTGTTTTAATGGGTCTTGCACCGAATATGCGCCATATCCGATGAAGAATTGCGAGGTGAATTTGGTTCGTATCCAAGACAGTCAAGGTTCTTTAACCTTATAACAAGACAGACCAACTGTTGAACGTCGGAGGGGGAGACACTTTATCAAACGAACAAACACTGAATTTACAGTTCAATTATGGTAACGGTTCTAGTAAATCTACGGCTAAAGTCAACAGTTGGAGACAATAAATTACATCAAAATAGGTGAGAATTGTAAAACAAACAATATGCATTCGTCCGAACAGTGTTTGTGTGTGCGCTCATGCTAGGCGGGGACATATGTTCACATGTCATCAACAAATTGGAACTCGGCCACATACAGTTTGGGGTCCACTTCCTTGGGGATGGGCTCAATTTTGGTCTTGAGTTCCTTTTCGATCTTGCGGAGGTTGTGGCGATCGTCGTACGTGACCAGGTTGATGGCAATACCAAGATGTCCGAAACGGCCCGAACTAAATTTCAATCCACTAATAATTTGAAGCCGACTTACCGCCCAATTCTGTGAAGGTACGTCTCCGAGTTTCTTGGGAAGTCAAAGTTGATTACAACATTGACTGCCTGAATGTCGATACCACGAGTCAAGAGGTCCGAGCAGACCAAGTTGCGGCAGTGGCCTTGGCGGAAGTCGTGGAAGACGCGGTTTCGATGTTGTTGGGCCATTCGCGAGTGAATGTAGAAGCAAGAGTAGCCGAGCTCGGTGATTTTCTTCGCCAGAAGCTCGACACGTTGTGTGGAGTTGCAGAAGATGATAGATTGGTTGATTTGGAGCTTGCGGAACAGGGTGTTCAAACAGTGAACCTAAAAACAGAAAAAAAATTATACTCAATACCAGGTATCAAGAATAATATAAAAAATCGCTTACCTTTTGTTTCTCCTGTACGAATGCGTAGAACTGGGTGACACCCAGCAAAGTGAGCTCCTCCATGAGGTTCACTTCATACGGTTTCTTCATGTGCTTGTTCATGAAGGTGGCCACGGTGCGCGGGAAGGTGGCCGAGTACAGCATAATTTGTCGGTCAGCGGGCAGGTGAGCGACGAGACGGTCAAGCATGGACTGGAAGTCCTGGGAGAGGAGTTTATCAGCTTCATCGAGGATCAGCATCTTGCAGTTCTCCATCTTCGCCACACCCTTGTCCATCAAATCGAGGATACGGCCGGGAGTGGCAATAATCAAGTGCACAACACCGTTTAATCGCATCAGATCATCACGAAGGTCGGTTCCACCGGTCGTTACCATCACCTAAAAGATGAACTCAGGTTATGAAGAAGCCATAAAATACTTCTGGTCTAGTATAAAAATTTTTTCGTCTAGTATAACATTCAACAAGGGCATAAGGAAAGCTTACCTTCAAACTCAAATGTTTGCTCAGCTCAACGCAGATTTGTGAGGTTTGTAGAGCTAATTCACGGGTCGGGACAATGATCAGGCCTTGGATTGCGTTAATGGAACTGTCAATCTTCTCAATGCAGGGAATACAATAAGCACCGGTTTTCCCCGTTCCGTTCTTAGCGCGAGCAAGAATGTCCTGGCCTGAAAATGGAACAATAAGCCTTGTTCTTCAAGTTATGACAGTCAACGAATTCAATTCGTCTTTCTGCGGACAACTTTTAAAGATTTGAGGATGACGAACGGTCTAAAACAATGTCCGAAAAATCACTCATCCTTCAATGCCACAATACTCCTAAAATGAAGAAAAAAACAATCCGAAAGGTACCTACCAGACAACGCGTAGGCAATGGAGGCTTCCTGAATGGGCGAGGGACGCTCCCATCCCTTCTCAAAGATCCCCTTCAACAAGTTGCGCGACAGCCCGAATTGTTCGAACTCGATACCCTTGGTCTCCGTCACATCAGCGGTGCGAAAGCGACGGTCCCGTTCGGGCAATACCAGCGAGGACTTCCAACTCTCGCCGTCGACGGCGGCCTTCAAATCGTTGTCGGACATGGTTGGCGTCTACGAAAACAAAACTAACTACTCTTAAAATACAAAAATAGACGCTTTCGACCGGTTTCTTAGCAGTGGTATGGCTGGAACTGAATGCCAATTGTCGTGTGATCAGATAAGTCGTTGAAATTGTGCGAAAACTGCAAATACAACAAAATTTTATATTGAACATGACCGTGAGCGTAAAACTCTTCCAAACACGCATTGCAAAGCTATTTTTAAGGTTCCAAAAACAACGGAAACACGTAAAACAAGATTAACAAGTTCAGTCAAAATGAATTGTAAAAGCAATTCTCCCCATGCAATCCTCATCTGACATATTCAACTATGTGATCCGAATTCCCCTACATCTCGACAAAAACCCTCTCGCGTGACTGCTAAAATCCTATAAAAGTCAAAAGACAGCCTCATGAATTCATTTCCTTCTCCTCCAATCAATTTACCTGTCAAAACGACCTGCTTTCACCGGCAAACAGACAATAACCTTTTTTCCAACGCCTAGTGTAATGTCGCGAAGCCAAAATTCTCGGGAAATCCGGGATCTTGACGAGTCGAACCACTAAAATGGAGGAGAATGTTGGATCGAGAAAGGAAAGCGAACAAATGGAAGCGAGAGCCGGATGGGGCATTTCGTCGCGTCTGTATGACGAAGTGTCACTATTGATTGGTACGGAATTTACTGTATTTTTTTTATAAAAAGTAGGAAATCGAGTCGAATTTAGGCGACAATGCTTATATTTTTTCATTAAAATTAATAAAAAAATTGAGATTTATTAAGAAAAGTTGTCATAGTTAAGTTATAGTCATGTAATTCAAATAATTAATACCTAATATTAATTCCGCTACGAAAAAACAAAGAGAGCCATAATCAAGGGTGAAGAACGTTTGGGGTTTGTACTATAATACCCAGTATTGCGCTGCCGAAAACTTGGGATTTGTCGTGGAGGCGCTGAGCGGCGTCTCCTTGCTGTTGGAACGCTCCCAGGACTTGGAGTTGGCTGGGGTTGAGCGCTCCGCCGAGCCGGATGTGGAGGGCGTTGTGGTCATGAATTTGGTGTCTGGAATTTTGTGGACAACATAAATTTTTTCACAAAAATTTTAAACATATTAAGCATGGTTCTTACTCAATTTCTCCGACATTGTGAGCGGTCGATCTTCCACTCGTGGAGTCTGTGTGGTCCTGCCGCCAAACTGCCCAAACTGCCCAACACTCGATGGTCGGCCAACATTGGCGGGGGTCGTTGTGACAATTCTATTGTTATTGACATTAATCGGCAGCGAAATTGGGCCAAACCCGAACGAATTTCCGTTTTCCGGACCAAAATTGTTGTTGTAGTTGGCGTTGAATTTGAGCATGTTTGGGACGAGCTGGCCCAGCGTCTGTTGCCAGTTCACAAACCCGTTTTGATTGGGATTTTCATACTTCAGATTGGACTGTTCGGCGAACACACTCGGCTGGGATTGGCGGTTGGTTTGGAAGCTGGCGCTGAACTCGCGGGCATGCGCGAAATTCATTTTCATCGACTCGCTGAATCGCACCACCGGGTCGGCTTGGCGCTTCTCGATGCCGGGCTTGGCCATGAGCAGGGGCAGGCATGCACACAAGCAGAGAAGCGACCAGCTTGGCATCTGAAATGGGCTAGTGAAGTTGGACGAATCGAAAATGGGGATGATTTTTGTTTCACAAGTAAGTTATAAGGTCTATACGGGGGTTTGAAAAAAAAATTGAAGTGAACAAGAGAGATGCTGATGATATATCAGAAGCGAAAGCCTTTGTTCTACTGTAGAGGGTGATATTTCCACAAAAAACACTAATTTTTTCTGCGCCAGGCTATCAAATATCTCCAAAAAAGATCGTTGAATATCTCGGCTGCCCCTGCAAAGCGCGAGCTAAAATTTTCAGGGATTGATGTGTGGTCTATTCCCAAAGTATGTGCAAAATTTGAAGAAAATCTGAGGGTCGCACTTTGGGTACCTTTCCTGTAAATAAAACCTGCCAAAAATGACAATAACAGTTCAAAAAATGTTGCTCAGTATATAAGCAGTGCAAAAATATATGTAAAAATAAATGTCGGGCCATAAAACTGCAATAAAAAATTCGAAAAAACCGCCATCCGGACATCGGCGGTAAGCGACTCACGAACAACAAGGAAAACAAAAACAATGACCGCTGAAACAAGCGCGACGCCATGATATACCCTAATCAAATACGACCAATACGATTGTGAAAGCTAGCGGGGAAAAGCCGGCGGGTAAACACGCGTCCGGGCCTGACCGAAACGAGGAACGATTGCGCATCGCATGCGTCGCATTTATACGAGAGCCGGAGGCGTGGTAGCCGCGACGCCTCCAGAAACACACACACACACACACACCGAACCCGAATAAACAGGAGGATCGTGCTGTGACGTTCGGGCCATGGGCAATTTAAAGACCATCGTCCGGTTGAAATACGAGCGGATTTGCACGCAGGCCCTCCACCGAGGGCGGCGGTCGATGGATGAATGGAGGCGAGGGGGTTTCGGAAAAGAGCGTGAAGTTGTGAGAGACGCCAGGAATTTTAATCAATTTGCTGATTTACGAAAAATACAATGTAAAATGAAGAGAGTGGGAGAAGGTAATCGAAGCTACAATGATGATTTCTAATGGCTAGCCAGAGGGGATAGAAAATCAGAAGCGATTTTATAAAAAATATAGCGTTTCGAAGTTTCTCGAAAAACCTGAGAAATATCGAGCAATTCGGAGAGATCACCAAGAAAAATAGAGCCATCAGGGAGGCTCAGAAGAGGTTGAGAATACAACAATGGGATTAGCGGCTGATCCGTCCATTAGCAGGCTCAGACACATTTCCGCAAAGAATAGAAGCGAACGAAATGATCCCTTTGGATCATTACATGTAGTCTGCTGCCCACACAACTTTGCAAGCAGTTAGAAGAACCACAGAGATTCTGCAGCCATGTTGGGAAATCAGCCAACATTTGATGACAATAGGAAATTCAAACGATGGACTTGGCATTTAGATGTTGCAAATTAAGTTTCCAGGTGTGTAAATGGCTTGAAGAGTTAGCATAAGGTTTATCAGGAATTTTTGAATGTTCAGAAAGCATTTTTTTTTTTGAAAACAAACATCCATAACTTCGAAAACGGTGGTTGAATTCAACAGATTTGTATACTCATCAATACCAGGGAGCTGTCAATGCAAAATTTCTATCATATTGGGTTGATGCATAATTATCCGGCGTTTATATTGGCGCGGTTTTTGTTAATGAAAATTGGCGTTTAGTTAATTTTTTTCATAAAAATAGTCTTCTCTATTTAGTTAATAAAAATGCGTGTCGAAAACCATCGTGGTATTTGCCATATTATGCTCTACCACTTCGAGAAGGGTTGGAAGGCAGCACAGTCATCTCGCGATCCCAACGAACTTTTCGGCGAAGGAACAATAGGTGAAAGTCAGTGTACGGATGGAAAATGGTAATTCCAATGGGGGAATGTCGGCTGCCAGCTAAGTGATTGCCAGATGTCGCGACGCTAGGCTCTTGAGAAGCTGAGATCCGAATAAGCATCGAGTATTTTGCATAATGTCATACTCTTGTTTGGAAGCCTCGGAATGACTTATTAAATGTATACATTTTAGCAGGGCCAGTGGCATTCCGTACGGGTGGCTGACTGTTCCGAGGATGCAGATGTAATTGGCTAGGTGTGGATTGATTTTCGAACCGCCTGCAAGTATGGTGCACCATGGAGAAGTGAGCTTTCAGCGTCTCAGAGTTGAGTATTCAAGATGGACTTGTGCTATGATAAAATCAAGATCAAAAGCCTCCTTTGTGGCCATATCAGCCTGTCGGGAAAATAATGAGTCCACTGTGAAATGAATTGTCTTGCGACAAAATTGAATAGTACTTTTCACTTCACCAGACCTTTTCTTGCAACTGCCGCAGCCACATTGTGCTCATTATTTTCCCGACAGATTGATATGGCAAAAAATGCAATTTGCTTCATATTTTGTTTGTCATCAGTGTCCGGTCGGTGTTCAGATTTTGATAAATTTGTAGCGACAACTAAATCCATCTTTTCCTCCTATGAAATACAGTGGGGGACCTGATCCAGTGGCAAAAAACGTACCATTTTGCATCCGGGAAGGATCAAAAATGTGGCAAAATGCTTCCCTCTCCAAGTGAGAATAATTCGTTTTGAAGGGCGCGCCCTAATTCCTCACAAAAAGAGCTTTTGAAATCGGAGTTTTTTCACTTGGACAGGGAAACATTTTGCCACATTTTTTGATACTTCCCGGATACAAAATGGTACGTTTTTCGCCACTGGATCAGGTCCCCCACTGTATGTAATAGACTTCTCAGCATCACAGATCATCGACATCCACTCTTTCCGGCGCTATATGTCTTCAATTTGTTTGAAAGTTTTATGCAAACCCAATAACCCCACTATTTTGTAAGCTGTTTGACTACAAACGGGAAATCGTTCTGACGGCGGCTGAAATTTCAGCTCAATTTCAGCTCAACGGCTGCGTGCGCGCGGTGATGCGCTCGACTCGGTTTTTACGGGTTTCGAACAACAAACAATTGGGGGGCCGGTCCGTGTAAACAACCAGGAATTTGGTTGCATGCGAATTTGCAAAAAAATGTATATAGTAAAAAAACCGTTGCGTTTCGTGGTCTAGCGGATGAGAATTTTATTTCCAGAGAAAATTATTTGAGTGTAAAACACAAGACATACAAGATGTTGGTGCAAAAATTTCAGAAATTTGATAAAAATTAAAGCCCGAGTTTACTAGCCTACAAATTTGTGAGAAAATAGTCAAGACGGGGAACGCTGATAACAAACTTGCAAGAGCCTTAAAAATTTTTAGTTTAATGCCGATAATTTTTTTGGTGGAATACGATGTGAAAAGTACTAGTCCTCGAAAGTCGCTGGAGTGATTTTCGCGACTAGTGAAGGGCAACAAGTTAAGAAAAAGACAGTTGGGGAAACTGAAAAGTGTCATTTTCCTGGCATACAAGTCGAAATTAGGGCAATCGATGGCGTAGATTTCAAAAATCATCTTTATTTTTTTTGAGTGTTATACTTTTTTTTAATTAGTACCCCTATATAAATAGTAATTTCTCAAATTTTTTTGAAAAATGCTCCGTTTAGGGGTTCCTGAAGATGCTGATTTCGAAAGTCATGTTTTTTTCTAATTGTTACTAACAGGACAAGTACCCCAAGTGCGAGGCTCAGATTTTGATGAGACTTGGCACAAATTTAGAAAAATGTTTTCTAAGATATAGGCGAGAATCCTAGCTCGCGCTTTGCAAAAACAACCGAGATTTTTGGATCGAAAGTCGGCGAAAATTTGACAATTTTTGTCGAACTTCCGTACGAAAAGTTTCATACCTATATGTACCATAGAGGGTACTGTTTTCCACCAAAAAGCGTTTTTCTCTGACCTTTCTCCACATTTAGTGCACTCTCTCGGCGGCAAAGACTGTTGAATATCTCGGCGGCGCCTGCAAAGAGCGAGCTAAAACTTTCAAGAATTGCTACTTGGTTCATGCCCGACGAGTGTGCGAAATTTGAAGAAAATCGGAGCGTCACACTTGGGGTACTTCACTTGTATAATAAGTAGCACTTTACAGTACTTTTTAAAAAAAAATCACTGACCCTAATTTGGCATACATACATGCCCAAAGAAGACATTTTTCTGCTTCTCCAATTGTCTTTTTCCCCAATTGAATTTCACGCTCCCAAAAATCGCGTTGGCTACAAGTTTGAGAGTTCTCGTCGTTGCAAAACAATCGGCGTTTTGTAGGGTAAACATGAGGAAACGCTAATCGGACAACAACTCTTCCTTCCAAAATAAGCTTTGTTTTTATTTTTCAGTCAGAAATAGAAGCTAATTGCAAAATTATAAAAAGCATTTGCAATAGCATGGCATAAACAAAGTAATCGTCATATCAGTTTGTCGGGAAAATAATGAGCCTCTCTGTCGCATCGAAAATTGCATCGAAATGAATTGTGTCGCGAAAAAATCAAATTGCTTTTCACTTTGGCGACACGATTGGCAAAGCGACATTAAGCTCATTATTTCCCCGACAGACTGGTTTGTTGGGTTCAGAGAGCAAGTTTATTTGGGCACAACCTACAGATGTGCCCCGTATCGGTCTACTTTGTGCAGCCAGGGTGAGCGAAAAGTAGGAGGAGCCGGAAGGCATGATTCTGAAGTTGTGTGTTGCAGATGGTGGGCCATTCAAAGCTTCCGTCCGCTTTTTTTTATTTCTCCGCGGAGACTCCGCCAATTTTCATAAAATTTAGCTTTTTTTGGAGCCCAGAATCGCCATTTTCAATCGACTGAGCTTCAAAAAAAAAAGAATTCTGAGTTGACGTAATTTGAATAATTTGAATTTGATAACTCAATTTGTTAAGCCCTGTTTGAAAAAGGCGATTGGACGATCTTGCAGACGAGAGAGTACACTAAACGTGGAGAGCGGTCAGAGAGAAAAACGCTTTTTGGCTATAACCTCGCTAGTTTCACATGGAAAAAATTGATTTTTTATGGAAACGTACCCTCTATGGTAGAAATATGTATGAAACTTTTCGTGCCGCAATTCGGCCGACTTTCGATCTAAAAATCTCGGTTGAGGAGAGTCGAAGCAACGAAAAGTTATTTTTGCCCATAAACATCAATATCCGGGGAAAAATGTGAGCGCCTAAGCTGTACTTGAACCTTTTATCAACCTGTCGGGAAAATAATAAGCACTCTGTCGCATCGAAAATCGCATCGCCACCGAGAAAATGATTTTTTGTCGCGGCAAAATTGAATTGCTTTTTATTTCAACGACGCAACCTTGGCAGCGACAACAATTCTCATTATTTTCCCGACAAACTGAAAAACTCCTTTCAGCTATGATTCTTTTCTTGCTGACCCTCCTAACCCTCCTTCTTTTCTACAATTTCCGCTACAAACGGCAGCACCTTCCGCCCGGCCCAACACCCTGGCCAATCATGGGAAATGTCTTTGAAATGGGTCGCTCCCCAAGCTGGAATCGACTGTTTTACGAATGGAAAGTCAGGTACGGCGGGATCTACACCTACTGGCTGGGCGAAACGCCCATTGTGAATGTCTGCGACTATCGGCTGGCCGTCGAATTGGCCGTGAAAAATGCGGACGCCTATGCGGATAGGGTGCAGCTGCCTCATTCGGATTTCGCGATGAGAGGCGGGATTTTGGGGATCGTGAGTACGAACGACGAGATGTGGCGGGAGCATCGACGATTCGTGATGAAGGTCCTGCGGGACTTTGGAATGGGGAAGAATAAGATTCAGGAGCATGTAAGAGAGATACACAAGTTTATAGTCACACGTCTTCGTATTGCATAAGCTTTACAATGATACCATATTTATCTTCTTACGACCACTCTCTTCTGCGTTAGAGCGCATCATCTTGGGGCGGCCGTTTTTTTTTGACCGCCACTGTACGAGCTTGCCACCAGAGCATATTTTTTCTGTAGGGAAAATAATGATTACTCTGTGGCTTCGAAAATCGCATCACCGCTGAGAAAATGATCACGGAAAGTATTGTGCCACGGAAAAATCAAATTGCTTTTCTCTTCAGCGGTTATTACGGCGCAGCCATTGTGCTCATTATTTTCCCGACAGATTAACAAAAAGATAGCATCATAGAGAAGCTATACTGGGGAAAAAACAATTGAAAGGAAAAATAATTTTTTTGCTTTTAGGCTAGTCTAAGCTATAAATCGCTAGCCCAACTTCATAAAAGTAAAGGACCAGTTGTAGTTACTTTCAACTAGACATGCCTTTAATCGGCCCTGATCCGAGCTTCAACTTTGCAGAAGGCAAAAGGTTTTGAACTTTTTTTTGAGACGTCATCTAACAAATGTTTCAATGGTTGGGTAGATGAATGAGGGAGACCGTAAATAGGGCTAGCTGAGGATGGGCTAGCAAACTATGGTCTTGAATAACCAAAAAAGCAAAAAAAAAAAAGATTTTACAGGGGGACCTGATCCAGTGGCAAAACACGTACCATTTTGCATCCGGGAGGTATCAAAAATGTGGCAAAATGGCTTCCTCTCCAAGTGAAAAAACTCAAGTTTCAAAAGCGCGCCCGCTCTTTTTGTGGGAAAAAAGATCCCGCCCTTCAAAACGAAGTCTTTTCACTTGGAGAGGGAAGCATTTTGCCACATTTCTGGTACCTCCGGAATGCAAAATGGCACGTTTTTTTGCCAATGGATCAAGTCCCTCACTTATTTAATCATCCTCTTTTACTCCAGTCCTCTCGGCTCGGCTGTGCCTTTACACATACCCTCTAAAGCCTCAATTTCAGATCCTAGACCAAGTCCGCTATCTGACCTCAGAGATTGATGAAAAAGTAATCAAAAAAGACGGAGTCACCGATCTCCACGACGTGGTCAGTGTTGCGGTCGGCTCCATCATCAACTCCCTGCTTTTCGGCTACGATTTCCGTGGGCGCGAACACGAATGTCATCGAACGACCCAACTAATGCAAGGCCTCGTCGAAGGCCTCAGCAGGCCGCTGGCTGTGATTGGCCGCTTCTATCCGCTTTCGCTGCACATCCCGGCGGTGAAACGCCGCTTCGATGAGGTGGCGCATACCTTCCACCTGTTGCTGCATGACATGACGGTGATCGTTGAGGAGCACAGGGAGCGGTATATAATGGAAGGCGAGGAAATGAAGGTTTTGGATTTTGTGGACGCGTATTTGGTCGAGCAAGGAAAGTTGATGAGAGATGAAGGGAATGTGGGATTGTTTAGGTAGGTAGAAGACGAGTTATTGATGTGATGGTCGTCGTACCACCCACAGATTTTGATGAATACAAAAATAAACTTAGGTTTCATAAAAAATTTTTGAAGGCATATATCAGTCTGTCGGGAAAATAATGAGCACTTTGTCGCCTCCAAAATCGCATCGCCACTGAGAAAATGAATTGTGTCGCTGCAAAATACATTTTTTTTTAAAAACAGCGATATTGCGCTCATGACAGACTGATATTTTGAGCTCTCTTTGTTTGGGGACATATTCTATTCGTTTTTCTTTAGCCATCCCTCCACATTTCTTATTGTGTCTCGCTTTTAAAGACCCCTAACAATAAGCATCAGCTGCGCCTGCCAAGCGAAAGATGAAATTTTAGGGAAGCGATACGTAGCATAAGATATATTCTGAATTAAGGGAAGGCCCGGGCATCTCGTAACTTCTTTTCTGAATATTAATATCAGCCTGTCGGGAAAGTAATGAGCACTCTGTCGCATCGAAAATCGCATCGCTGTCGATAAAAAATGAATCGTATCGCGGCAAAATCCAATTTTTTTTCGCTTCACTTCAGCGATCGGCACATCGATATTGTGCCCATTATTTTCCCGACAGACTGATATTATTATATTATTATCAGATTTAATTACTCTAGTTTCGCATCTCATCTACAGCTGTTGAATTCCAGCAACGACCAACTCGTCAACGTCCTCATCGACGTCTGGTTCGGAGGTCACGAGACTTCTCACGCAACAATTCTGTGGGGCATCGCTTTCTGGATCCATAACCCGCAAGTTCAGGAGAGAATGCACAAAGAGCTGGACACGGTGATAAACGGCGATAGGATGGTGACCTTGGCCGATAAACTCTCTCTTCCCTACATGAATGCCACAATCAGTGTGAGTAGTGTGTGACTGATAAGGAATGTCGCTTAAAAATACGCGCGAATCTTGTGCCTCTTTACAATTGTTTTGAGCACAAAAGCGCTTGCATACCGTAGACCGGGAATTAGGTGTTGTGTCGGCGAGATGAGTGTTCTTTGCGCTTAATTTTTTATTTCTTTTTTTCGCTGACCAAAATTTGGGTCTTGTAATTTTAAAAAGGAAAGTACTTCTATGGGGTATGGAGTTACCGGTCGAGAGATATATCAAAAAAATCGCAAAATTTTTCTGATTCAGAATATGTAAAAATTAGCTGCCCAATTTTGGCTTGTAAGGGCGAAAAAACCCTCAGAACTTTTCTTGCAACACCACTCAAATGCCTCTTTTTTACATTGGAAGTACTAATTTTAAAGGTGTAGTATTAATCAAATTTGATATTTTAAGGCTTTGTCAAGATGCCAGGGTTTATTCTATTAGCTCAAAACGAAAATTTTGAATTGGTTAAAATTTGGTCAAAAAAGGCATCTGCGTGGAGTTGCGAGAAGAGCTCTGAGTGGTTTTTCCACCCTTAACTCCATGCCCCATAGAAGTACTTTCCTTGTAAAGCTACTTGAAATCAAAGAGACTCTACAGTGAGGGACCTGATCCAGCGGCAAAAACCGTACCATTTTGCATCCGGGAAGCATCAAAAAGGTGGCAAAATGCTTCCCTCTCCAAGTAAAAAAACTTCGGTTTGAAGGGCACGCTCTTTCCCTCACAAAAAGAGCCTTTGAAATCGGAGTTTTTTTCACTTGGAGAGGGAAGCATTTTGCCACATTTTTGATACTTCCCGGATGCGAAATGGTACGTTTTTTGCCACTGGATCAGGTCCCCAACTGTAGCTTATTTGCATAGTCTCTGGAGTGATTCAGAAGCCTGTTGCATGGTACAAAAAGCAACAAGTTGCAGGTTGCAAACGCAAAAAAAGAACTCCAGCGATTTTACGAGAATTTTTTTTTCAGGAAATCCAACGCTTTGCAAATATTTTCCGCCAGTTCAACTTGGCTCACGCCTTGGCGAAGGACGTTGAAATTGGGGATTATCACTTCCGGAGAGGCCAAGTTTTGAATATCGAGTTTTGCGCGTGGTTTAAAGATCCGGAGGTTTTCGAGAACCCCGGTGTTTTCGATCCGAACCGATTTTTGGACGAGAACGGTCAATTCAGAAAATGCGATGAACTAATTCCGTTTGGGATTGGTCGCAGGGTGTGTTTGGGAGAGTCGTTGGCAAGGACGGAGCTGTTTTTGATCCTGGCGAACCTGGCTAATCAGTACAAAGTGAGTGCGGGGTAAAAACTTTGTAGAACAAACCAGAAACCCTCATATATGTGGGGGGACCTGATCCAGCGGCAAAAAACGTACCATTTTGTATCCGGGAAGCATCAAAAATGTGGAAAAATGCTTCCGTCTCCAAGTGAAAAAACCACTTTTTTGAAATCGAAGCCCTTTTTCCTCACAAAAAAAAAGCGGGCGCGCTTTTGAAATCTGAGTCTTTTAATTTGGAGAGGGAGGTATTTTGTCACATTTTTGATACTTCCTGGGTGCAAAATGGTACGTTTTTTGCCACTGAATCAGGTCCCCCACTGTATCAATCTGTCGGAAAAATATTGTGGATTTGTCGCAGCTTCCCTCGTCGCAGTCGCAGACCAAATTTCCAGCCCGCGCCGAACTTACGATGGGCTATTCCAGGGCCAGACAAATCCACATTATTTCCCCGACAGACTCAAAAAAGCGCTATTTATAAACGCCTCTTGTTCTGTAGGCCTTCTGTTGAAGTTTACGCCATTGTATACCTTATGAGAGTACGTCCATAACATTGTTTTCATTTTTCAGTTCTTGCCACATGAAGACCTCCCCAAATTGGAGCCGTATCTCAATCCCAACGCCACCATTCTCCCTCCATTCGAGTGCAAGATAGTCAAAAGGCATAAAGACTCACCGGCTACCGTTTGAAGGCCAGGATACCTACGGTGTAAAAAATTTTATTTATGTTTTGAAGGAACAATATACTGAATTATCAAGAAGCTGGTTATTTTTGAAAATAAAGCCAAATCAGTTTTTATTTGTCTTATTCTTCAGTCAATTTCTTGGTAAGACTCTAGAAAAAGCTTGAGTAATCTTTTTCCACGGAAATTTCCCTGCTCTTCTGCTCTTTTTAGGGTAATTGGAAAAATACATTTGCAAGACAGAAACTATTTGCCTTATGTTTATTTAGTCAAAGTCACGGAACACACCAACGGCTGACACGTTGAAAGAGTGATAAGGATTTTGCAAATGACTTCGGAGAATAGTCGTCGATAAGTAATGTTTAAACTGGATCAAATATATATTCTTATAACAAAAGAAGTGTCCAAGAGCGACGCTCAGATATCGAAGCTTGAACACACTTCAGGTACAGTGAGGAACCCGATCCAGTGGCAAAAAACGTCCCATTTTGCATCCAGGAAGGAACCAAATTGTCGCCAAATACCTCCCTTCTCTAACAATAAGCAAAACCCTTGCCAACATCGCTCTCCATCTTGAATGTTTATCCAAATTAGCCATGTTGAAGATCCTTTTGTATGTGGAGCGGCTCATTAGAAGCACGAAGGCAAACGAGTGGGCTCAGCCGTATCGGATGTCAATGGATCTTGTTCGAGACGACATCTTCACTTCCGCCCGCATAAAGAATGCCGCAAGTGTGTGTGCAAACGATCGCTCGTTGAACGGGGCATGTTTAAAGGGTACCTGAAAAAAGGAGGAAGTGTGTTTGTTCTGCTTGTTGGCGGTTCAATTTGGTCGATGAAAACTCTTCTTTACGGTAGCGAAAAAGCAAAAAACGGTCTTTAATAATACTATAGTAGTACTTAAGGTGAGAAGCATGAAAAGCCATTTTTGACAAAAAAAAAAGAAAATTTTCCATCGCCGCCTCTCTTGATTTCACCTATTCTCTCAAAAAAATTAGAATTTGGTTAATATCTCAGCTACGGCTGCAACGTTTTCTATAAAATTTTTTGCAAGTTCTATGTGGGCAGATAGTAGTACTAGTCCAAAAAAGACTAGTATCTGGCAGCCGTGGAAGACGACGAAAGCTTGCCAACACGAATTCTTCAATGTCAACCAGTCAACGATCGTTCGACATCTCAAAAAGCTTGGAAATGTATGGAAATTGGCTGGATGGGTCCCTCACGAACTCTCCGACAACAACAAAGCCGATCGCGTTCGAATTTGAAGAAAACACCGGATAATTATGCATCAACATAATATTATAATACTAACGTCGCTGAAGTGATTTCTGCAACGAAAACGGCTTGAAAAGACACTCTGAAAAGCTGAAGAATCTGAAGTTGTCTTTGGGTGGATCTCTCTCCAACCACAGTTGATTTGCAGCTCTTTCTGCCTCCTTTTATTGACCAGGGAAGTACCCCAAGTGCGACGCTCCGTTTTTCTTTAAATTTTGAACACACGTTGGGCATGAATTAAACAACAATTTCTGAAAGTTTTAGCTCGCGAGATATCGAACAATCTTTGCCGCCGAGAGGGTACGCTAAACCCGGAGAGCGGTCAGAGAGAGAGAAACAGTTTCGGCCATAACTTTGCTAGTTTCGCGCGGAAAAAATTAATTTTCTGTGGAAACATTGTCCTCCATGGTAGAAACTGGCAAGAAAATTTTCGTGCCGAAATTCGGCAAAAAATGTCAAATTTTCGCCAACTTTCGATCCAAAAATCTCGGTTGTTTCTGCAAAGCGCGAGCCAGGATTATCGCATATATCTAAAAAAAAGTAATTTTAAACTTGTGCCAGGTTTCATCAAAATCTGAGGGTCGCACTTGGGGTACTCCCCTTGTCAGTTCGTTCTGCCTACTTCCATTCAGCTCTACAGTAGTGTCGCAAGTTTGCCAAGCCCTTCTCGGCACTCCCCTGCCTTCGATTCGCCGGATCATGTGCGCGAGAAGGGCTCACAATAAACAGGACGGATGCCTGTTTGCATTCAGGGATTAGGGCCGCAAGTGGCCGGACAAGATTGATCCGCTCCAACTTCTCGAATGACCGTTCAACTTTTGTTTACACTCGACTTTGGAAGGTCATGCCTGGGACATGGGTGCCACCAGTGGATAAACAATCGCCGAGAATGATTATATCGTTTATTTCGGGGGCGAATATTTTGCAACAATCGTTGATATTATGAGCATGACAATAATTATGGTTGAATAGTTAATAATATTATACAATCATGACACTTTTTCGGTCATATGTCTGGGATCAATGTGACAATAGTTGGAGGGGAATACCGTGGTAACAAAAATGCTTATTTTGTAGCATAGAGTATATTATAAAGTATTGGAGAGTAGACCATGCGCTGGCGACATATAGTCGCACAGCTTTGTCTCTTACAATGTTATAGGCGTCGCAATACCATGACAATGGAAGGGATTGCGCAAATAACTTATCCGAGTTGAGATAGGATGGAGAGAGAGTGATCAGGGGAGGGAGAGAGCGAGAGAGATGGCCATATTTGGCGAACGCGCGCAAATACCAGCCGTGGAATGAATGGCGAGAAATAATGACTATGGCACCAAGAAATGAGATTGTACAAACAGTGGCGTATTGGCTAAGAGAACATTGCGCAACAACTTCTCTGAGGTCCCGGCAACAAAATTCGGATTAGCGACAGCTTTTCCCGTTAAATACAGATAGTTTGAGCAAATAGGAGGATACTGTAGTAAAGGAAACAAGGTGGAATCGAGCTAAAGTTTCAAAAAAACAAAGATACGAAAGTTAATTCGAGTTGATCATGGCCAAATAGGGGCCGAGACGAGTGATCAGCTCTTTCAGCCGAGCCACCTCCGTCTGCGCGTCGTTGAGGTCCTTTTCGAGTGAATAGCACTTGGATTTCATCTCCACGCAGCCATCGCAGCCCAGTTGGTGTTGGTGGTCGTGGTCGGCGACGGTCATGGAGATGGGCGAGGCTTTTTGGGGACTGAAATGGGATGGATTAGATATATGTGTAATTTATAGTAAATGCAAAACTATGGCTAATAAAGTAATTATGTCTTTCAAAAGGCCTTCTATGGTATAATATATGAATTTTACTGCTCTAAAAAAAGTCTAGACCGCTGAAAAATCCCTCACCTAGAGGCACACGAAGAGCTCGCTCCACTCTCATGAATCGTCTCGGTTTTCAGACCGCTCAGCTGGAGCTCCTCCTCATTGCCCATCAAATGTTGCAGCTGACAATGCAACAGATAACTCTGTTGATTATCGAACTGCTGCCCGCAAAGATTGCATCCAAACTGTTGCTGTTGTTGAAGAAGCAGCTGGAATTGAAGTTTCTGCAGGTCCGCCTGTTTCGTCGCCAACGCGCGCTGCTGCTGTTGTGCGAGCAACAGCTGGGCCAGCTTCGCCATTTGGTATTGATTCGCCAGCTCATTGGACGAGTTGATGGGGTTCATGGCGCCGAAGTTGTTCTCCAATCGCGGCGCGATGGGGCTCTGCTGCGCCGACGTGAATGGCGAGGAGCCGGAGAAGTCGCTGAGCGGCGTGGAGGGGAGCTCGCGCTTCGGGCTGCGCACCTTCTTGCAGTTGTGCGTGTCGAGCTCGACGCTGGAGGAGAAGGACTTCTGACAGGCGCGACAACTGTGCCCCCGCTCCAGGTGGATTTTCATGTGCCGGTTCAGGTCGAACTTGAAGATGAACGTCTTCTCGCACAGGTCGCACTTGTGCGGGCGTCCGCCCTTGTGGATCATGAGGTGCTGCGTCAGATGCCCTTTCTGAAAGTGCGGGTTTAATTGGTCTAGACTGTTCTCAATTTCAAGGATTCCCCCGGAAGTGCAAGCACTTCCCTAAAGCCCACACAGTTTGTCGGGGAAATAATGAGCACAATGTCGATCGCAAAAGTGAAAAAAATTTGATTTTGCCGAGATACGATTCATTTGGCGATACGATTTTCGATACGACAGAGAGCTCGTTATTTTTCCGACAGACTGATACATAGTTAAAATCAAGTCTATATAGTATATACGATAGAAAAAAGACTTGTTTTTCCCGTTTATGGCTTGATTTATCACTCTTACTGTTTCCGTTCCCCTTGATTCATTGAATTTCGAATATTCCCTGCTACAAAATGAGGATGATTCATGTGTTCAGACCTGACTCATTTGACAAAAATAGCGGGCGACAAGACAAATAACATGAAGAAACCGGGTGTTTTTAAACCACTTATCTTCGAAAAAACAAAGCGAAAAAACTCAAAAGAGAGCGATAAATTAAAGTCATCAAATTTTGATGCATGCCTCTAAGAGTGCTTGAAATTTTTATCAAAGTTTTTTTAGTCCGTCGGGAAAATATTGAGGACAATTTCGCTGCGCCAATCAGGTCGCTGAAGCGAAAAGCAACTTGATTTTGCCGCGACACAATTCATTTTCTATTGCGATTTGCGACGTGCTTATTATTTTCCCGACAAACCAATATGAAGGCAGTAAAATTCCTACCTGAAAGAAGGCCTTGCCGCAATGGTCGCAGACATGAGATCGTTCGCCGGTGTGCCACATATTGTGCTTCTTCAGGAGTTGGCGCGTCCCAAACTCCTTGCCGCACTTGTCGCACTTGTGCGGCTGCTCGCCGCTGTGAATGCGCAAGTGGGTGGAGAGTTCGCGTTTCACCGAAAACACCAGATGACAAATGTCGCACTCGTACTGGGGTTTGTCGCGATGCGTGTGAGTGTAGTGCACATTCAGCTGGTCGCGGTCGGCGAACTGCCGCGAACAGAGGCGACAGGACACGTCGTTGGACTTGAGGAGCTCCTCGAAGTTGGTGGAGATGCTGGACGTGGGCGAGGCGCTCGACTCCATCACCATCTGGTCCTCCATGGGCTGAAGGTAGTTCAACATGGTTAACATGTTGGGAGAGGAAGACTGATCCGAATTCTGATCAGAAAAGACGATAGAAGGAGCAATGTGATTAGACGGCCTTATAGGCTACTGTATTTTAGTTGAGTCGCTAAAAGGGCAAGGATATTTGGGCTGGGCGAAGAGTAAATGAATCATGCGCGAAATGGTCATACAATTTCTTCGAATGCACCCGCAAAATTCGCAAAACAATTGACGAATCAAGAAAACCCCCCAATAATTGCGGAGCAGCGAAACAAATCGCCCGCGGCACTTGGCGTTCGCCCCATCCGTTCCGACTGTGGAAACATGCCAAAGCCCCCCACCGCTGATCCGCCGAGAAATCCCACCCCTCGGCGGGGCGATCTCGAGGACTCCCGGGGGGCGTGGCCCGATCGAATGGCCAAGCGATGAGCCACGGGAGAGAGCGGCCGGTCGGTGCCAGGCCGTTCTCTTCCAACTGTTCCTTCCGGGCCGGGTAATGAGATAAGAAACATGACCATGCATGATTAATAATCAGCGGCTATTTCGGGCGGAATTCCGTTTTATCGCGAATTTTTGTGACTCAGACCGTACGGGTTATGGTAGCCGCGATTCTGACGGCCTTTTATGGGAATTTGGGGGGTTATCAGATGAGTAGTCATGAGAAAGGGGTCCGATAACAGGATTGTCAACTTTATCAAGGGAATGGCTTCAAATCATCGTTTCTACGAAGAAAATTACCGACAAATTCATGGCGTGGGACGCTGGAAAAGATACCCTGAAGAGGCCGTAGGGCAAAAACATCTTCAAGACAAGTTTTTTCCAGCCCTCCCTCATCTCAGGCCGCCTTTTATAACATACGTTATTGGCAAAATGTGGTCCCAAGAACACATAAAAAACGCCTGGGAGGTCGAAGGGTTCGGTGACAATCACGGCCTCCCTCGTCCCTTTTGATCGCAGCGCCGCTTTTATTGTCTCAACTTGCATGAACTTCGACCAACTTGATGGGCCGAGATTAATCAGCTTTATGAGAAAGAGATAGGTTCTAGAAGTGATGTAGCGAGAGTACAGTAAAAGTGCGATAAAGAAAAAAGCATGAATTTTTGAGATTGACAACATATGTCATCTTGCATTCAAACATACTAGCATTTAAGGGGCTGCTCAGCTCATTAACGCAACACACCCATATCATAGCCCCACCCAAATTAGCGATTACACAACCCCAAACCCGCTGACTTCCCCATTAGCGCAACAACAATATATCCCGAGTGTGAATGGCGGAGATCCCGCTGACTTTGTTTGGGGGGGCCCTCCTCTCGAATGCAGTGAAAGGATGGGCCAAGACGACGGCGAAGAGACTTGTTTTGACGCGTGACCCCAGTCAAACACAAAAGTTTAAGCAAACAGTCGGCCGCGGCGAACGGTAGGGGCGCGCACATTAGCTGTAAACAAGCGGAAACCCCGGGTAAACAGGGTGTGTGGGACGGGGGGAAATTATCTTATGTATGGTGTCGAGAGCTGGAGGAATTGTAACTCTGAAACTTTCGAAATTCTTGGATAAACATCGTTGATTTACGAGGTTTGATCTCCAAGTCTTACGACTTGAATGCAACGTGCGAATTTCCTACGCCATACATTAGGCTGTCCCATAAGTCTTGTGTATTTTGGGGTCGTCGATTTGTGCGAATTCCTGTGAGCTTTGTAACGCATTACAAGATATGCTGGACATACAGTTTTGAAGTTCAGAAATTGCCCTTTTAAACCGTGTATAACAAAGCTGCAGGAAATGTGCCTGCGACCCGCACTACCCCAATATTTTACTAGATATCCTTAAGGATCTTACAAGGGAAGTACCCCAAGTGCGACGCTCAGATTTTGATGAAAATTGGCACAAATTTAAAATAACTTTTTCTTGGATATATGCGAGAATCCTAGCTCGCGCTTTGCAGAAACAACCGAAAAATTTTAAATTGAAAGTCTCATTGAAAGTCAAATTTGACAATTTTTGGCGAAATTTGGCACGAAAAGTTTCATAGTTATTTCTACCAAAGAGGGTAATTTTTCCACAAAAAATCAAGTTTTTCCGCACGAAATATGCAAAGCTATGGCCAAAAAGAGTTTTTCTCTCTGACGATTGTTCAATATCTCGGCGGCGCCTGCAAAGTGCGAGCTAAAACTTTCACGAATTGATATCTAGTCTATGCCTGATGTGTGTGCAAAGTTTAGAGAAAATCTGAGCCTCGCACTTGGGACTACTTCCCTTGTTAGATCGCGTTTTGGAAGCGACAGATCAGATATTTACTTTAGTATAAGTATTCAGCAATCCTTGCAACCGACAGAACTCAAAAAATGGGGACCTACAGTTGGTGACATAGCTCGAAAAAACATTTTTTAACTATGTCTCTGCAGATCCGGCTTGGAAAAATTACTTATTCGTAATGAACTCTAGGCTCAGACAACATGTCAATCTTTCACTCAAAAAATCTTTAAATTTACGAAATTTTGACACGTCATATTTTGTAGGGCTAGATTCTACAGCGCTTCTGGATTTGTTCCTAGACTGTTTTTTAGGGCTGGAAATCATATTAAGGCCAGAAACAGTGCCGCGATCCCCTCTTGGCATACTTTTTGAGGATAAATCCTTATAAGATCCTAGAGAAAAGATGTCTGTGTTTCATTCAGGCCGCTCAGCAGGTCTCTGTTAGAGAATTAGGACATTTAGGAGCAAAAACTTTTCAAATTTCCCCGCGGGAATGGGTGCGCTGACCCGGCAACTTCAAGCAACCATATCTCCGCAACTTCTGCAGCTAGCAAACAATTTTTGCAGTGAGTGTGTTCACATAACGTAGTAGTTTCATGCCATGGGTACCTTTTTCCGATCAAGGTTCCCAAGCCAAGAAAAATCGAAGAAAATGTCCATTTTTTTGAATCACCCTGTATGTATATCACACACCTAAATTTCGTGCACAAACTTTGTATGATATTATTGGTTCCCTAGCGCGTCCGCTAACACTCATTTCAGCGACTTTACGAACGGCCTAAAATGCCCTTTAGTCTGTTCGCAATCCCGCTGTTTCTCATTTCAAACTCGGAGCTCTTTTCCAGTGCGTTCTCGGGGGTCAAGTCGAGCCCTCGGGCCGCATGTTTTCGGAGGCGAACGCAAAAACAACGTCAAAAACTTTGGGGGTTCGCTGACCCCGTGTCACCTGGAGTCAGCGCGTTTTAAAGCGCGATCTGTTGTTTTTCAGTGGCGGTGGGCCAAGACGCCCGGTCTTGACGCCTGTTCGGCTTGCGGTTTTACCTTGTTGATCAGCGGCGGGTTCTGCGGTGTAAAGTAGCCGTTTAATGGGCCGCAAATCCGCGTCCATCCGAGGGATTTGAATATGCAAAAATAAGGGGAGAGCAAAGTGTTTTGAACCATAGGGCTGTATGAAGAAATTTATAGGCAAAAATTGGCAAACTCGCAAATAATTTCTATAAAATTTTCGAAAAATGATAACTTAACGCCTTCTAAGGCCCTAAAAATCACAAAATTTTGAGACGATTAATACCCCTAAATCTCCAGCATCTCAATTCAATTTTCCCTGCATTCCTATGCAGACCACAAGCCCCTGCTGAGTCACTTCAAACAGCGGAAGCGAATCGTCGCAAATTTCTGCAAATAACAAATGTTTTTGAGGTCAAGCGAGTGGCTTGGCCGTGTTTGTTGGCCCAGCAAACGCGCGTTCGAGGGTCTTGAATCCAAAACGTGCTGAGGGCGTCAACAAGGCATGGAAGGGAAGATCAACAAAGGCATGGGTGCGGTAGAGTAAGGGGGGATTGGGAATTTTTTTTTGATTGAATTTGGTGAGTAGCTAGTAAAAAGCAGATGGAAAATGGTTAAAAATTCCTCAAGAAGTCTTGAAAATATCCTATGAGCACTTTACGTAAATTTGAAAACAAAAAAAATCGGAAAAAATTTAAAAAAATCGCCTTGGTCCCCATTTACCACGAGTTTTTGGACCCTCCAAAAAAAGGGCTGTTTCTACCGCCAAAAAAGACATGCTTAAACCTCAGCCAACTACCAGGCCTACTGCAACTTCAAGCTTCCATATACGCCATCAAACCCCACCCTATTCGAAGTCCAAAGTCAGCTGCTTAGTGCAGCGAGCAACCAGCTCCTTGACTCCTTAATGGCCCCAAAGTGTGGCCTCACAAAGTACGCCTCAAACTCAATCAATGAAGACAAAGAAAAGAGATGCAAGGAGTTGGAGAGATGTCTCATGACTCACCTCAAAGTCGACTGTTTTGCTGCGGCGATGGTCGAGCAAGTGATCTTCGAGATCGGCCAGTGTTGCGAAACTGTTGGGGCATTCGTTGCACAAATAACAACAGTTTGAGGCCATGGCGCTGAAAAAAAGAAGACGACTGAAAATCACGGGATTTTTGATCTCTTAACGCGCATGATAGCGGAGTTATTGAAAGCGGCCAAAAATCGGAGGAAATGGGGGAAAAAATCAAAAAATCCCGTTTTATAAAGAAAGAAATCGAACTGAAAATTAAACATTATTGTCGCAAAAACCTTCTACGTAAAATATTCCAACCAAAAAAGGCGCATGAAATACGGGGCTGATCACAAAATCAAGACGAATCTCATTAGTCATGGGTAAAAAGTGACGAAAGTGGCCAAAAGACGCGAAATTCAAGGGGAAATTGGGGAAAACAAGCGGCCGCAATAGGATCACAAACAAGATCATGGGATGTGATAAGCGGGCCAGGCCTTGTCATGGAAAGGAATCCGCGTTTCGTCGAGTTTTTTTGGTTGATTCTTGTTATTCAGAGGGTTTAATGTCGAAGGTTGTTGATGAAATGATTTGAAGGCGTGAAATCCGGGATTTTAGTCGCTTTTGCAGCGGGAAATTTTGAGATTTTTAGAGGGGTTTGTAGCTAAATAGGTTTGAAAATGAAAGTTCAAATTTTGGTTTTCTGAAACTATGAGAAAAAAGAGCGCTAATGGGCGAAATCAGAGATTTTTTGTGGAATTTTGGAAAGCCTGTGGCTTTCTAGCGCCTTATCATCTCATCAGTAGCCCTAATTGAGCCCATCCCTATTCTAATTTTATTGCTGTTCCATTCTTTCGCAACGACTTTCCGGCTTCCCTCCTCCAGACTTGATTGCGTAATCAATTGCATGCAACGTTCTCGCCAATGTTCCGGCTAGAGATCAGCGAGCAGGGCCCCCATCCAAATCCCCTCCTCCCCGGCACGGTGCGACACACCATGTGCTCCGCTGTTCCCCTTCGGGGCCGCGGTCAGGAGGGAGGGCGATCGGAAATAGCTCGTGGCATGCGGCTCATGGCACGGCCGGCGGAACGCCGCCAGCGGAGAGGACGTCGAAAATGCAGTCACAAACATATCATATGGTCAGCACTTGATCAGGGGATAATGGATGGGATTATGGAAGGAAAAAAGGGATCTCTGATTGCCATGATGCTTGAATATGAGGGAATTTAGATGTCTAGTTTGCGCTCGAAATGTCACCATGTATGGGTATCTTTTTAAGATACCATAAGTGTTGGAAACCGCTAAAAAGAGCTCTTTTTTTCTGACCGTCTCCCTACATTTGCAATATTTTAGACGTCTGAAGAGATGGCCCATATCTCGGAGCTCGTTGCAAAGCGTGAGCTGAAATTTTCAGCGATTAATAAGGATCCTAGACAGAAAATATATGCAAAATTTGAAAGGCCTTCAAGCATCGCTCTTCGAGCTCTGAAACCCCAATCGTCATTCATGGGCAAGGTCATGACGAAGAGAAAGGAGGGATATGGTCCGATCTCATGCCTAAACAGTTTGAAAAATTCGATATCTGATTAATCCTATGCATAAAACAAAAAAAAATGTTTTGATTGAAAAGCATTACTTTTAAATTTTTAATATCAGTCTGTCGGGAAAATAATGAGCACAACTTGATTTCACTGCAACAAAATTCATTTGCTCAGCGGCCATGCAATTTTCGCTGCGACAAAGTGCTCATTACTTTCCCGACAGACTGTTAATCTCTCAGGCTATCATATCCTATGATACAGTAGATCATACGCTTTTTCCTCCACTCATTTTACAGTCCATCCCCTCGGCTCATGACTGTTGCAAGCCGCCGGGGGTCATACGATTAGTCAGGGCTTCTATTTTTACTCGCTTCTTTCACGGCCAGACTGCCCTCAACAGGCGGCCGCAAAGAAGTTCGCACAGTGCAAAAAATGGCTGGAAAAAACGGGGGGCTCGCACGTCCCATTTTTTATGGCCGCAGGGCAAAAGTCGGCGATGAAAAAGTGGCGGGGCTTGATCAATCGGGGGAAAGTGCATTCGACCTTATAAAACCGGGGGAAATACTGTAATTTTGGGGCTAAAGTCATCAAAAAATCAAAAACGAAAAATTGGGAAAATGAAGTTAAAAATACTGGAAAAGAAAGGTAAATTTTAAAACTATCGTACCTCAGGAAGGATCATGACTAATCAAGTATCAAATCGCTGTGATTGAAACTTGATTTTATTGCTATGATCCGAGAAAAATCGACATATCTTTTACTCCTACTCGGCTCCGCCCATTTTTACAGCGCCGTCGAACGGACGGATCAAGGGCCGGCGCAACTGGCGCATCTTGACCTATCCATTCCCCCCAAAAAACAACACACCGCCCATAAAGAGAGGCCATGAAGAGGAGAGCGGCTTGTGCCCGACTTTACAACCAACAGCCGCGCGCGCAGCCAATCAACGCGCAGTGTTCGGGGGCCGGGCAAGAAGCGAGCACCGTGAAGATTCGAGTTGTTTATAAGGTGTGAAGTTTGTGGAGGAATGGAGTAGAGCATGAAGATTTGATGAAAAGATAAATATATCAGAGTGTCGGGAAAATAATGAGCACAATGTCGCGGAGCTGATCGGGTCGCTGAAGTGGAAAGAAATTCGGTTTTTCTGCGACAGTTCATTTTCTAGGTGGCGATGCGATTTTCGATGCGACAGAGTGCTCATTATTTTCCCGACAAACTGATATATAGGTGCTACATGTTAGTGAGGGCCTTCAGAACTTATAACATGTTTTTTTGTTATTTTAAAATTGCGTTCAAAAGACGGTAAGGCAAAAAATCAGCAAAGAAGAGATAAAAAAAAGCAAACCCATTAATAATCATCAATTTTAGCGTCCTAAAGGTAGATTTTGAGCCTAAAGTAAGTGTATTTATAAACTATGAATTGTATCGAAAACATCTATCTCAAAAGCCTCTTGAAATTTACTCCAATTTCAAGCAACATTTTCTCGGCGGCGATGCGATTTTCGATGCGACAGAGTGCTCATTATTTTCCCGACAAACCAATATATAGATACTACATGTTACTGAGGCCTTCAGAGCTTAATATCGTTAATTTTAGCGGTCCAAAGGTAGCTTAAAATAAGTCGAAAAACAATGAATTATATCGAAAACATACTAATCTCAAAGCCTCTTGAAATTTACCTCACAAATCTACGTCCAGGCCGGCTCCACAGCCCGCTGATGACAAAAAACAGGAATTCTACAGCCCGTACAACATTCTGCAACTATGACAAGCCGAATCTGACAAAAATCCCAATCGCCCTCCCCTTGAATCAACTGCGCGCCCCCACTTCCCCTCCTGCGGATCCCGGATGGCATGGCATACGATACCCTGAGTTCCGCCCGACTCCATAACCCCCCTCGCTCAAGTCGGCGGACCACCGGCACGGCGCGCACAAAAAGCGGGCGAAAGGAGAGGATGGCGGACCTGATTCGAATGGGACACAGATGCGTTGTAAAATCGAATTTGCAGCGGCGAACGACATGCGCGGATTCCAGTAAACGGCGACGGAATATTAATGGGGGCTCTCGGCGGGCCGTGCGGAAACTTGGCCCATGAAAGCGACGGGGAATGGAGAGGAGGGCGCGACGCGAGGGACTAATTTGAAGGCGTAGGTTTTAGAATATGCAAAAAAAATTCTCTTCTCTCGGCGGAGAGAGCATTTTTCGGCGGAGACATTTGATGCGTTTTTTGAAAATCACACCTCGATACAAAGCCCAGGCATTCCTACTAACGATGAAATTACGTTGGCCACATCCTAGTATACTCCCCGCCAAAAGTTTTGACCCCCCTTCTAACTCGGCCCAAAGTGTACCAATTTGGACCAAATTTGGTACGTAGTTTACTGACAACCTTGTAGTAAAAAATATCATAGTAGGACAAACCATTTAGCTGTATTTCAAAATCCAGGGACAATTTTCAAAAATCACCTCAAAAAAACGGGACAAAAGTTTTGACCCCCCTGCAAAAAAATTAAATATCGAAACCGGATGTAGCCCGAACCTTTTACAATCGATGCCCCATACTTGAATACAGATTAATAAATGCTTTTTCGTTGAATGCTTCGTTGCATTTGAGGATGCAACGCGATAAACTGATTTTGATGTAGAGCTGCCCAAAATGGTAAAAATCTTGTACTGGCGCTTTCCAAAAGTTTCAAATTATGTTCACATCATGTGATCTTGACATGTTATAACCTACATTAACCTTTTCCTTTCGAAAAAAGTCCGTGATGGCCTAGCGGTATCGATTCGGCCGATATCCAGTTGTCATGGTCAGCCTTGGTGAGCCATTTGCTTTTTGACTAAAGGTCTAGATGGGGTCGCTAGGTACTCAATCTAATCCTGAGACTTGTGTCGCTCTTAATCTCTTAAAACAAAGAATCTTGTGTCGCTCTTATACTCTTAAAACAAGAATAAACCCTCGCTGACACGATCCCAAATGGTTTGTAGATGCAACTTTACCGATCTGCACCTTAAAGAAAAACCCGCTTTTTTCAAATGGATTTTTTGCGACCAAAAACGGTTTTTACTTGGTGGGCCAGGTAATTTAGGACGCTACAGCACCCGCCATACTCATTTGAGACGTATGGAACGCCAAATGGGCGGTGGGGATGGCATCGTACTCGGGGGCATCTACAGTAACGGCAAACTTAAGATTAAGGTGAATGAAACCCATTCCAAAATGTGTCAAATCGAAACCTTTGTGCATGCTGAGAGTAAATAGGAGTCTCAGGATTAGATTGAGGAACTAGCGACCACATCTATACCTTTAGTCAAAGAGCAAATGGCTCACCAAGGCTGACCATGACAACTGGATATCGGCCGAATCGATACCGCTAGGCCATCACGGACTTTTTTCGAAAGGAAAAGGTTAATGTAGGTTATAACATGTCAAGATCACATGATGTGAACATAATTTGAAACTTTTGGAAAGCGCCAGTACAAGATTTTTACCATTTTGGGCAGCTCTACATCAAAATCAGTTTATCGCGTTGCATCCTCAAATGCAACGAAGCATTCAACGAAAAAGCATTTATTAATCTGTATTCAAGTATGGGGCATCGATTGTAAAAGGTTCGGGCTACATCCGGTTTCGATATTTAATTTTTTTGCAGGGGGGTCAAAACTTTTGTCCCGTTTTTTTGAGGTGATTTTTGAAAATTGTCCCTGGATTTTGAAATACAGCTATATGGTTTGTCCTACTATGATATTTTTGACTACTAGGTTGTCAGTAGACTACGTACCAAATTTGGTCCAAATTGATACACTTTGGGCCGAGTTAGAAGGGGGGTCAAAACTTTTGGCGGGGAGTATATGTTAGTCTCGGTGGCTTGGCAGATGTTTCGCACATCGGCGAAGGCTCGGCGGAGACTTTTTCACCTGCGGAAGGCGTTTTGGGGACCTGGCTTTTGCAATGACAGCTATCTTTGGCGGCCTGGAAATATCTGTAATGGCAGCTTCAGGCCAAAAAGAACCTTAAAATATCGATATTCTTCCATGACGACAAGATCTTCAGTCTCAAAAATGATGAAAGAGCAATCATTCAGCTCTCACGACCATATACAAGCAACAGACAGCCAAAACATCTCACTAAACTAGGCCCAATCTCACTAAACTATGACCCACCCAACCCCACAAGTCAAGCATTCTGCAGCGGGCGTTTGACAAGGAAATTAAGCGCTGCGGACACCGAAAACTTCGGAATAAACATTCAAGCACCCTTCCCCCTAAATCCCAAATAAACTTTCACTCGGTCCGCGGCCCCATTATCAACCATGGGCGCTGGGGTGACTCAAAAGTTCCGGAAAGGGAAGAGAGAGTCCGGCTTCGTGAGACCTACTGTAAAAAAGGGCTGAGACGGAAAAGGCGACAAATTGAAGGTAACGCCGAAAAAGGGGGTCCAGGGGTGGCCACCGGGCCGGCCCGGCGAAGCCCGGCCCGTCCGGGCGTAAACGGGCCGGGCCTGACAAATTTTTGAAACGGGCCAGGCCTGGTTATCGCCGGGCCGGGCCCCGGGCCTGAAATTTCGAAAAAGAGGCCCGTTTGCCACCCCTGAAGGGTCTTTTCTCTGGCCGGATCTCCTCATTTTTGCATGATGTCTAGGGAAATGATCGCGTGAAATTTTTGCTGTAAAAAAGTGAGGTAAAATTTTCAGCGATTAAAATGTGGCCTACAGAGAATATGGACCCAAAATTAGGGCAAAAAAATCAAATAGTCGCCCTGAGGATCCCTATAAGTTCGCAAATGAAGTTTTGCAAGTGTGGCGATCAGATTTTCTTTAAATTTTGCACACAGACTCTGGACAGACCAGATATTAATTTATGAAAATTTTAGCTCACGCTTTGCAGTTGCAGGCGAGATATTCAACAATCTTTGCGGCCGAGAGAGTACACAAAATGCGGAGAGCGGTCAGAGAAAAAAGGGTTTTTTGGCGGTATCTTTGCCAGTTTCGTGTAAAAAAATAATTTTATAATTTTTCGTGGAAACATTAGTCTGTACAGTAGAAATAGATAAAAAAATTCATGCCAAAATGAAATTTTTGCAAAAAATTGCAATTTTTATGAAAATCTTTGACCCAAAAAATCTCGGTCATTTCTGCAAAGACCATGTTAAAAATCTCGCATATACCCCACAAAAAAAATTACCTCAAATTTATGCCAAGTTTCATCAAAACTTCAGTATCGCCATCCCCTTACAACCTCCAAGAAATAGCCCCCACCCCATGATAAGCCTGAATTAACGCCTCATGACTCTACCCATTTCCCACAGCCTACTGTTTATCTGATCTGGGTGAGTAATTCTTTTGTTACAATGAGGCATTCAATAAGCATGGCGATTTATGGAAATTTTCCAGGAACTCCATAAAAACCCAATCAAATTTGGGTGTAAAAACGAAGCGGACTTAATGCATTCATAAAGCGCGAAAAGGTTACAGGAAATGCGAAAAAATGGAATGCCTAAAAGCGTACGAAAGGCTTTTGTAACAGTCCTCTTGTAGCAGGGAGAGGAATAAAATAGAAATTTTTTGGCAAAATCTGCATGTCGGAAAAATAAAAAGCAAAATGTCGAATAACTGTAGATGACACTTAGTTGTGTATACAGGGTGGGGCATCTTTGTGGCCCGATTTGAATTGGCTATAACTTCTTTAGTTTTTGGCCAAATCTTAAAATCCTTTTTTTCCCTGAATCCTCAGACAACCCCATTTTGTTTGATACCAAATATGTTATACATCGGTATGTGTCATCTACAGTTATTGGATTTATTCTTGGAGTTCACTTTTTCGGTCGTTTTTCGGTTGTTTTTTCGCTCTTTCCCGGTGTGTCCGAAAATGGAGTACGGTGTGGAAGAAAAAAGGATTTTCTCGGAATTTTGAAAAATTTCTTCAATTTTCAGCTCCGTTCGTACATATCTTTCCTGCTTTCTTTGTTTCCTGTTAACGCTGCCAGTCTCAAGGAACTTATTCCACCAACGCCGAATTGTCTTGCGATCTGGAAGTTGGGCATTACGTCCGTATTTCATGCGGTATTCCCTTTAAACATTTATCGGCGAACCGTACTTGCCATACCAAACCACAGACCAAGCTTTTTCTTCCACACCGTCCTCCATTTTCGGACACACCGGGAAAGACCGAAAAAACAACCGAAAAACGACCGAAAAAATGAACTCCAAGAATAAATCCAATACTGTAGATGACACTTACCTATGTATAACATATTTGGTATCAGAAAAATGGGGTTGTCTGAGGATTCAGGGAAAAAAATAATTTTAAGATTTGGCCAAAAACTAAAGAAGTTATAGCCAATTCAAATCGGGCCACAAAGATGCCCCACCCTGTAATTTGATTTTGATTCACAATTCACTTTCTATTCGATTTTCGATGCGACGCTATACTCATTATTTTCCCGACAGACTGATATAATAAAACTTGACTTATTCCCTCTTCTATGCTGTATTTAAATCACTGAAAAAACTAGCTTTTGCTTTCCACTAACACCCCGAATACCCTTTTCTTTCAAGCCAATGTTTTTTGATCCAAAACGGATCCAGAAAGGAAAGAAACCCGGGGTTTTGCGCATCCCTCCGCCCATCCAACCAATCGCCATTCATGGGCAAGGTCAGCCCATGAATGGCGATGAAGAAGAGGGCGAAAAAAGGAAGGATATGGTAGGATCTCATGCTTAAAAGGCTTGAAATTTTTTTTGGGGATATCTGATAAAACCTATGCGCAAAAATTTAAAAAAATTTTGATTAAAAGGCTCTACTTTTAAATTTTGATCATCAGTCTGTCGGGAAAATAATGAGCAAAATGTTGCTGAGCTGATCGCGTCGCTGAATTGAAAAAAATTTGATTTTTTATTCATTTTCTCGGGCGATTTTCAATACGAAAGAGTGCTCATTATTTTCCCGACAGACGGATAATATAAAATTTAAAAGTAGAGCGTTTTAATAAAAAAAAAATTTATAATTTTTGGCATAGGATTTATCAGATATCCCCAAAATTTTCAAGCTTTTTTTCTTAAAAGCATTCAAAGTTGCCGATTTCAAGAAAAAATTTCCACAAAATCAGACAATTCCCCCACCTCCCAAGCCCCCTCAGCCCGTTCAGTTTATACATTGAGACCGAAAAAGATGCGCGGCCAAATGAATTCGATCGTCTTTTCGCCCCTCTCTCCCTTTGATCGGACATCCGGAGAATCGCGAGGGCATGTGGCGATGAAACTTTTTTCTTTTTTTTTGTTTCGCCGTAAAGTCTTTGTTTTCTTCGGTTCGATCTGTCATCAAACGAGTGTTTCAAGGAGGGGGGATTGTCAGCTAAATTCATGAGATTCTGAGAGGGAAGGTGCTTAAAAAAACTTTAAAAAATTATCATTTCTGATGTTACACTTGACGACAAAGCTAATGAAAGTTGGAACGAATTAAAAAAAACACTTTTATGATACAGTGAGGGACCTGATCCAATGGCAAAAAACATGTCATTTTGCATCCCGGAAGGGATCAAAATGTCTCCAAACCCTTCCCTTCTCTAAGCTAAAAAACTCTGCTTTGAAAAGCGCGCTCTTTCCTTCAAGGCGGGCTCTTAAAAGCGGGGTTTTTTAGCTTACGATTAGAGAAGGGAAGGGTTTGGAGACATTTTGGTCCCTTCCGGGATGCAAAATGAGACGTTTTTTGCCATTGGATGCGGTCCCTCACTGTATATCCAAGATTTTTAACCAAAGTTTTGCAAAATTTGAAAAATCCATCCACAAAAATTTGATATTTTATATCATCCTTGGGATTACTATAAAGTAATATTTTTTGTGAAATATTTTTTTTAATTTTGATGAGACACGACCAAAATATGATCAAAATTTTTAAGCTATTCGAGCTTTTTAGCTCATGCTTCTCCAATATTTTTGAAACTTTTTATTGGCAAAAAATGGATTTTTTTGAGAATTGGAGTTTGAATAAATCAATGTCGATTACTCATGGGGAGTACAATATTCCCCCAAAAAACCAAATTTTTCGAGCCGAAATTGGCCAAAAAATAGACGAAAACCCTTTCTTTGTCTGCCGACTTTCCTCATTTTACGTGCTCTCTCCGAAAAAAGATTGTTCAAAATTTCCACATTGGCTTGAAGGAGAGAGCTAAAATTTTTAGGAAATGGTACGTGGACTATATAGAGTATGTATGGAAAATTTGAGCAAAATCGATGAGTTACACTTGGGTTACCTCAACAAATATTAGGGTGAACCAAAAAAAATTTCCGATTTTTTTAAAATTGTGCTCTTCCGGAAAAATTGAACCAAGCTTAAGTGCAAACTTGAAGACGATTCTCTACAGACATCCAAAATGGAATTATTTTGGAGTTACAATCAGCATTTGCTCTCAAATCAATCACAAAATCCAGCGCCAAACTTTGCTTCTTTTGGGGGTAATCCCTGCCATTCCTCTCTTCCCGTCCAATTGATCGGCTGGCCATCAATCCTCCTCCTCGGCCTGCCCGATCGCGCTGGCCAAATGCGCGGCTACCGTACGCCGAGTTCATTAGAGCGGGGTTATTTATAGGGCCGGAGAGTTCATGAGCGTCATGTGTTGACGCTGGGAAACATCCAACCCATCAGTTCTCGGCTTGTTTACAGTTTTTGTTATAATTTATGTGTCCATTCGGCCGGAGGGGGTGATTCACACAGCTGACGCGTTCCTCCATCCATTATGAGGGATAAGATGGACGGGAGCGTTCGAGTTGGCACGTTCCATCCGTGAGATAAATCATGAGCGCCCGCGTTAAAACAATTCAAAATGAACTATCAAAAACAGGGTACCCCTCCTCAAGGATTGCTCAAAAGCAAAAGTTTGGCGCTGGATTTTGCGATTCATTTGAGAGCAAACGCTGATTTTAGCTCAAATTTGGATGTCTGTAGACAATCGTCTTCAAATTTGCACTTGAGGTTCAATTTTTTCGGGAAGAACACAATTTTAAAAAATCGGAAAAATTTTTTGGTTCACCCTAATATTTGTTGAAGTAATGACATGTGATTCGTCGATTTTGCTCAAATTTTCCATACATACTCTATATAGTCCACATACCATTTCCTAAAAATTTTAACTCTCTCCTTCAAGCCACAGTGGAAATTTTGAACAATCTTTTTCCGGAGAGAGCACGCAAAATGAGGAAAGTCGGCAGACAAAAAAGGGTTTTCGCTTATTTCTTCGCCAATTTTGACTCGAAAAATTTAGTTTTTTGAGGAAATATTGTGCTCCCCATGAGTAATCGACATTGATTTATTCAAACTCCAATTCGCAAAAAAAAAATATATTTTTTGCCAATAAAAAATTTCAAAAATATTGGGGTAAGCATGAGCTAAAAAATTCGAATGGCTTAAAAAATTTTGATCAAAATTTGGTCATGTCTTATCAAAATTAAAAAAAATATATATCACAAAAAATATTGCTTTATACTAATCCCAATGATGATATAAAATTCCGAATTTTTCAGGATGGCTTTTGCAAAACTTTGGCTAAAAAACTCGGATATTCGCAAAAAAATATTTCATGTCTTACAAAACTTACTTTTGATCGAAAAATTGCAGTCATTTCTCATCAAAAATGAAAAAAAAATCATAAAAAAAATCTCTGCTTAAAAATAACAAGGATAGTACGTAAAAATACAAATTTTTTTCGGCAAGATCACAGAGATCCGCCCGAAAATCCTCTCGCAAAACATTGTAATCTTGAAGTGTGAAAAGGGGAAGATTAGCCGAGGGTTCTGTTACCCAACGCCCCGTAAACGATCCGCCGCCTTTGATCGGCACACTTGAGATGCTAAATAAAGTTTATAAAGCTTTGTAAAAGCCCGGGTAAGACCGTAAATACCCTCGAGCGCACTTATAATTGGTTTTTACATAATTTTGAGCCTTCAAATCTGAGATTTTCAAAACGGAATTTGAAAAAAACAAAAAAATATTTTGCCATTTTTCCCCTTGATAAACTCATTTGTAATGTCCAAGCGATTGGCATTTGCCATGAAAAAAGTTTTTTACACCGTTGCGCGGCGCCATGTGGCCAACAGGCACTGGCCATAAATTGCGCAGAAAACAGCCGCCACATGAGATGGATGAGACGGCATTTTGAGCTGGCGTCTGATCCGACATGTTGATGTGAATGCGAAGAATCGGATCGGTATGCCGCAGTCTTCATCGTTTCCTCAAACTTGGCATACAAACTCTGCATTGACGACTAATCAATTCCCAAAAGTTTTAACGCAAACTTTTCTTCTCCCTTCGTATTATCAGTCTGTCGGGAAAATAACGGCGGATTGTCGCAGAAAAATGTCTCGCCTCGCCGCTGTCGCGCACAAAATCCCAAGCTGCGGCTTGCAGTCGCAAAGCGATGATGGGCGATTCCGAGGCGCGACGACCCGCCGTTATTTTCCCGACAGACTGATAACGGCGGATTGTCGCGCCTCGGAATCGCCCTTTATCGCTTTGCGACTTCAAGCCGCGGCTGGGGATTTGGTGCGCGATAGCGGCGAGGCGAGACATTTTGATGCGACGATCCGCCGTTATTTTCCCGACAGACCGATAGCATTTTCAGAAAGTGCCTGGAGATTTTTTCGCTGTCGCACAGTGCATCTTGAACTTTTTCCCACGCTTTTCGCCAACGCACTGTGCAATTTTCCCTTTTTCGCACCGTGCAAACCTCAAAAGGACCGTTTGCACTGTGCAAATTCTCGCGGCGGCGCAGTTGAGAAAAGCTCACGTCGCAGCGATATTTCAAATGCACAGTGCAAACCCAAAGAAAGGTCAATGCACAGTGCAAAAAATCGCGGGATTTTGTGCACGGTGCGCGCCGCGACAAATGTCCAGGTGCTTTGTGAAAGTCGCTGGCGCAATCAATGGCGTTTGCACTGTGCAGAAAAAGTCGGGGTGCGAGCGACAGCCGGAAAAAGTCATTTGCACAGTGCGAAAAGCAACAACTTCCAAAATTGCACTGTGCAGAAACATAAATTCACTTTGCACCGTGCAATAGGCCGTTTTGGGCTGTCGCTCGCACTCTGGCTTTTTTCTGCGCAGTGAAAATGTCCAATTGCACGGTGCAAAAATCAAAAAATTGCACAGTGCAAAGTGAAGTTTTGTTTTCGCACAGTGCATGTCGCAAAAATCACTGCAGCGACTTCGGACTTTGAGCGCCGAGATATCGAGCGATCTTGCAGGCGAGAGTGCACGTAAAGTGAGGAGAGTCGAAAAAATGGAAAATTATTTTTTTCACCATAACCATCAATATTCGGAGGAAAATTTGAGCGCCTAGCCTCTACTTGAACCTTTTATCAGTCTGTCGGGAAAATAATGAGCATAATGCGTGCGCCGATAGCGTCGGTAAAGTGAAAAGCAATTTGATTTTGCCACGACACAATTAATTTTCTCGGCGGCGATGCGATTTTCGTTGCGACAGAGTGCTCATTATTTTCCCGACAGACTGATATATGCACTTGAAAATTTTTTTATGAAACCTAAATTTATTTTTGTATTCATCAAAATCTGAGGGTCGTACGACGACAAAAAAAACTTTTTTTGCGAATTGGCAACTAAAAGCCTTGTTTATTCCCAAAAAAATCATTTCCAATATTCTTCAATTTTCATCACAACCTTCTCATAGCATGCTATAGTGCCTCTCCTCTCCAACAGCTTCTTTTTTTAAACCTCACTTGTTGCGCAACGCCTGGCTCTAGGTTTACAACTGGCCATAAAGTGCCTGAACTTATTGCTAATCCCCGAAAAATTAGATCGTTGTGTAATTGTATCGCCGCTTGACCGTGTGCGCTCCCATTTCGTGGGGGGCGGATCGGGTATCAAAACTTTCTTCAACTTTATCTCCGAAAAACACAATGGAAGAAAAAACAAAAAAAAAATATAATCGATTATATTTGTGGTGAAGCACTGTAAGTAATCTTGGGAGTCCGGACCGAATACGAACTTGACGCCTGAGGGCAAACAAAGACGAATAAATAAATTTTTATAAAAAGGCACTAACTGACGAAAAGACTTTTAAAAAAGCGTGAAATTTTACCGAAAAAAGGTGAATTTAAAAAAAAAAATAATATTACAACTGACGCAATTAGCAAGCTCATAATAGTATCTCGCCAAAAGCTTCAGTAAAACTACCAAAAAAAGTCGAAAAAGTCAAAAAATTCAAAAAAAAAGCAATACAAAAAATACCGAAAAAGATGAGAAAAGACCAAAATTTTGCAAATTTTTTGTTTCACCTTTCAATACAAAATGACTGTAATAACAAACTGATTTAATAATATCGGATATATAAAGCGCGGAAGACACAGAGAATAGAGGGGGATCGACCGATTTGTGCAATAAATAAAGGCAAACGGAGGCTTTCAATGTCCATTTTGCTCGCCATTCGAGCCGTTCTGTTCTCGCATGTTGGGCATGTAGTCGCGGGCCATCAGGCAGGCGAATACTGTCATTACCATCTTCGGTTTCACTTCCACAATGTCTTCGGGGAGGGCGTAGATCTTGGCGCCGATCTTTCGGCCGCACGAGATGGCGTACTTGGCGTTCTCGAGGTGGGCCTAAAAAAAGTCGAATTGAACCCCAAAATGGCTTCCAATATGCGGGTCAGCGGTCCTCATGGCCTGTGAGTCCTTCCAAAATAGCAGTAAACTTCCGCTAAACTAATTTTTGGCTCGTAACCATGAATTTGCTAGCCAACGGCTAAAGGGAAAAAGGATACTGTGGTGGTGGCTGGATTTCATTTTGGGGACAGATGAAATTTATGGCTCCTAGTCATCTTATCCAACCGTCCAATGACTGCCCAAAAGGTTGAACTGACCAATTAATGTTCCAAACGGCTAATCATTGAGTTGAATTGGTAGGAAAATAATCTAAACGGCTAGCTAAAGCGCTGGATTGGCATAAAAACCCAGTCATATGATTTGAATGTCAATCCATCGCTTTAGCTATCTATTTACAGTGGGAGACCTGATCCAGCGGCAAAAGACGTACAATTTTGCATCCGGGAAGGATCAAAAATGTGGCAAAACGCTTCCCCCTCCAAGTAAAAAAAAACTTCGTTTTGAAGGGCGCTTCATTTCCCCCCACAAAAAGTGCGGGCGTGCTTTTGAAATCGGAGTTTTTTCATTTGGAAAGGTTTTTTCATTTGGAAGGTAGCATTTTGCCGCATTTTTGATCCTTCCCGAATGCAAAATGGTACGTTTTTTGCCACTGGATTAGGTCCCCTACTGTAAATGGATAGCTAAAGCGATGGATTGGCATTTAAGTCATATGGCTGGGTTTTTACGCCAATCCAGCGCTTCAGCTAGCCATTTAGTTTATTCGGCTACCAATCCAACTCAATAGCTAGCCGTTTGGAACATTAATTGGTCAATCCAACCCTTTGGGGAGTCATTGGAAGGTTGGATAAGATGAATAAGAGCCATAAATTTCATCCGTCACCCAAAATGAAATCCACCCACTACCACGGTATCCTTTTCCCTTTGGCCAGCCGTTGGAATGCTGGATGAGTTGGTTACAAGCCATAAATTTGTTCTAGCGGAAGTTTAATGCTATTTTGGATGAAATCCAGCCACCATCACAGCATCATTTTTTCCAAACACCTCTCCAATTCCCTACCTGATCGCTTCCTTTCGGTTGAACAAGCTCATAATCGATTGTTCCTGGTTTGATGGCATCAATCAGATCCAGAACCGGCTTCGCGTCCGAGATATTCGAATCTTGGAAGCTTCGGATCTGCGAGGACTTTCCGGAAGCTGTCAGCTTCTCGTTCACCCACTGGATGATTTCCTTATCCGTGGCGAGCGTGTCGCCTCCTTTGCATTGCGCTAGGACGGCCAGTGTGTAGGCTCTCATCAACTGCCATACAAGGGCCAAAGTTAGGGTTTGGTTCCCATCGTAAATGTCCTTTCCTTGGATTCCCACCAACGAGAAATGGAGTTGTTTGCCCAGCTCCACGGCATAATTGCAATTCTGGATCTGATCCATCATGCCTTGCAACTTGCGGAAGATTTTTGTTACTCTTTTCCAGTTCACCACGCCCGGTTTGATGTAATCGTAGAGCTGGAAGATGACCAAGCCGTTCTGCAGGTCCGAGTAGAGCCAATTGACGGTCGGGTCAACGCCCAGGGAGTTCATCCAGTTCCTGTAGGTTCGTTCTTCCCGCGTTTCCGTCACCACTTCAACCTCATCAAGGTCTGAAAACACAAGACATAAGAGTCCATATACGACTTAAAAAACAAGAAAATTGCACTCTAAATGCTTCGAAATGACTCACCAATTTCATCCGCTTCAGGTTCCGGCAAATTCGGGTATTTGTTGAACAAATTCGCGACAAAGGCCAAGTTCAATTTGTAGTTCCCACTGGCCACATCGTTGGCGGTAACAAAGTCGCGGCAATCAATCTTTTCGGCTTCCTTCAGCATCGATCCAGCTCTCGGGACATTTCCATGCACATTCAACGGGGCCAGAGTAACACCGGTCCGAGGTGGAGCAATTTGATGGAGAAGGTGGGTGTAGATCACCGAGTCGGTCACATCCGATGTGAAGTTGGTCAGACGGTTGGGGACGCCAGCTCGGGCCAGATGATAGTTCACCCATCGGATGAGGATCTGTTCGGGTGTGAGTCGGCGCAGATCGTCCAGGGTTTCGCCTTCTTTGAGAAGTCGGAAGAGGCCGGGGACGTGGACCAAGTCAATCTCACGGAACAGACCGATCTGAAATGGGTGAGCGTTCAATACAGAACACAAATTTCAAACAATACTATGAATTTAATCATTCTCCCGGCATCAACCCCATCAATTCAATCATTCTCCCAGCATCGGCATACCTAAAACCAAGAACAACAAACGAAACAGCTTACCCGAATAATTTGCCAAAGCAATCCCAGAACCAAATGTGGCTTTCCTTTGCTGAGGTCGATCCCATCAATATTCACAATATTACAACCAATGGCTTGGGCGGACATCAAGCACAATGTCAAGTTCTCGAGTTTTGTGTACGTGTTGAGGTTCTTCTTGTTGACGGCACGTTCGTCGATTGTGTTTGGGACAGCAAGATTGATGAGCTTACTGAAAATTGAATATGAACATCATTTACCTCATCAATTATTGAATAAATTGTTAGTTTCTCACTTACCAGATGATGAGACCATCTTCAATTTTGGCGTACAATTCTCCGCCAGTATTTGTGACCGGCAAATGGCGTTTCAGGTCGGCATCTTCACACAAATTACTGTTGATCCAGTTGGAAAACGCGACTTCTTCCTAAAATTCAAAATAAAAAATTCAAAACTTCACTTACTTCAACTCTAATTGTGTGAACAATCTCATCCGCGCCATGCTCGGCTTCACTTTGGACTTGATAGGCTCCTGTGACAGACCCGATCCTCTTCTTCCATCGGCTGGCTTCGGCGTTCTTTTCGTCCGCCAATTCGTCTGCGAGCTGCGCAAACTGTTGATAGCTGAGGCTTTTCGGGTCTCCATATTTTTGAAGACGTTCTCGCAACTAAATATACAATTCAAAAAAGTCAATCAAGAACTTACTTGATAACCGGGAATATCTACACCGAGAACTTTGAGGGCGGCGTGCACATCCGCTGCTTCTACATGCCCCTTTCCACCGTCGATGCAAAGCTGAAAATACAAGAAAAATAATCCAAAATCCGAAAGAAAAAATAAAACTCTAGGCCAAGTACTAATTATACAAGCTTTTTTTCTTTCATTTCCGCCAAAATCCGGTCGTTTCCTCTACTACAATATAATTAGTCAAAATTTTTGTTCGGAGATTTTAATCTATCCGCGATGAATGTGCCCCTCCCTTTCTTTCTTCATATTTCACGTCTTTAAACCTTGATCTAAGCCGAAAATCTTTAAAAACATCTCAGCACTTCAAAAGGTTAGGTTTTATATTACTGTAGTAAACACTCTTTTTCCATGCCTAAAAAACAATCAAAAAAAGATGAAGAATCAACTTACTGATGGGAAATGTTCCGCTAGCTCAGCGACCTGCTCGGAGCTGGGCATTCTATGGAATTGTGCTGTCTGAAAATGGGAGAAAACGTGGTGAAAAAATTGGAATTTTCGAAAGAAAAAATGTAAAAATTCTTTCTCGGCTTTACGCAAATTTGACGGACTCTCGAAAACGGCAAAATTTTGGACGTTCCTATGAAAATATAGACGAGGAAAGGGCTCAAACCGTTCCACAAATTCAAAACAAATAAAGCTTCGTTAAACACACAAGTTCAATGTCAGAGCCCCCAATCACAAGACGAGTGAAAATGAGAATCCAATAAAATGCTAATCAAGGCCTTGCAAGGGAACGGTTCTGATCAATCCGATCGCTGGACCATAAAACCCCTTCTCACGATGCGTGTTGTAAGGAGAAAAAGAGCGTTCGAGACCTTTTTGGGGGGCTTTTCCGAGGAAAACGCGCCTTTTCTTATTCCGCTCTTTTGTCAAACAGTGTCCTTCACAACGTCGGCCGACCGGAACTCTCTTTGCGGAGATCGGCAGCTAATTCGGTTATGATTGGGGTAAATGGAGGTCCATCGGAGGATGGTGCACTTTGATAAAACACCTTTCAAACCAACGAAAATTTAACCCTATAAAATGGACGCCACCTGCACGCCAAACTGTGGTCTAAACCCTTGAAAATCGTTATCCTTTATGTGCAAGTTTATCAATAAAATCCAAACTATCTGAACATTAAATCTCACATCTAACCACCCAGGACTTGCATAATCGAAAAAAACAAAGAGCAAACACATTCCAAAGTTCTTATCACATTTCCCTCCGCTTTATCACCATTTCTACCACACTTTCTTTATAAACCTCTTTACGATCACGTCCTCACCTACAATTCTTATGATGTAAAACTCTGACTAATGACCGCGAGGTCAACTGGGTATTCCGGTTCTGTTATCCGATCATTTCGGTAAACAAAAGAAGAAATGAGCGCATGCAGCGATCATTACCACCTTCGTGGGCCATAATTTTCGGTCATCGGGTCAAACCAACACGATCATCTTGATAAAAAGGCTTGAGCAATCATCAAGGTGATCGTATTGTTTTCATTGATAGAAGCAAGCAGCAAGAGGAAGCCATTCCCAATTAACCGAACAATTTACAATCGGAAAACGTCAGCCAACACTTGCACAAGAGTTTAGACCCCCACTGCTCCATAAATATTTACGATTCAACCTTCACAAAGAGAGTCATGATGGTCAAGGTGCGGCTCGCAAAAAAGACGAGTTAAGCGGTATAGGGAATGTCAAACCCCATCCGCAAATAGCATACAAACCAACAATGATGGCTTTCAAACCGTCACGGACGACGTTTTACCGTTAGCTTCAACAAACCTACAAGAAGAAACAAGAAAACAAAAATCCGAATCCCATTCAGAATTTGTTTCAGACGAACCAGGAAAGCCCTGCCGCAATCGACCACAAGAAGAACATGACGACAAATCGGAGGCGAAAAAACAGAAAATTCGAACAATCGCCTCGCTAACTGTACTTGAATCCGTGGAGGCGCGTTAATCCCTGTGGCGCGCAATGTTCCGCTGCGTTAAGACTTCTCCTTTCTTTCCTCCTCGTGGATGAGTCAGGACGCGCGAGCGACAAAGACGAATAGGAGGTCATGGCATTTCGGGTTTGTCAAGTTCCAAACGCCGCTTTCCGGAATGGGAAATCAGATAGCAATCTCGACGAGGAAATCATTGTAAAAATAAAGACAACTTGAGCTTTCCGTCATTTGGAAATGAGCTCCGAGATCGGGCCGCTTCATCTTTCATCCAAGTAATCCGCTGCATTTCATTTATATCCTAATACACATAGCTTACCAAAAGCAATAAGACTCATTTTAAAGCTTACAAAACTTCAGCGAGGCTTTCGACGAAATCCTAGCTCTGAAAAAGGATCCTAAAACCGCCTAAAGTGAGTAAACCGAATTCAGTGGGATTGCTGCAATGTGGACACTGAGTCATACGCTTTGGACGAAGGCAGACGGGGTCAAAAGACATTAAGGGCGGGTTCCCTACAGCGTTGAAAGACGAAATATGCATTTCGCTCGGGATCAGAGACCTATTCTCCACCGGATAACAGTTATGAATAACACATTGGGTCCATTTTATTGGGGACCGCATGTGGGAAAACTGGGGGCAGAAACTTATCCCTAAAGTTTTTAAAATTTGAGGAGGAAAATACTTCTATGGGGTATGGAGTTACAGGTCGAGTCCGTGTTAGAGAAGTGGACAGTGTTTTTAAATAAGTGAGATGGCGGCTTTTTTGCTGATTAGAGAGTTTAGAGGCATTGTTTTTATATGAAGGCCAGCATAAAGTTTCACATATTTTCTCCTCACAAGGAAAGTACTTCTATGGGGTATGGAGTTACAGGTCGAGTCATACATCAAAAAATCGTAAAATTTTTCTTACTCAAAATGTGTAAAAGTTAGTCTAATATTGGTTTGTCAGAGTGAAAAAAATCCTCAGAACTTTTCTCGCAACACCCCTTTTTTCTATTGGAACTAATAATTAAGGTGTAGTATTAATCAAATTTGATATTTTAAAGGCCTGTCAAGATGCCAGGGTTCACTTTAGCTCAAAACAAAGTGTTTGATTTGGTAAAAACTTTGTCAAAAAGCTATTTGCGTGGTGTTGCGAGAAAACTTCTGAGGATTTTTTCACCTTTACAAACCAAAATTAGGCAGCTAACTTTTACATATTCTGAATCAGAAAAATTTTGCGATTTTTTTGATATATGACTCGACCTGTAACTCCATAACCCATAGAAGTACTTTCCTTGTGAGGAGAAAATATGAGAAACTTCATGCTGGCCTTCATATAAAAACAATGCCTCTAAACTCTCTAATCAGCAAAAGTGGCCACCTCACTTATTGAAAAACACTGTCCACTTCCCTAACACGGACGATAAAGCCCATGAATAAATCATGCAAACCTCATTGGCCTACTCAAACAATTTTGGAAATCCATTAGAGCCGAGAAATCCTAATCTTGCATTCAAAAAAAGGGGAAGTACGTTTACTCATTCGAGAGTAAAATGCCCGAGTGAGAGGAGGTTTCGCAATGACCACGGATCCCCAAAAAAATGGCCTTCACATCGGAAAAAATGGCCACAAGGCGCGCAAGGGGACGCCACAGCTGTTTGGAAATTTCAAAAACACAGAAAAGCCCGTAAGAGTATTAGATGAAGAAAAAATTGTTGGGGGAAGGGAATTGCGCGCCTTTTCCTTTCGGAATGGACAACAAAGTTAGGGGGAATAAAGTCTTTGTTCCAGACAACAAAATTGATGGCTTTGCAAACCGGGAAACGGCATTAAAAATTGGCCCCAAACTATTTACAGAGATCTCGCCCTTTCGTTATTGTTAGTGCAAAATGATCCTCCTTCTACAAGATCTACAAAGAAAACTACGAGTAGTTTCTATAAAAAAGGAAAGGTCGTCGATTTAGACATAAAAACATACCCCCAAAAGACCTTGTTATTGTCTTCATGACGCAAAATTACGGGTGTTAAGCCGAAAATGATCGGAAAAGGAGAAAACTCGATCCCTCCAGAAATAATTCAAAAGGATGTCCGAACCATAATGAAACGTATAGTTCAAAACCATAACGATCTGCGCGATCGCTTTCCCTCAATATGTCTCGGAGAAAGAGGGGGGAGAGTCAGGAAGGTAGAGATCCGTTCGATCCCTTGAAATCCAGCGGAACAAATAAATCGTGGAGGGAACAACTTCAGCCCCGTCCAGAATATGGAAGAAGATGGAGGGGGGAGAACAAAACGAAGATGGTCGGAGGGCAACGGCGCGCGTTTTTTCGCTCAATTCACCTCGACAAAAATCAGCCGGTCCGCTGCGGCGGTCGAAGCCCGGTTACTCCTCCATTTTCAAGCGCAAATTTCGAACGATGACTAAGCGGCGCGAGTCTCCACGCCTTCAGGGTTCGTAAACGGGTCATTCGAGGTGGAGAAGGGGGAGCGTCAACGATCGGAAAACACCTATCTATCAGCGCAAATTAGTGTTTGATGAGTTGATGAGTCAATCAGATCGAACGCGCGAGTCCCCTTCGGTCTGACTCGCTCATAACTGTTTCGAAAAACAACAATTTGTGTTGAAACGCGCGAGTCGAACGGAAATTAAACTTTTTAAAAACCAAAAATTATCCAAGATGACTCATACCCACAAAAAACACATTTCTAATCGGGGCAATGATTCGATGCTAATAAAGAGAAGGCCGTTGGAATAAACAGACTCTCAAAGTGATAGGAAATAGAAAAAATAGAAACGTCAAAGAAAATGATGTTTCCATTTCCTATCTTTGCAACCAAAATATTATTCACCATAAACGAAGTGCGTTCGAAATTTGTTTAAAAACGTGCGAATCTGCAAAACAGAATGATAGAATTCAGATATCTCTTATCGAGAACGATAAGAGATATCTGCCAAAAGGCAATTTACAAGAACTTTGGACGAGTTGGAGCAACCAGGATATTTTAGAGCCCGAATCCATCAAAAACGCTAACGCCCTTCCGTTTTCGGAACACAAGGCTTCGAAATGCGAAATCTCACCCATAAACCCGATAAACAAATAAACAAACGACTGCTTTTTATAGGATAGAAGGAGGATTCATCTAATGCAAACTTTTAACACTATCCAAGATACCACTATGACACATATTGACGTCAATTCGCTGATAGCAGAAACTCGAAATCCTCCGTCTTTATCACATTATGCACAAGATTATTAAATCCTTACTGAACGGAGAAGAAGACAAAAAAATTGTCAAGTCATTGAGAAATCCATAAAAAGCCTTTCGAACGACCAGATAATCAGCATAATAACCATCCCTTTATCCGATTTTCCTTGTTTTACAACGGGTTTTCCCGCCAAAATATAGTGGCCATGGAAACCCGAATTTCAAAAACAACGGCCAAATTTTCAACTCCTAATTCACGTCCGCGACCCTCCCCCAAAAAACCCGAGAACTCCATAAATCTGATCTACATCCTCTTCGATGCCATTGCTTGGAATTGTGCCATCACCGCCGGCCTAACCATCTCGCAGCGCTATTTGGACGGACAAACCGCGGCGGACCAGTGAAAGGTCAAGGAGAGCCGGAACAATAGAGGCATCAAGATGAAGAGAGTTCATACCATAGTAAGTCCGGGTCAGAGCGCTTTAATGGGAAAGACAACACCAAGCGACAGCTTTGCAGAGAAATGACCAACTCCTGGACAGCTTATTGTCGGTCTAGCTTTGAAGAAATATTAATGAACAATGAGCATTATACCGAAATTCAAAGCTAATTAAGCGGCTCAAAAACTTTCTATCGGACTGAACACAATGTCGAAACTTCTCGTAACCAAAAACCAAGCCTACATGCAATATTTCGCAATCCAACGTTTCCGCCGTCCAGTACAACATAATTCATAGCTTTTTCCGGAAAATTATCTGATTGGGACTGTGACCGCGGATTTCCTTTCAATCAAAGTGCTGTAAATTCTCAGATTTCTAGAGCTGTGCTGCGCCTTTGAGATCAAATTTGCAATATTACTCCTTCCGAGTCTCCCGAAACGATGGCGTATAAACACAGCATTTTTTTGTAAAGCTATGGCCAGAAAATTCCAATACGCCACACACGAGAGCAAAAGCACATTTACACAAAAATCCGACATTACCCCCACCGTTCCGCTTGGCAATACGCGGTGTTTCCTCAGTATTACCTAAAAACCAAAAACAATAAAGAAAATTACTTACATTTTCTTTATCCTCCATGATGAAAGATATATTTACGGCCTCTACTTGCTGCAAAAATCAGTATCAATCCTCTTGGGCTGGGGAAAAGCCTTGTTTCAGCGAGGGAATCAGCGAGAAAATTGCCGAGACGGAATGTCACTGAGGGTGTAACAAAATGTCACATGATTTATTGGGAAGGGAAGATGACAATAAGATTATTTTCAGTTGAATTTTAGGGGGTTTTTACATAAATTGAGAGTGTTTTGACCGACATTGATGTTACTTTATGGCTTAAAAATACTATTTATCTTGATGGTCTAGTATAACATAAAAATTTGATATTTTTTTAAAAAAATTTAAAAATTTCACTGCCTATCGCTAGAAAAACATTTCCATACGTATACGTACATATATGATATCGCTATTTATTTTTAAAAATCATGAATTATCTGCAAAAATATTCGGTTTCAGATCACTTGTCCTTCTCCTTGTCTCTGTTCGAATTCTTGGCGGCGGTTTGGATTTTCTTGCCCAGGAAGCCGTCCGACGCCAGCACACGATACAACAGCATGCAATTCACGACGAAGAAAAAGATGCTTCCATATAATCCGACGGCTTTGTAGAAGTAGACAAAGTGGTCTTGTTGGGTGAAAGTGAAGTGAACTTGGAAAATCTGGACGAAAAACCGGAAAATGACGAAGCTAAAAGGTCAGTGAGATAATTTACAGACTCCAAACGCTTTTTTTTAATTAAAAATCTTAAAAAAATCGACCACTTACGTCACAACATTCAGATATTTAATGATTTCAAACTCCATTTTATGACTTTCCGCCCGCCCAGAAAGTTGATGCAGTGTTCTCATGTGCAAAAAGACGCTAGAAATTCAATATTACAACTCAAAATCCATTGAAAATGCTCAAAAACTACGAGTTTTATACTAATTTACCTGTTCACCTCCATTAGTAGTCCCCAATACCCAAAAATCGCAAAATCATGACTGCAGATGGGGCAAAGGAAGACAAAAACAGTCACGGCATGATGGAATAAGAGCTCTAGAGTCCATCTGGAGATCTCATGCTTCAACATGTCCAAGGCATCGTGGATAAAATACCCTGAAAATGAAAATAAGGGAAGATCAGGGATTTTCGAAAATTTTCAGAGAAAAATCGCTAAAATTAAGCCAAAATTTATTTCTATAGAAACCAGCTGGCATTGAAAAATCAAATAATTCGAAAATTTCAAAATGAAAATGAGATTTTTAGCGAAAAAGAGACGAAAATTTGAAACGATGACTAAAAGTCAAAAATTTTGGAAAATTGGGAAAAAATCGGTGAAAACCAACGTCATTAATGTCCGAAAGAGTTTTTAATGCCAAACACAAAATAATTTTGATCCCAAATCAAAAATTTTTAACCCAAAAACGTTCGAAACTCCGAAAAATCGGAACTGGGACGATTGGGGAAAAAGATGATTGGGGAAACTGAAAAGTATTATTTTTGTTCGCTACTAGTGTGAAATAAGGATAATCGAGGGTGCTGATTTCGAAAATGACAGTCATTTTTTGATGCTTACTTTTTTCCTAAAGTAGTACCGTAAAGTTGTAATTTTTTGAATTTTTTCATGGATACTCGATTTGGGGGTTTTCGAAGGTGGTGCTTTCAAATCAGAAAAAATGAATAAGATTTTCGAAATCAGCACCATCAAAGACCCCTAAATCGAGTATTTATGAAAAAAATGCAAAAAATTACTATTTTACACTACTACGTAAGGAAAAAAGTAGCTATCAAAAACTAGGCATGGCTCCGGGCCGGGCTTTCCAAAATTTCCCGGCCCGGGCCGGGCCGACTAATTTCTCGGCCCGGCCCCGGGCTTCGATTTTCAGGCCTGGCCCGGCCCGGGCCGGCCCGGTTTTTTATGAAATCTGAGTTTTGCCCGGAAAAAAAGGAAAAAATAAGCTTTTTCGATAAAATTTTTCATTTTTTCGAACACAATGCTGATAGCGAACGTAAAATGACCTTATTTACCACTCGCCCAAATGAAAAAATAATTTTCAGGTCAATTTGAAAAAAAATTTTCAGAAATTCTTAAGTGCGACCTCATAGTTAATACGCTGGCAAAAAAAGCAAAAGGAAAAATTTTCAAAAATACGCAATACGCTTGTAGGTTTTTTCAAATTCAATAAAAGATCTGTGATAAAACATTTTTGCTAAAATTTGGGTGACTATACACAAAATTTTATGATTTTTTGTAACCAGATGGTAAGACAATTTATGGCGACTTAGTAATTTACAAAAATAGTCAAGCGGCAATTGAACTATGTATATGTTTTGCTAAATTATCTTTTACATTTTGCGAATTTTCCCTTCATTTCCTGCTTTGTTTCTTTCCAGCGTAGTACAAAAATTTTCCGGGCCGAACCGGGCCGGGCTTTCCAAATTTTACAAGCCCGGGCCCGGGCCGGGCTTGGAGATTTAGGCCCGGCCCGCAGGCCCGGGCCGGGCTGGCCCGGTTTGCAGCCATGCTTATCAAAAACCCCTCGATTACCTTAATTTCACACTTGCATCGAAGAAAAATAATAATTTTCTGTTTCCCCTATCGTACTTTTCCCCAATCGTCCAAGCGAAAAATCAGCAAAAATGAGAAATTTTTGCAAAAAAAGCCTCCGGTTTCCCTCAAAATTCCCCTGAAATTCTTACCGACACTGAATTGGAAGACATACTTCATGTAGGGCTCATAATAAGTCGCTGGATTGTCGAACATCAACCGGAAGTGGGTAATGGCAAAGCCCAACACGAACCCTCCGCTGATCATTGAATGGGTAATGCAAATTGTCAAATTTCGGAGCCGGTATTGCCTGAAAATTTGGGGAATCTTGAAAATTCTCACCGAAATCCACTAAAATTCGTCCAGGACCATCTCCACATACAGATGGAGAAGAGCTTGAAGGCCAGGAAAGAGCCCAAAATTGGAAGGAAATTTCGCGCCTCTAAGATTCGTCCCCATTCTGGAGCAAAAATGTACCAGCCAGGAGGCAATGTCAGATCCAACCGCTCTTCGTAAAGCATGCTAATTTGATTGGTGGGAAAGTAGATTTTTTTTGTGAAAAAATCGAAATTTGAGAAAAAAATTAAATGTCATTTTTTTCAAAAAATCTTTTTTCAACTAGAGATGTAAGCTATTCTGTCGGGAAAATAATGAGCACAACGTTGCTGTGCCAATCGTTGAACTGAAAAGCAATTTGATTTTGCCGCGACACAATTAATTTTTCTCGGCGGCGATGCGATTTTCGATGCGACAGAGTGCTCATTATTTTTCCGACAGACCGATATTTTCGTAAAGGAGACTTTTGCATTTTCGAACGGTGCATCTTGAACTTTTTCCCACGCTTGTCGCCAACGCCCATTTTTCTTTTTATTGCACAGTGCAAACCGCAAAAAAACCGTTCGCACTATGCAAATCCCAGGCTCCGACGCGGCGACATGACCGAAACAACAGTCCAGCGATAATTTGTCGCGCAGTGCAAAACCAAAAAAAGATCGAATGCACGGTGCAAAATTCGGGGTTTTTTCGCGTACGGTGCGGGGCTCGGCAAATGTCCATGCACTTTATGGATATACTAATGTCAGTCTGTCGGGAAAATAATGAACACTCTGATGCATCGAAAATCGGATCGTCACTGAGAAAATGAACTGGGTCGCGGCAAATTGCTTTTCATTGACGTTGGGTTCAGTATTTTCCCGACATGTCCAAGATTCGTTAATTACAGCTTTGTTTTTTACTCTTGAAATATTTTACCCTTATAATAAGAAAATAAGATTTTTTTGTATTACAATTTTTGTATAATACAAAAAATCTGATTTTCTTTTTATTTCGCAAACTGCGGATTTTTCCATTTTACCTCAATCCAAAATTACATCGAGGTTCATTGAAGAAAGTTGTAGGTATTGTGCTTGACATATGATGATAAGTTTCGCCATTTGATTCCTGCCAATTAGCCTCTTACAAATCTCGCAATGACTACAAAACGGTTCCCAAACTAGAATTCTTTTTTCAAGATGCTTGCATAGGCAAAGAAGCCGTAACTGAAGTATTATATCTGTGCACTATTTTGAGACCTGTCCTTGTGATAGGTAACAAATTTTGAGACAATAAAAGAACGTGCAAACGAATGTCAAGTTAATTTTCGAGAGTGTTGACGACGACAAGTCCACAAGTTCGAAGATTCCAATGGTGGACAGGAATTTGTTTTTATTGACCTTTCGTTTTCGCACAGTGCATTTTGAATTTTTGTCGCCAACTCACTGTTAAATTTTCCCTTTTTCGCACCGTGCAAACCTCGAAAAGACCGTTTGCACTGTGCAAATTCTCGTGGCGGCGCAATTGAGAAAAGCTTATGTCGCAGCGATATTTCAAATGCACAGTGCAAAACCAAAAAAGGGTGAATGCACGGTGCAAGAACTCGCGAATTTTTGTGCACGGTGCGGACCGCGACAAATGTCCAGGCACTTTGTGAAAATGCTAATATTGCACAGTGCAGAGAAAAAGTTTGTTTTCGCACAGTGCATGTCGCAAAGATCACTCTGGCGACTTGGAGCTGAAAAAAAGCTTGCGCTATTTTTGCCATATTTCGTGTCTAAAACTACACATACAAAGTGATGTTTGAGAAAGTGTAAAACGCGATTGTAGAGTGTAAATTGTAACAGTGTTTAACCTCAAATATCACCAATCACATTTGAAAATTTTCCTCTAACTTACACTTTAGTGCGACAACTCTAATTGCTTTACACTTTAGAGTGACAACAAAACTAAAAATTTATTAAAATTAGAATCAATGTTCTGTGTGTCATAGCTACTTTACTGTAAATGAGTATTGTTTTCGCATCTTTACTTGTTCCAAACACCATCCATAATAAACTCGAAGCTCTTTTTTTCGAGCTGGAGGGGTGTCGAGTAGTCCAAAATAGTGCTGATTTAGAAAGTCAATTTAATTTTTTCTAATTTTTGCTTGTTTATCTCACAAGGAAAGTACTTCTATGGGGTGTGGAGTTACAGGTTAAGACATATACCAAAAAAGTCGCAAAATTTTTCTGATTCAGAATATGTAAAAGTTAGCTGACTAATTTTGGTTTGTAAGGGTGCAAAAATCCTCAGAACTTTTCTCGGAACACTACGCAAATGGTAAAAATTTGGTCAAAAAGGCATTTGCGCGGTGTTGCGAGAAAACTTCAGAGGATTTCTTCACCCTTGCAAACCAAAATTAGGCGGCTAGTTTTTATAAGAGAGTTTTTTACAAACTGAAGCTTCCCTCCAAGGGGCCCGGACATTGTTGCAACGACCATCACCAAATTTCTTGAAACTTGGCCAGTAGAAAGGCCTGAGCATGCTGATGAAAAGCGAAGAAGGGTTTCGCGAAATTTCAACCAGTCCGCGATTACTGTAACAATTTGGGTTTTGTAAAGCAGCCGTTGTCACGGACCGGGCGATCGCCCTACGGTTGCTGAGACTTCTTGTCTGTATGTTTTCGAACATGGCCAACATTTTTCTAATTGAAACTTTTTTTGTATCTTTTCGTCTTTCGGTAGTACCGTAATCGTCATGATACCATATCGATTACTGCCGAAAATTGGAAAGAGTGTAACAAGTTTTCAAACCGGATTATAAAAGTTGGACACCCTTCCCGTAAAATAAAACAAAAAAATCAAAAATATAAGTTTTTGAGATATAAGCGTTCAAAGTTGCCATGTTCGGTTACTGTAGGACCAAAAAGGGGATGATCAATTTTCAAACGGTACGATTGATTGCCACGCCTCACCCATTAATAGATCAGCCTTAGAAAAATATTTTCAGGTCAAAAAATAAATATTTGAGGCTTTTTTTCAGGCTTTATACGATGGTTACTGTAGTTTCTAACTTTTGTTAATTTCGCTAACAAATTTATTGGAATGACGAATTTAGACAAGCTATCCGGGTCAGAAGCGCGCATACATCATGGAAGGCAAAAATCAGAATCGTAATACTACCCATTCCTGAAATAGTGGGAGATTACGGTTGTCCGATTCCACCTTCGGTCAGAAAAGAAAACGACAATATGGCTAGTGGTCTTGCGGTGTTCTTCCTGTCGATTACCTTCCGCACTCTTGCTACCTGAAATTACTTGGCCTTCCAAGTGGAAGGTTGCGGATGTGGATGTCGGGTAATCGATTGTATTCGTTCCCCTTAAAAGATGAACACGAGAATGAGAGAAAATTAACTCGAATAAATGAATTTATCAATAAACGTAAACAATACAATAAAATGTGCAATACAACACAACTCTACAATAACAACACTACAATAACAACTACAACAACTCGACACAACAACAACCCATAAAAAATATCTGATCAAGATGGGATAAAACCTCGGAGAAGGTTACGGTGTCGTGATTCAGGCTCTCCGCTTCGGGATCTCTCCATCGAACATTCTCGAACATCGGGGAAAAACAACTGGGGAAACAGTTGACACAGGGGACATCTCTCTCTCTCCATAAATTCCATCGAGTTGACACATCGTGGATAACTCCAGGTTCCGTGGAATCTGACATTGCCCGCCCAAGTACAAAGTGCTTCTTCTTCGTTCCGTTCATCCATTCTGTCCATCGATCAATCATCCTTTGTCCAAAGCTATCAAGTTTGCATCTTTCTTCATTCATACATTTGATCACATCGATGGCAGAATCATCATACTTCAGTTCCTCAGTTGTCCTTCTCAATTCACATCCCAATCTTTCATCATTATCAGTTTGAAACATGTCTACTTTCAAATTCTCTCTCATCATAAACATGTAAGGTTCTATGACATTGTTTGATCCCTCTACTGCGTCATCTTCCAATTCGGTCAAAATCAAGACTACAATAATCTTCGTCACATCTGGTTGAATCAATGTCATAAAATTCTCCAATGGGTGGATCACATCATAATGAGCTCTCTTGTTCTTCTTCAAGGTGTACCTCTTCCTCTTCTTCTTCTTTCTCAAAAACATTTCGTTGGCGCTTCTCTCTTCAATTTCATTATCAAAAAAGATAATTACATCATCTTTCACGTACTTCTTTCTCACTGCGTAGCTATCAGTCATGACACAAAGTGTCTCTGCGACTCGTCGCGGACCCTGCCGGCGGCCAAAAATCTTCTGTGCTCTGAATACATCAAACTTATTCTCGAGATTCTCATTCTCAATATCCACATCGAAATTCTTCAAATCATCATCACTTTTCTCAATTTCTATCGGATATAACTCTTGACGATGTATTCTTCTTTGCACGGAGTTCTCAAAAGGTTTCTCAAACTTTCCTGGTACTTCATCAAAATTCTTTTCATTCAGCTCATCTGGTTTCTCGCAATCAACCTTCTCATCACTTACCATCATAACAATTGCTCCTTGGTTCCTCTGAGTTTCAATGTCTCTCCTTCTAGGCGATACACATATCAATTTGTGGTGATCTTCTCCACATCTCTCACATTTCTCAGCATCACAACTCCCTGAATGGTTCATCAAACATTTCTCACATGCTTTCAGCTGTTGAATTCTTTTTCTTCTCAAATATGCTGAGTAATGGATCCCGCACATCCTTCCGTTGTGCTTTCCTTGGCAAAAGTAGCATCTTATAGCCTGCTTATGTTCTCTGTCGTTCCTGATCGGCTCTGACTCTTTCTTCTCCATTCTCCTTCGGACATCATCGTTCTCAAAGGGTCTTCTTTCATCTTCTGAATTTTCTGAAACAGTGCCAAATGATTCTCTTCGGTAATTTTCAAATCTTCGCCTCTTCATTCTCTGAACAATAACATCGTGGGCCCACTGTGCAAAATGGTCCGCTCCACGGTCATATGCTCTGTCGTAACCATGACAAAACTCCAATACATTGGCTTGATCTTCAGGCAAAATCCTAAAAAATGCATCAAATAAAGACTCATCGTGCATATCATATCTGGCATCTTTCAGCCTAAGCACAGCTTCATAATATCTCAGAATATTCTTCGGCGTTTCATATGCTGGGTACATTGTCGGGAGATCGAACAAATCCATTAACATCTTCATCGTACTCGTCTTGGTCGTGCTAAAGTGTCTTTCCAGCGACTTCAATGTTCTTCTCAACGATTCCATTCCAGGATCCAGCGATTCTACAATTCTGGTTTCGTCTCTTCCCAATCTTCCTCTCAAAAATGCATTCTTTTGCATGGGCAAGTAGTTGGGATTCAATCCAATCAATGAGTTATACTGGACAATAAATCTCTTCCATCCAGTGTAATTCTTTTCGTATAACTTTGGGATCATCGATTCTGTCACATTCGGCGATTTCCTATGTGAATGTTTCTCAAACTGCAGACATCGACATCGTAATTTCCCTTTCTCAAATGCTGAATACAAGCACAGTGTATCCAATTCTCTTCCTTCATGGCGTCTTCCATAATCGTTATCTGTTGATGAACTCGACGATGAGTGTCTTCTTGACTTCTTAAGAGTGGTTTTCTTCTCTTTCTCACGTCGATTCCGTCCATGTCGACTTCGTTCGTCCGGTGAACTGTCTCTAAATGATCTATTTCGTCTTCTCTTACCTTGTGAAGCACGATTCTGCGATCTTTTCCATCGTCGGCTACCTTGCGACGTACTGCTATCAGATCCTCCATCGGACTCTGATTCTGAACTTGATTCGCTTGAACTACACCTGCGATAGCAACGTGTCCGCAGGCTCTGTCCTTCCAAACGTCTCCTTTCGTTCGTCCTTGATTTACTTGAGTTACCACGCTGATGTCCTCTCGAATCACTGGTTTCCCTTTTCAATCTTGGATATTCCACATGACGATCCTCTTCGCCATCTCGACTGCTTGATCCATACCTCGATTTACTTGAGTTACCACGCTGATTTCCTCTCCAATCACTGGTTTCCCTTTTCAATCTTCGGTATTCCACATGACGATCCTCTTCGCCATCTCGACTGCTTGATCCAGACCTTGCCCATCGACTCTCGGCCCTTCTCCTCAACACAATCGACTTGCGGTCTCTTCCGCTTTCACTTGATGTACTATATGATCTGAACCTCGCCTTTCTGCTCGGGGTCCTTCCCTTCATCCTAGCCACATCTTCCTCTGACTCGGTGCTCTCCAAGCTATCCGTTCTTCTATTGCTCCTCAGAGACTTCATTTGGTTGCTCCGCAGAGACTTGTCGCATTTGCTCCTCAGAGACTTGATTTCGTTGCTCCGCAGAGACTTACTCAATCTTCGTGTTCTCAAATCCATCTCATCATGGTGTTTGTTCCATGATGTCGGCTTCAGGAATTGATCTTCAACGTCGATATCTTCGGGTTGTCGTGTTGTGTAAGTTGCGTTCTCAATTGCCTTCTGATGCTTTTCCTTTCTTCCGCTTCTACCTTCCCAGAACTTCTCTGCTCCATACCTGAGGTCTTCCGCTTTTGAGTGAGTAGGTTGGCCATCGACGCGTCCCTGTCTGTCGGGCACCTCTTCCTGGGTGAATCTTTTGCGTTCGCCTTCCAATTCTACCTCCAACTCAACTTCTCCATCACTTTCTTCAGAAGACACCTGCGAATGAGCAGGTGGGACACCGACCCGTCCCTGTCCGTCGGGCACCTCTTCCTGGGGGGTTCTTCCACGTCCGGTTCCCTTACCTCTCTTCTCTTCGCTTTCCCGTTTGGTTCTCCTGCCATGTGATAACTCCAAGTCCCACTTTATGATGCCGTCTTCAAGCCGTAATCCTTGGCGGGCCATCATCTCTGGACTGATTTTTAACTGCCTCATCTTGTCCTGGATGTTCTCAAAGTTCTCGAGGTTCTTCGCGGTATAATGTTCATCATATCTACCTAAAATATTCTCAACAAGGTCTTCATCTTCTTTCTCAAGATGTCCTGTGAGTTTCTTCAGCTGATTCAACACTTCTGGGATCTCGTCAATGTACATCTGCATCTTTTTCACATTCTCAATCCAACGTTCCAGTTCCTCTTCTGTGTCCGGTTTCGAATAGTCAAAATCGTCCAAGACCGGGCTAACTGTTTTTCTGACGCGGTTGATTTTCTCTTCTTTTTTCTCGAGCGTCCCAATCCATTTCTTCATTGCATCTGTATACACATTCATTGATTCACTCATCCTTTCAAGTTGATTCTCAAAAGCTGACGTCTCAGCTATTCTCAGTGCCAATCCTGTTTTTGTCGTTGATATAATCCTGGTCTTTGTTCCAAACCAAGCTCAGCCCCCACTTTTCGTCTGTCCGATTCCACCTTCGGTCAGAAAAGAAAACGACAATATGGCTAGTGGTCTTGCGGTGTTCTTCCTGTCGATTACCTTCCGCACTCTTGCTACCTGAAATTACTTGGCCTTCCAAGTGGAAGGTTGCGGATGTGGATGTCGGGTAATCGATTGTATTCGTTCCCCTTAAAAGATGAACACGAGAATGAGAGAAAATTAACTCGAATAAATGAATTTATCAATAAACGTAAACAATACAATAAAATGTGCAATACAACACAACTCTACAATAACAACACTACAATAACAACTACAACAACTCGACACAACAACAACCCATAAAAAATATCTGATCAAGATGGGATAAAACCTCGGAGAAGGTTACGGTGTCGTGATTCAGGCTCTCCGCTTCGGGATCTCTCCATCGAACATTCTCGAACATCGGGGAAAAACAACTGGGGAAACAGTTGACACAGGGGACATCTCTCTCTCTCCATAAATTCCATCGAGTTGACACATCGTGGATAACTCCAGGTTCCGTGGAATCTGACAACGGTAGCCGTACCCACTTTTTTCGCTGTTTGGCCGCGGCATTCTTTGGAGCTGCGAGTGTAACAACTTTTAAGGCCTGAAATTCATTCATGATGGATAGAAGAGCATTTCAGCAAAAAATCGCGAAAATAAAAATATAAGTTTTTGAGAAAATCCAAGATTACGGTCATTTTAGGGGGTTTTTGGGCCGTTTGGCCGCGGCATTCTTTGGAGCTGCGAGTGTAACAACTTTTGAGGCCTGAAATTCATTCAGGATGGATATAAGAGCATTTCTGCAAAAAATCGCGAAAATAAAAATATAAGTTTTTGAGAAAATCCTGGATTACGGTAGTTTAGGAGAGGAAATCCCCTGAAATGACCGTAATCCCGAATTTTCTCAAAAACTTATATTTTTATTTTCGCGATTTTTTGCTGAAATGCTCTTCTATCCATCATGAATGAATTTCAGGCCTTAAAAGTTGTTACACTCGCAGCTCCAAAGAATGCCGCGGCCAAACGGCCCAAAAACCCCCTAAAATGACCGTAATCTTGGATTTGCTCAAAAACTTATATTTTTATTTTCGCGATTTTTTGCTGAAATGCTCTTCTATCCATCATGAATGAATTTCAGGCCTTAAAAGTTGTTACACTCGCAGCTCCAAAGAATGCCGCGGCCAAACAGCGAAAAAGTGGGTACGGCTACCGTAATCTCCCACTATTTCAGGAATGGGTAGTATTACGATTCTGATTTTTGCCTTCCATGATGTATGCGCGTTTCTGACCCGGATAGCTTGTCTAAATTCGTCATTCCAATAAATTTGTTAGCGAAATTAACAAAAGTTAGAAACTACAGTAACCATCATATAAACCCTCAAATAAAGCTTCAAATATTTATTTTTTGACCTGAAAATATTTTTCTCAGGCTGATCTATTAATATGTGAACCGTAGAGATTAATGGAAAAGTTTAAAAATTGATCGTCTCTATTTTGGTCCTACAGTAACCGAACATAGCAACTTTGAACGCTTATATCTCAAAAACTTATATTTTTATTTTTGATTTTTTTGTTTTATTTTACGGGAAGGGTGTCCAACTTTTATAATCCGGTTTGAAAACTTGTTACACTCTTTCCAATTTTCGGCAGTAATCGATATGGTATCATGACGATTACGGTACTACCGAAAGACGAAAAGATACAAAAAAAGTTTCAATTAGAAAAATGTTGGCCATGTTCGAAAACATACAGACAAGAAGTTTCGGACCCGTAGGGCGATCACCTGGTCCACGACAACGGCCGCTTTATAAAACACAAAATGTTACAGTAATCCCGAAATAATGCAAATTTTGGGAAAACGTTTGACGCTTTTGATGTATGCCTTGTGGGTGTTCTATGAGCCAAATTTGAAGAAATTCGGTGATGGTCACCGCAACAATGTCCGGGCCATGCTTCACTTTGTAAAAAAGTCCGTTTTATATACTCTGAACCAGAAAAATCTTGCGATTTTTTGGTATATGTCTTAGCCTGTAACTCCAATTACCATAGAAGTACTTTCCTTGTTAAATAGTACTGTAAATTAGTATGTAATGTCTCGACTTTTTTTTGATGAGAAGTGCTTTTATAGGTAAAGATTACTTACAGGGACGGACCTGATCCAGTGAAAAAACCTGCCATTTTGCATCCAGGAAGTCAAAAAATGTAGCAAAATGCCTCCCTCCCCAACAAAAAAAAACCGTTTTGAAGGGCGCTTTTGAAATCGTGGAGGTGCCACATTTCTGATATTCTCCGGGTGCAAAATGGAACGTTGATTGCCACTGGATCAGGTCGACCACTGTATTTTACAGTGTTGAGAAAAATTACCCTGTACCCCGTCCAGATCCCACTGGGATAAAATTTTTTGGACATTTTGGCTCTTACTATGCAATTTATTTATGCAATTGTATATTATAGTTTGGGAAGGCCACCTCCTTTCGGTTCATTCTGACGTCTCAATTTGCCAGCAAATGCATGTTTCATTACCGCAACTTTTTCCTCATTACACTATTCCCCCTTCAAGTGGCATGAACTGTAGGATTACAGACACGCCAATTTTGTACCTGATATTTTCGGTTATCTGTAAGTCCATAACGCAATTACCGGGACCCAAAAGTTGGACTTTTGAATAAATTTTGGATTGAAACCATAAACCTTGCGGTGGTGGTTAAATTTGGCCCTACCGTGTTACTGTTAATCTAATCGTTATGCAAAATTAGGTTTAGGGGGAATTGCCTAATCTTGTATTCATTTTTGCAAAGACATGCGGATATTCCTAGCTCGCGTTTTGCAGAAATAATGGAGATTTTTGTTCTGAAAATTGAACAAAATTCAAAATTCCTTTTTTTTACCTCATCAAAAATCGCATCGCCGCCGAGGTGATGACTTGTGTCGATTCAAAATCAAATTGCTATTCACTTCAGCAAAGGAATTGGCGCAGCGACATTATGCTCTATATTTTCCCAACAGACTTGTATACAAAAAATTGTATTTCTACCGGCAAAGATTACAAAAATCAGTTTTTCCATGCTAAACCGGAAATGAGCTGCCAAAAAGTGTTTTTCTCTCTAACCGCTCTCCGCGTTTTTCGCGCCCTATCGTCGTCAAAGATTTCTGAATACAAATCGCGCCATAAAGTCCTGACACATTTGTCGCGGGTGTCGCGAAAATTGGAGCGATCTCGCGCGAAAGTGCAATTGCAAAACGGGAAATTACCGCGACAAGCCCGAAAGAAAAACAAAAATGCACTGTGCAAATGCGTCAGGACTTTATGGCGCGACTAGTATCTCAGCCGCTTCTTTTCAAAATTTCTGAACGACTTTTTATGTGTTCGTAACGGGTACGTTGTTGTTGTGACAATGTTTAGTACGACGTCTTACGCGGAATTTGTTGTTCTTGGCCTTCAATTCATTGTACTCCTTCATGTTTTTTTTGAAAGACAAAACGTATCGTCAAAATTGTTTCCGTCTCAAATGTTCGTATCTTCTGTTCCTAGAACTTTGAAATTTGTAATGATGACAAAACAGAAAATCATTTCGTTTGTTGCACTTTTCATGCACTTTCTTGGCAAAAGACGAAATGTGGATTGCCGAGACTTTCTTTCCACTGGTTTGTGACTCAAAAGCCAGAAGGTTGAACCATAATTTTTTTTGTGGTTATGATTGTAAAGATCCCTTCTCAAGACTGACATAAAAAGTTTTTGAGAGACTCCGATTCTTCGCCCTCATGCGGCGACAAATTTTCGCCTTGCCCAGCTGACATGAGGTCCAGGGCGTTGCAACGCGTTGTAACTACCCTTGGAAATATAACGATTAATCCAAGTGGCTCTTTTTGCTGGTTCTTTTTGCTGTTACCCTCAAGAGGGTAACAGCACATTGCAAGCGAAAAAAATTTTTACTTATGCCGCATCGATTCAGCAGAGCGGCGCACGTCAAGAAAAAATAAAAGAAAAACGGGCGCCCAATGAAAAAGCCTAGAATTTTTTTTGGCATTCTGCCCTGTGCAAATCCGTTTTTGTCCAAATGGTTTGCAATATTTTGACATAAAGATTAATAGTAAATCACAAGATATTGATACCAATAGAAAGCTCGAGGGCTGCTTAAGCTAATAGAACCAAAATATACCCATAATCGTAGTATTTTGACAGTCTTCCAAGGCGTAGAATACAACGTCTAAATAAAAGTTTGTATCGACGATACCGAGTCAGAGAGCACTGGAAGGAGGTATACGCTCCACGTCAAAAAAATCCTTAAACTGTTCTTCGAGTATCTACACCGGTCTCGTCCCGCTTGATGGGACAGTTTTTTGATATTCGGCCTTGAAATTTGCACTATTTTTAGCCTAGCTCAACCATGTTCAGAAAATGCGTCACGATGACACCCATTTAGAAAGTACCAGCGGTATAAAAAACAGTTGTATACGACTAGTAGTACCCCCTAGAGTTCCCATAAAAAAATAAGGTTAAAAATTGTTGTTATGTGCAATTTGGATGACAGGTTTTATGAATTTTTTTTCGCTGTGAGAACCTTTGCAATGCCCGAAATTTCTTGACGTGCGGCGCCGATACTATTTGCGTCAACCAAGGCGCGGCAACCCGAAGTGTTTCCTGGCTCCTTTCGACTCTTCGCCCATTTTGTATTGGTTGAAATCAAACGAAATGTCAGCCACTTACCAATTCCTGAAATTTTTAGCTCGCGCTTTGCAGGGACAGCCGAGATATTTTCACTATCTTTGCCTCCAAGGAAGTGCGCCACTTGCGGAGTGCGGTCAGAGAGAAACACGCGTTTTGGCCATAGTTTATCTATAATCTCACATGTTTTATCAAAATTTGACCGATGCTTTTGCGGCATTTCCCCCTGCGTGTTGCAGATGACGTGCGGCGACGTTCGGTCTCTTTGAACTTGTGCCAATTTACGCTAGCATTAAATTCGCACTTTGAGAAGTTTTACTGTAAGACAAAAAGGATGTTATCGGACCGGTAGGTTCAATAGACCCATTTAAATTTGTATTATGTAGAACGGGGCATAAAGTTCATGTGCAGGAGTTCCGAGAAGCTTCAAAACCTTCCGCATCCAAATTATAATAGGCTATTCCTATTGTTCTCTTTACATTTCCCTCGAAGTACATCAGTACTCCTATGTCAGTCTAAAAATGGCAAACAAATAGCTGACCATCTTTGAATCCGCCCGACTATTTTCGTTTTTACCATGCTTTTCCTTCGTTAATTTTTCTGTATCAAGTGATAATTTAAATCTCACTAGTTCCCTTTTTTCAGTGATATGAATGCGGTCGACGAGCACCTGTATATCGCGGCGAAGGTGACTTTAATCGGAGTTGTGGCCACGATGGCAATGCACGCCTTCAATTTGACATTCCTCCCCTTCTTTGTGACAGCCCAACGACAACGATTGTCGATCCATTTTCTCATCAACATTTCCTCAGTGATCGTTGGAATCATTTTGTCTCTGCCGTGGAGTATTCTGATTATTTATGGATGGGATTCTGTGGGTAAGACGTCTGGGAATTACGATGATTGGAAGTGATTTCGATTGTGCCCGGGAAGCTTTGGGCGACCTGATCCAGTGGCAAAAAACGTACGATTTTGCATCCAGGAGGCGTCAAAAATGTGGCAAAATGCTTCCCTCTCCAAGTGAAAAAACTTCGTTTTGAAGGGCGCGCTTTTCAAATCTGAGTTTTTTTCACTTGGAGAGGGAAGCATTTTGCCACATTTTTGATACCTCCCGGATGCAAAATGGTACGTTTTTTGCCACTGGATCAGGCCCCCACTGTAGAATACCGCCAAATCCTCAAAAAAGAGGCATTTTGCGGGAGTCGGGATGCCTCCTGAACGCAATAGGAAGGACTTTAGTTCAGTTCAATTCATTCCGGACCTGATTCTAGATTCTCTCTACAATAAGCGAACTGTATTTTGGTGTGCCACCCTGTCCTTCGGCTGGCTTCTGTCCGTCTCGGTTTCTATCAGCTTCCTAACGCTGGACCGACTGCTCACCCTCACATTAGTCCATAAATACACCCGAAAACATCGACATAACATGGCAATAATCAACGTCGCCTCTCAGGTCGTCTTGTATTTTGTTTTTATTCTAATGCAAGTTGGCGATGTTCCAGCGCCCGACGAGTTTGCTCGTAAGTCATAGAATATTCGATTTAACTTACCGTACAGTAGGGTACCTGATCCAGTGGCAAAAAACATACCATTTTGCATCCGGGAAATATCAAAAATGTGGCAAAATGCTTCCCTCTCCAAGTGAAAAAACTTCGTTTTGAAAGGCGCGCCCTTTTTCCTCACAAAAAGATTTTGAAATCAGAGTTTTTCCACTTGGAGAGGGAAGCATTTTGCCACATTTTTGATACTTCCTGGATGCAAAATGGTACGTTTTTTGCCACTGGGTCAGGTCGCCAACTGTATATATAGTAACCACTCGTATGTACAGTAAATCGTATTTTGTATGTGTTACGCAATGATTTCACTGCTTTTCAGCATGCTTCTTGTATATTTGCGTCACGGCGCGGGCTACAAATTTTCTTTTCATCAAGCTGACGCTTGGCCTGGTTAACGTTGTAATTGGGTTGGCCTTCTTCCTTCATATGCTCAAATACACCAAGAACCGGCCGGCTCAGCAGACGGTACGTACCTGTTGCCTTACGGGCGTACAGAAAAATGTAACATCAGTTTGGGAACTGGGACGATTGGGGAAACCGAAAAGTATTATTTTTCTTCGATGCAAGTGTGAAATTAGGACAATCGAGCGTGCTGATTTCGAAAATGACATTCACTTTTTTGATCTTTACTTTTTTCCTTAAACAGTACTGTAAAGTAGTAATTTTTCGAATTTTTTCTTGAATACTCGATTGGGGGTTTCGATGGTGCTGATTTCAAAATGTCAAACCAGAAAAAATGAATAAGATTTTCGAAATCAGCACCACCGAAACCCCCCAAATCGAGTATTCATGAAAAAAATTAAAAAAATTACTACTTTACAGTACTACCTCAGGAAAAAAGTAAAGATCAAAAAAATGAGTGTCATTTTTGAAATCGCCACCTTCGATTATCCTAATTTCGACACTTGCATCGAAGAAAAATAATACTTTTTGGTTTCCCCAAGATCAGTTTGTCGGGGAAATATTAAGCACCCCGCCAATCCAAAATCGCATCGTAATTCCTAGCTCCGACTTAACAAAGTTTTTTTCAAGAAAATGATAATTTTAGCGTCTGTTTCAGACCAATCTAATCGGCCTTTTCGTGGTCTTCAACGAATTTTGCCTCAACTTTATACCTCATATTGTCAGTTACGTAACCTCGGTAAGTCATCGTTATTATCTTCAATACCACTCCTATTCTTTTCTTTGACGCTTTAAACTACTTTTAAACCGAATTTCAGCTCACGGAATTTCACATCGGCAAGGTCTCCGGGCCCTATACAATATACTTCTTCGGCTTGGAAAGTAGTCTTCTGACTATTGCAACGCTAAAAGTAATGGGTGTACCCTTTTCCAAAAATGGTCTTGGCAGTCTTCAACGGTCCTCCAGGAACAATGTCGTCAATGTTAGCAGCACGGGCCAACAACGAGCCGATAAATGAGATAAATTATATTGTTCATGTCAGCTGTGCATATCATTCGAAATGAGAAAGTGTGGCCCTCCGATTTTTTAATAAAATTTTGCAAACATACTCTAAATATGATATAAATCAATTTCTGAAGTTTTTTCTTGTAGCGAGAGCCGAGATTTTATACAATTTTTTACGGCGTCGCGACACTTGCGGGCAACCACTTTGCGGGCAACCAGTTTGCGGGCAATTTTTTTGCGGGCAGCCACTTTGCGGGCAAAATTTGGGGGTCACATTTGCGGGCAGCTGAAACATTTGCGGGCAGCTGAGACACTTGCGGGCAGCCTGGGACACTTGCGGGCAACCGACAATTGCGGGCAACCGGCACTTGACGGTTACAGGGTGGAGGTGGAAGTATTACTGCAATATTTTGGAAATTTGCCGACATTTGCGGGCAGCCGACACTTGCGGGCAGCCGACATTTGCGGGCAACAGGAAAAAACAATCACACAGACTGTATTGGAACTTTTGGGACTGTTGCCCGCAAATGTCGGTTTCCCGCAAGTATTGCCTGCCCGCAAATGTCGGAAAACTTCTAAAATATCGAAGTAATTTTTCCACCTCCACCTTGTTATCCTCAAGCGCCGGTTGCCCGCAAATGTCGGCTGCCCGCAAATGTCGGGAAATTTCCAAAATATCATAGTAATTTTTGCACGTCCACCCTGTTACTCTCACAATCAGGTGTCGGTTGCCCGGAAATCTTCCAGGCTGCCCGCAGCTGTCGACCCTGCCCGCAAATGTCCCAGGCTGCCCGCAAATGCCGGTGCTGGCCGCAAATGTCGGCTGTCCGCAAAAAATTTGCCCGCAAGCTGGCTGCCCGCAAAGTGGTTGCCCGCAAGTGTGCGCCCGCCTTTTTTACGAGAGAGCATGCAAATTGATGAGGTTTGACCGAAAGTTTTTCATTTATTTCACCGCTGATTTCGCTCGAAAAAACTTGATTTTTTGTTTGAAAATTATACTCTTGGTCAGTAACAGAGCCCGATTTTCATATGCCAATAATTTTTTTATTTTTTGCCATTTGTTGGCCAAAAAATCTCAATTATTTTTTCAAATCTCAAGCTACAGTGGGGGACCTGATCCAGTGGCAAAAAACGTACCATTTTGCATCCGGGAAGTATTAAAAATGTGGCAAAATGATTCCCTCTCCAAGTGAAAAAAACTTTCAAAGGCGCGCCCGCTCCTTCAAAATGAAGTTTTTTCACTTGAAGAGGGAAGCATTTTGCCACGTTTTTGATACTTCCCGGATGCAAAATGGTACGTTTTTTGCCATTGAATCACTGTAAAGTTTTTCCAATGCGTCTTGGAAAAGTCTGCTCTAAATTTTTGGCAAATTTTTACCAAAATAAAACAGTGTCACACTATTCTCAAAAAAATAAAAAAAAATCTCAAAAATAAAATAGATGAGATAACAAACAGTTCCAACTCGTAGTAAAACAAAAACAAACCACTTTTCTCTATAAAATAATCTTTATTTCCACGCCTAGGCAAAACTGTCTTTAGCGATTTGCATGATAGAGAAGGGGGAGTCGGCGCACAGGCGGTCCACGTCATTCTGCGTGGGAACCGAGCGCCAAGGAGAGACGCCGGGGATCGAAGTCAACGACGAGGAGCTGAGCGGAGAGTCGTTGGGACGGGGGCCGAGTCTGCTGGCCATCACTTCGAATTTTCGCGTCATTTCATGGACCACGATTTCGGCGGCGCGCCGGCGCAGATAAAACGGCTGATTGGGATGGGGTTTGTTCGGGAACGGCTTTACCGCCTCGAGGAATGAGAGGGTGCGGAATCTGAAATTCGAAAAAAACTTGTTATACAGCAGAAAAAAATTACAAAAATGAAAAAATTTAGAGTAACCAAAAAATTTTTTTTTCGACCTCCAGACGCCTCAAAAATCAATTTCAACTTTTTAATGGGTTAATGTTAATCTTTTGAAATTTAAACTGGAAGTACCTCAACTATCGCCTCGCCGATTTTCTTCAAATTCTGCAGACACTTTTAAACAAGTAACCTATAAAAATATTCGACCGATTTTAGCTATAAAATGTTGAGATTTCCGTCAAATTTCTATCCCAAGGAACCGGGACGAATCGGGAAAAGAGCCATTGGGTACCCGAAAAGCATTATTTTTCTTCGATGCAAGTGTGAAATTAGGATAATCGAGGGTGTTGATTTCGAAAATGACATTCATTTTTTTTTGATCTCTACTTTTTTCCTTAAGTAGTACTGTAAAGTAGTAATTTTTTGATTTTTTTGTCACAAATACTCGATTTGCGGTCGATGGTGCTGATTTCGAAAATCGTATTCATTTTTTCTGACAAGGGAAGTACCCCAAGTGCGACGCTCAGATTTTTTTTATAATTTTGCACACACGCCGTGCATCGATTAAATATCAATTCCTGAAAGAAGCGCCACTGAGATATTGAACGATCTTTGCCGCCGAGAGAGTACGCAAAACGCGGAGAGCGGTCAGAGAGAAAAACGCTTTTTGGCCATAACTTTGGCAGTTTCGTGCGGAAAAATTTGATTTTTTGTAGAAACATTATCCTTTACGGTAGAAATAGGCATGAAACTTTTCGTGCCGAAATTCGGAAAAAGTCCAAAATTTTCGTGGATTTTCGATCTAAAAATCTCGGTTACTTCTGCAAAGCGCGAGCTAGGATTCCTGCATATATCTTAGAAAAAAATTATTCTAAATTTATGCCAAGTTTCATCAAAATCTGAGCGACGCCCTTGGAGTACTTCCCTTGTGAGTTGAAATCAGCACCATCGAAACCCCCCAAATCGAGTATTTGTGAAAAAATTCAAAAAATGACTACTTTACAGTACTACTCAAGGAAAAAAGTAGAAACCAAAAAAAAAAAAAAATGAATGTCATTTTCGAAATCAGCACCCTCGATTATCCCAATTCGACAATTGCATCGAAGAAAAATAATACTTTTCGGTTTCCCCAATCGTCCCAGTTCCCTCCATTGCCACCTCGCCAATTTTATTTTCAAATTCTGCAGACATTTCAAAGAAGTTATTACACTAACCCATTAAAAAAATTTTCGACCAATTTTAACTACAAAAATTTAAGATTTCCCCCAAACTTTTCTCCCCAAAGCTTCAAAACTCTCTCCTTACAATGGGTCAATGGCAGCCTTGGCTCTGGCAAAGTCTATGAAAGAGTTCATGTTTTCAATCAATTGAACATTCGCGACCAACGGCACTGGTTCGCACAGATAGATTTTAGCATCCGGCGCACGATCATGAAAGATTCCGATCAGCTTATTCAGAGCGTATTGTCGAACTTCATGAGGGACTTGACATTGCGGAAGAAACCAGGCGGCATCACAGAAAAGCATCACTTGGCCAACATGAGACCAATCCAAATTGTGACTGGAGAGCTGCAAAACAAACGATTATTGTCTGGAAAATTAGCTTGGGGGAGTTTTAGGCTCGATCACAGGTTCATAAAACAAAAATTTTTGGCAAAAGATTAAATTTAGATCAAGTGTTACCTAAAATAATATAATTTTTCCAATGTTGGTGTTTCAATTTCCCTAAAACTTTATCAAAATACTCTAGTTAGCCTTGAAAAAATTTCCAAAAAATTTCAGCTTGCCCTTTGCATCAGCGGCGGAGATATATAACTTTAGGTCAACAGTCATCTAAAATAAGATAAATTCCCAAAAAAAATCCACTTTTTCCATCAAAAAATCACAACAGAAAACATCCTCAACCCAAATTAGCCCAGTAGACACCATAACCAGCTGAGACATCACAAATTTTTTCACCAAATCACCCAATCTTACCCTCTCCACCAGCTCATGAAGTGATCCAACTCGGATCTCAATAACCGTAGCATGCCGGGTATTACTCGCAGGCCAATCTCCAGTCAAAATAATGACGCTCCTTCTGAGGCGTTCCACTTGCTCGATTGTCTTGGGCTTTTTGATCGCCTTCGCTTTTTGAATCGCTCTTCTGGCGACTTCCGACGCACCCGCACCCGGAGTTTGGTCATTGTAGACGAGAATCTTGGACTCTGGAGTCGACGGCTCGAGGAGAAGGGAGCTGGCACGACCTAGAAATATCCTCAGTAAAATTTGACAGGAGATTTGTGCATTTCAGACGGATTCAGATCAAAAAATTGCAAAGGGTCGTCAAAAGTACACGTCTCTTTGAAAATTTTGATGGCATAAAGTTGTTTTTGGACAAAACAAGCCAAATAATCTCTCAAAATGTCCCTAAATAAGTCGTAATCAATTCCCAAAAATCTTCCTCTTACCCGGAGTTAATGGAGTTCCATAGCTGCTCATGTTAGACATGACATCCGGAGAAGACTCGACCTCAGATTTCATCGAATTCTGCAGAGATTTCTTGAGTCTAGCCGCTTGTATGACGTTCTTCGTGTAGTACAGGACATGTTGAAGAGAGATTCGAGCAAACTGTAAGATTTTTTCTTCCTCGCTCGAGGGAATTTGACCTTTGTTTCCGAGGAACTGGGATCTGATGAAATCTCGCCATTCTGATTCGATCACTGAAGTGAAATGAAGATTAAATTATTTCATAGGGTCACATAAGAGTTCTAAAACGCAGGAAGAAAGAGTATGAAGCCGGACGAATACTTACAATTCAGCATCAACTCATTTACGGTGTTATACTTGACTCCGAGAAGGCGTTTTAACGAATTTTGGTCGCTAAAGACTTTCCCCGTGAGATTTCCCGCGACCATCTGCATTTGGACGCCCTCACTGGTGGTTTGGAGGATGAACTACCAATTTTCGGCCTTTCGCAAAATCAAAATAAAATTTTTTTTGATTTCTGCACTGTGCGAAAGGAAAATTGAAAATTTGAGGATTTTGAAATACAAAAAGTACAGGAACATAGTTTACTATGTGTTTTTTAGCCTCTTCTGTTCGATAATGGACCAAGTTCCCGGAATTCCATCAAAAAACCGAGTCCGCCATCTTCTTTTTCAAGCCCCACCACGATTCCCTGATTTTTGGCATTCCGCCTAAGGTCAAGATATTTTTCATTTTCTAATGGCGCCAAACGTTTTCATTTTCTGCTAGTTGTTCTCTTTGCTTCCAAATGACACGTGCACCCCCATATCAAGCGCTTCTTCTTCTTTCGTTGATAATTTTCATTACACTTGACCAAAATCTCTGCTTTTAGCTGTTTTCACGATGGAATAGCGACTGTTGCGTCGAAAATCTTTGGCAGAGATTTGCATAGTGGACCAACAGACCGATCACACAAACGATCAGTCGATTCCAGCACGGATTTGTTGACGGAATTTTAATTTCCCACGGTTTCGTCAGTTTTTGGTGGGTGTTGAAGATTTTCGGAAATTTTTCGTTTAGATTGCGGTTTCTGGTTTATGCGAGAGGCGCAGGAATTTACGGAATGGCTAGCTGCAGCAGCCCAGCCCCACTGGACGCACCGCGGCCAGCTGGAGCAGCCGGTTTTGGTGGTTGGAGTTGTGGCTAAGAGCTCGAAAACCGGAGACCACGGTGGGAAACTGATTGATCAGCTCGTTGAGAATGCGGTGTTTTGTGGAAGCTTCGATAAACATGTTGGAGGAAGTGTGAGTCTATTTTATGTTTTGTTTTTTTGGAAGTTTAGGGAGGAATCGAAGAGTTGTTGGAGTTTTGCCATCTAGTGTAATGTCGAGAAATCGAATTTTTAGTGATTGTGTGATTTAAAAAATATTAGGTTGATTCAAAAGTTTTTCCACATGTCTTAAAAAAATTTTAAAAAATTTAGACCAAAGCCAGTGGGCCTGGTGTATATCTTTTTAGAAAGAGGGCTGTTTGTAGATTATAGTAGATTAATAACTTTTTACAGCTTAGCAATTTGTAGTAGTAGCGACGTGTTAAACCTTAACTACTCGAAGGAAGAAAAAGTAAACCGCCGGCGTTACGTCTACAGTGGCTGTATCTTCTTAATATTCTGGAATATGGTATGCCTGTATGTAATCTCTATGGCATCGTGGACAATTTGCTATAGGGCTAGTCGAAAAATTTTTAGTGCGAAAAATCAAAAATTAGGGTCTGGCAAAAGTAGACCCTGTAGACGCAGCTATTAGAAGCACTAAGAGATAACGCTTTCTGTTATTGTAGTGTATGAGTAGCACTACAACGCCAACGCTAAACATTCGCGCTAGCTTTAGCTATGCGACAGAAAAATCGAATCTTTCTAATCTTAGCTGGACCACCCTGTATTTTACGAAATTTAGGGGATGTTTACAAAAACGTTTTCTGTTCATTACTCTCGCCCGGTATCCTAGTTATTTAATAAATAATTGATCCTACTTGACATACACTATCAGTTGCTAGACGCGCTAAGCTGAAGGTCCGCTTGCCATACCAGTAAAAAAATTACAAAAATTCGCCTAAAAGTGCAGTTCATGCTACTTTTCTACCTTATAAGGCAATTTCAGTTGGTGACTTTTTGAATGTATCATCAGCATACTGTCTTTGTACAACCTGAATGGCAGCCGAGTCAAAAAAATCTAACTCCTTTCAAAAAATTTTTAAAAATCTGCTTTAGATCGGTAGCTCGGCTCTCCGGCCAACTTTATGGGATGCTACAAAAAAAGTCAGTGTAGATATAAGTAGAGCAATAAATTCAGAAGAAACTACAGCCATCCCAAGTACGAATAACCCAAAACCCGAGACTTTTTAGTGGGCTGGAAAATTGCTAGGGCCCGGGATATTCACCATGACACAAACGGAGAAATTTTTAGTATGTTTGAAGTATTCTGAAAGGAAGCTTGTAGAAAATAAAATGCTACGAATCAAAAATTTTGCAATGTTCTGCCCCATACATCTATGCTTTTAGTTTTAACATACATTCAATCAGGCTCCAGAAATTTTATTTTGAAGTGTCTCAAAAAAATGTGGAAAAACTTTTGAATCAACCTAATATTTTCGGATTATATCTGTTGCCTTATCATAACATTTTCTTTAACGGGAGGTTTAGTTTTCGAGGATTTTGACAGTCGACATCAGATCAAGTGCAATATAAAAAAAGAAGTGTTTTCTCGAAAAATTTTAATATTTTTATACTGATTATTGTAAAATAGGTTTGTAGACCTTTTCTTTTTTTTAGATCGAAGTCTTTTACTCGCCGTATCATCAAATAATTTTCTTGTACGTGAACAGCTATCATGACGGACACTTGCAGCCGTCTTTGTTCACTGAAGACAAAGTAAGCCCATTTCAATTTTTCTATCTTCTTTTTAGAGCTTTTTCGATGTTCTGAAGGACGTGGAGAGTTTGTTTATCAAATACTTATTCGTTATCTTTTTGTTATCGCATGTTGTTACATTCATTCAGCCGGATACACGGCTCGATTCAACGTTAATTAGACATCTTTTGGCCGTCAATGAGATGAGGTGAGATCTAATTTAGTTTTAGAGGAAAAATTGTGTGGAAAATTTTTGTCTAGTGTAATATAAATTTCTTTACTTTTAGAGCCCAAACCCGTCCAACGTACGCCAGACGTCTTGCCAATGCCTCTGGACTTCCTGGAGTTTGGTCGGATGAAGGACGTTTGGCTTTACCTAGGATCTTATTCATCATGCACGAGAATCGAGTCAAAAGAGGTTCTGTTCTCAGACCAGGCCAAAATTTTCATGATTATGACTTGACGGTAGGATTTTTCATTCAATTGGGACCTCTGATTTTTAGGTCGAGCGCCTCGAGCGGTCCAGAGAATATCAACTTGTCCATCTTTTGAAGTCGCAGTCCTTGACTGCCGAACATCTGTAAGTCCATTTTTATACCTTATTTTTCTTCCGTTTTTAGTGGTATTGCCTTGGCCAGTCTGTCTCCTCATCGCATCCCATTTGTCCATGTTGTGGACCCGGCCAACACCGAGACCAACGTCATCGAAGAATGCCTTCTCAATTTGTGCAAAGGCACCATAAAAAGCTCGAATTTTGGTCGCCTAATCGACGACAACCTGAGGCCTGTGACCAAAGCAGAAGCAAGAGTCAATGCCAGCGAGTTTTTATTGGGCCATGTGAAGGATATCCTCAAGAGGGAGTCGAAGCAATCCTTTTTCTTCTTGATACCCACACTGGAAAAGTTTATTCAAGGTTCCAGTGTGTTGATGGAAGCCTTGGAAGACTTTTCGATTGTGAAAAATGATAAACTGGCAAGATGGTTGTGTGAGGAGAGTCATTTTGAGAATGAGTAAGTTGGTTTTTTGAAAGATTTTTTTGGCTATATTGTAGTAGGTGGTATTGGAAAAATCTTGTGGATGAAGGTGTCAGATTTTGTTAAAAAGTGGTAGTTGGTTTTGTAAGACATGGTGGCCTTTATTTTTTTGGTTTTTTTAAATTATATGTTGAAAAAATTATATTATAGTAGACATCAGATGATAAATTTTGATTTTTGGTCTTATTTTAGCCTTAAACTGGGTCTGAATGAAGTAAATTGCATCGTAGTGCTATAAAATTATTTCTAGTTTGACTTCGCAGTATTTCCGAGCTGCTACGGACCTCTATCGAACCCTTTTAAATAATGGTAAACCAATATCGAAGATCACTCAGAACGTGGAGATCAGTGGCGCCAGACATTTGAAAGCGGTAAGAGTGAAGAGTAATTGAATTTCCAGCAAGCTTGTTGATATATCTCAACGTTTTTTATACAATTACGATGTTATATCTGATGTTGTAGATCAAGTATATCGGAGCTTTCCTTCGTCTCACAATGAACAGCACTCAATTGGACGCCCTGTGGCCTGTGATCCTAAAGAAATGTCAAGTAGTTTTCAAAGGATCAACCAACGTTTGTGATGCGTTGTCGGTCACAAATACCCGATGTAGATTGTTGGCCCATAAGGAAAGAAGCCCCTATATGTCCGGCAAATCCATGGATGAATGTCTAAAGTAAGGGTTGCTGGAGAAAATGGGACATTTTGAAGCTGTCAAAGGCATTTTGGGCAGCGAATATTGGGAAAAGGCAATTGAAAAGGGCTGAAAAGATTATAAAAGTGAAAAAATTTAGGGTAACAAAAAATTTTTTTTTTGTTGTGTTTTCGACCTCCAGACGCCTCAATACTCAGTTTCAATTTTTTTATGAGTTACTGTAATTTTTCCTCACTCCAATTTTTAAAAATTTAAATTGGAGGTACCGCGATTGCGGAGTTGGACGATTGGGGAAACCGAAAAGTATTATTTTTCTTCGATGCAAGTGTGAAATTAGGATAATCGAGGGTGCTGATTTCGAAAACGAAATTCATTTTTTGATCCTTACTTTTTCCTTAAGTAGTACTGTAAAGTAGTAATTTTTTGAATTTTATTTATGAATACTCGATTTGGGCGGTTTTGACGGTGCTGATTTCGAAAATTTCATTCATTTTTTCTGATTTGAAATTTTGAAATCAGCACCGTCGAAAACCCCCCAAATCGAGTATTTGTGAAAAAAATTCGAAAAATTACAACTTTACAGTACTACTTAAGGAAAAAAGTAACGATCAAAAAAAAAAAATGAATGTCATTTTCGAAATCAACACCCTCGATTATCCTAATTTTGGCACTTACATCGGAGAAAAATAATACTTTTCTGTTTTCCTAATTGTCTTTTCCCCAATTGGCCACTTCCCAGTCGTCTTTTTCGCCAATTGACGACGTTCCAAGCATTTTTGAGAAATTTAGTTTTTATCATTTTAGAGGCCGTTGTTTCAACCACTTTTCCGGCTATTCTCACCTCTCAACCTGCAGTTGCGGCCAATCGCAGAAGCTCCGAAATGACCCGTTCGATGCCAAAGAGGCGAACTACGACTTTTACACTCAATTTGGCTGCTGCAAAAAGCTGGAGAACATGCCTTTCAAGCTGTACAATCCAGGCATCAAGTGTAAGTTAAGTTTTGTAAAATTTTGATTTTTTAGGGGATGTAACCACAACGGAAACGATGGTGGTCAGAAAAGGAGAGCCTCCCAAGCCTCGTGGAGTCAAGTTGTTGTCCAGAAAACGGGAGGAACCCCAGGAAAATGGCTTCAAATCCCAGAAATCCGACTCCTATGTCATTAGCCGCCCAAAATCGCAGTCAAGAATGGTCAATGAGCTCACATGGCAATACAACAAGATGTGTCATGAACACTCGACAAACTATCTTCATCATATGTGGTTTACGAAGGTCCCAAATGGCGATATAGGAAGTGAAAATCCGAAAATCGAGGAAAAAGTGAAAAATGGCGCTCAAAAAGTGGAGAAAAAGAAGGGTGATGCGAAAGAGGGAAAGGAATTGCTCCCATTGTACCCGTCGTGGTCTGTGGTTTGTCTGGGACCGGCCAAAATTTACATACACGCCAATGGGATCAAGGACCAGCCCAATTTCATAAAAGGCTCCGACTTTTTGCTCCCATGGGATTTAAACCTCACCGTGAAGTCGGAACGATGGCTGCAGGGCATGAAGGAGATCCTCAAAGTGGACCGACTCCCATGGCGAGAGAAGAGGCTCGACGAGGACCCGGCAAAGGGAACGCATCGCGAGAAAGTTAAGGTAAGAAGTTGGGCAAGTATAAGGTCAGAAGTGAGGGATGGTGAGGGGTGTATTGAAAATTGTGGTCGGAATGGATAGATGGAACTTTAATAGAGAGATATTAGCAATATCATGGAAACGAAGGTCGATTCCTAGTGCAATATCGAAAATGTCAAGCTTTTTGATTTTTTTTGGTTTGTTTATTTTTCCACATGGTATAAATTGCAAATAAACTCATTCCGTATGCCTTATACTTTCTTATTCCAGCTTTTTATCGGATTCGAATACGAATGCCCTCAGGGCCATCGGTTTTTCTGCGACAAACCCCAGCACATCTTGGCCCATGATCGAAACGACGGATTGTTGAAGGTGAGCGTCGGTTTTTTTTGAGTTTATCTTGCTTTTAGACGGACGCGGAAGAGCTGGTCAAGTCGAATCTACCGTTGTATGCGAGATGCAAGTGCTCCAAGACGGTGGTTGTGAACGCCCAATTAATGAGAATTCATTTGGTCACTCCGAAAGCCCCGGTTGGTGTTAGATTGGTTCCAATGGTTATGGTGAGTGGAATTTTTGGATATTTGAAAGGGATTTGGAGAGTTTTGAAAAGTGATTTTGGGATTTTTTACAAGGAAAGTACTTTTATGGGGTACTTTTATTATAGTTACAGGTCGAGAGATGTATCAAAAAAATCGCTAAACTTTTCAGATTCAGAATGTGTGAAAATTTACTGCACAATTTTGGTTTGTAAAGGTGAAAAAATCCTCAGAAGTTTTCTTGCAACACCACGAAAATACTTTTTGGCCAAGTTTTTACCAATTCAAAAGCTTTGTTTTGCGCTAAAATAAGCCCTGCAACCTTGACAAGCCTTAAAATATCAAATTTGATTAATACTACGCAGATGCCTCTTTTTTACATTGGAACTGCGAAGTAGGGTGTAGTATTAATCAAATTTGATATTTTAAGGCTTGTCAAGATGCCAGGGTTTACATTAGCTCCAAAGAAAGCTTTTGAATTGTTAAAAACTTGGCCAAAAAGGCATTTTCGTCGTGTTGTGAGAAAAGTTCGGAGGGATTTTTCGCCCTTACAAACCAAAATTGGGCAGCTAATTTTTACATATTCTGAATCAGAAAGGTTTTGCGATTTTTTGATATACGTCTTGACCTGTAACTCCATTCCCTATAGAAGTACTTTCCTTGTGAAAATTTTGACATGTTTGTTCAATTCCTCGAATTCTTTTTTTATTTTCAGCTGGAGAATAGCGGGTACTTTCACATGGGACAGATTGCGGAGCTCTCCCACTCTCGCTACTACGTCCTCCGGCTCCCATTTGTGTATCAGAACAGCGAGAAGCTGCATAAAAAGCCAATTTCGACTCCGACGACTTGCGGCACCCTTTTGCCGAACGCAATCCAAGTTTATCCGAAGTGAATGCACCCCGCAAGAAACCTAATGATCCTCAGGACACGGTGGAGAAACTACCGTTGTCCGTTTCAACCCCTAAGGAGAGCATCGCAAGTTTTCGTGGTGGGCCCCAATGGATTCAAATGTTCACGTCTAAATCAATTGGTTAAGTAAATTACAAAGTTTTATGGCAACAGTACGTTGCGAGAAGGAATATAGGAGAGAATGAGGTGATTTAGAACCGACTATGACGTGGTATTTGAATAGAAATTTGGTGGGGAAAATTTTAAACGTTCCCTAAAAAAACTGTAATGATCCTGGAGATTTCTGATGATTTATTGAAAGAATATTGTTGTATACTCTTTTTCTAAGGTCATAAAGACATTTTTGTTTTTTATGACCAAAATATCGATGGTTTTGGAGAGTTTTTGATCGGATTTTTGACTTCTTTTCGATTTTTTTTTATTTTTTCAACTTGTCATCTTTTGATTTCTTCAGATTTGTCTCCAAATGCTTTCCGTCTTTTGAAAAAGTAACTGATGTTTTGGAATAACATTTTTTACAGAGTTTAACCGATTTTTTATAAAAAACGAATAAATTGTAGTAACAAAAAAGTTTTTTATAATTTTTATTTGTTTGTGATGAATGTAAAGGTATTTTTCGGACAAAAAACCGTGTGAGAGAGATTCTGACGTATTATTTCCCATTCACAATGAACACCCCATGTTCCCTTCGAATGGTGATGCATTGAATGATAATAATTAAAATTAACGCCACAATAGTCACAAGTTGTATTCCCATCACCGCTGAAAAGAAAGTAGGAAAATTACGTTGCTTTAAGAGGCGATCTGGAATGGTTTTGACAGTGATTTGGAGATTTTTTGGAAAAAAACTAAAGCGTTTTGTCAAAAAAAGTGAAAAAATCGATTTTTCAGCCGAAAAATCGGTGTGATAATGGGTGAAATGATGTCACAAGTAATTTTACTGCCTTCTGGATGAAATTAAAATCATTTTATCTACTTGATTTTAAAAAATTTAACCGAAAATTTTTAAAAAATCCAAAAAATTTACTTATTGAAACGGAGTTGGACGATTGGGGAAACCGAAAAGTATTATTTTTCTTCGATGTAAGTGTGAAATTAGGATAATCGAGGGTGCTGATTTCGAAAATGACATTCATTTTTTTTTGATCCTTACTTTTTTCTTTAAGTAGTACTGTGATGTAGTAATTTTTTGAATTTCTTTCACGAATACTCGATTTGGAGGGTTTCAATGGTGCTGATTTCGAAAATCTTATTCATTTTTTCTGATTTGAAATTTTGAAATCTGCACCGTCGAAAACCCCTAAACCGAGTATTCATGAAAAAATTCGAAAAATTACTACTTTACAGCACTACTTAAGGAAAAAAGTATGGATCAAAAAAAGATGAATGTCATTTTCGAAATCACCACCCCCGATTATCCTAATTTCGACGCTTGCATCAAAGAAAAATAATACTTTTCGGTTTCCCCAATCGTCCAACTCCGTTTCAATAAGTAATTTTTTTGGATTTTTTTTTGAATTTTTCGGATAATTTTTTTAAAATCAAGTAGATAAAATGATTTTAATTTCATCGAGAAGGCAGTACAATTACTTGCAACATCATTTCAAAAATTGTCACACCGTTTTTTAGCATTTCCGAAATCAGCACCCTCGATTATCCCAATTTCGACACTTGCATCGTAGAAAAATAATACTTTTTGGTTTCCCCAATCGTCCCAGTTCCTTATTGGAAAAAGCCCCAATTTCATGCAAAAAATCGATTTTTCATATGATTTTTTGCTCAATTTGAAAGATTATACTTTTTACCACGTGAAAAAAAACATCAAGACCCACCAGTTTGCCCAACAACATCGTGATTGTCCGTTAAAATCGTGTGATTGAGCACTTTTTCGCGTCGAATCGCCCAATCAAATCCACACTCGGCCTCCCAATTCTGCGGAATGAAAGGCCTCACAAACCCATGCAGCTTCTCCAGCGAACACGGCCAGAGGCAATTTTTTGGGAACAGCTCATCGAAATTAGTGGAATTGGAAAATCCTTCTCGGTAGAAAAAACGGAGCCAATTTGAAGTGGAGTTTTTGTGAAATTCAATAATTAGTGATGCACCAAATTGCGGGTACTGTAATCAAAAGATTGTAAAAGAGAGTAGAAGTCAATTTAAAGGCAATTTGATGCTAATTAAAATGGTTTAGACAGTAAAAATTTGAATTGACAGCAAAAAAGTGCCATTTTAGCGAAAAATTAAAAGAATTTCAGAAAAAATCGGTATTTTCATTTAAAAAATGTCATAAAATGTTGCCAAATGCTATATAGATTTAGTGTAGATGCCTAATTTACCATCATTATTTCGTATTTTACCGCAAAAAACCAAAAAATTTTAAAAAATCATCAAGATTTAGAATGGCCAAAATTTAAATTTTTCTCCAAAAAAATCTTTTTTTGGAAAAAATAAAAAGCACATAGATGATTTAGACACTCTATACTATCTCGTGTCATCAACCTTTCCTCTAGTTTTCCCCCGAAAACTGACCGTTTTCGCCTCCATTCCCAGCGTTGCCAAAATTCCGCCCAAAGTTGTGTCATGGCACGAATACAAGTGCATTTTCCGAGTTGATCCATTCGAATTGATGTTCTCTATCCTCTCCAAGATCTCCTTGTATAATGGACCAACTCGGAGGCGTTTCAATCGGTCATCGTCGACCAGCAAATAGCTTCCAATATCATACGACCTCTCAATCTCATCGAATAAAGATTCGTTGATCCAGTAAGGCCATTGACGGTTGTGGACTTTCTGAAAATTGTTTTTTTGTGTGGCCAAGACTCTTATTTTGTCTATGATAATGCGCTGGCTTCTACATTTTATCAATAAAATTCTAAAAATCAATTTTTTTGCGAACCGATGAAAAAGGTTCAAAAAAAAGATTAAATGGCTAGTACTCAATGGGGTACCCTCCGATTTTCTTCAAATTTTCCACATATACTCTAAATAGCATAGTTAACAATCACTGAAAATTTCAGCTTGCCTTTTGCAACCACAGCTGGGATATTACGCAATCTTTTTTTTGAGAGAGAGCATGCAAAATGATGAGAGTCGGCTAGACAGAATTTTTTTTGGCGGTTTAAAAAAAGTCTCGCTGGGAAAAAACGCTCTTTGATGGAGAAATTGTCTTCATAATCCCAAAAAGTACCCTAATTTTTTCAAATTAAAATCGCAAAAAAAAATTTTTCCAAATTTTGATCTAAAAATCTGCATTCTTTAGTCATAAATCGAGCTCCAAATTTCAAACGTGCCTAAAAAAATTTCACTCCAAATTTGCGCCTATTTTCTTTTTTTCTTCCAAAAATTGATTTCAAAGTTGCGATTTTTATATTACACTAGACATCAACTTACCTCACTCTTCAATGGATCATAAAGTTGGACAAAATCCCGCAATGGAAGCGGCACCTTGGAAAAACCGCCCATTCTGGAGAGATAGGTCACGGCGTGGACTGATTTTTCAGCCAGATTGATGAACTTGTCATTTTCGTACATCAATTTTTCAAAAATATCGTCAGCAGTGGGGCATTTCACGTAGAAAGTTAGCTCCTGAAAAAATTTTTTTATTCAACAAAAAAAATTCTAAAATTTTGTGCGAAAATCCTAGCTCGCGCTTTGCAGAAACAACCGAGATTTTTAGATTAAAAATCGATGAAAATTTGACATTTTTTTGCGATTTTTTAGCATGAAAATTTTCATGGCTATTTCTACCATAGAGGGTAATGTTTCCACAAAAAGTCAAATTTTTCCGCACGAGACTGCCAAAGTTATGGCCAAAAAGCGTTTTCTCTCTGACCGCTCTCCGCGTTTTGCGTGCTCTCTCGGCCGCAAAGATCGTTCAATATCTCAGCGGCGCTTGCAAAGCGTGAGCTAAAATTTTCAGGAATTGATATTTAGTCTATGCCCGATCTGTGTGCAAAATTTGACGAAAATCTGAGCGTCGCACTTGGGGTAGTTCCCTTGTTAAAAAATCGTCTTGAAATTGTTAAAAAATCCCCTTGAAATCTCACTTTATCCTCTTCGACGGGCTTTGTGTGCACGGGGACAGCGACAAATCCAAATTTGCTCTCATTTTTTTGTCGCTCATAAAACCCTGATAAAAAAATGTTGGCCGAAATCAGCGTTCGATCGTTCGCCGTGCTCCTCACATACACTTCTTGCGGGCTGAACTGGTCATCAACGAAATGGCCGTACCGTTGGCGCATGACTCGGCCCAATTCGAGCATCTGTCGCCGGCCCAGCGCGGTGAGGGCGCTGAGGCCCTCGGGCCAGGTTTCGAGGCGATTGTCGAAGTCGTTGGGGATGAACCACATCGGGGAGCGAGCGCCATGCCGGAAGAGCTGAAATGACGAAAAATAAAATGGTCAAAAATTAGAAAAAAGACGAGAAAAATTGAAAAAAAAAAAATCTGCGCAATGAGAAACAAAGGCCGAAAAAAAATTTTGTTAACGAAAGAAGTTATTGTACGAAGGTTTCTCTTGGTGTAAAATTGACTTTTTGGGTCTCCAAAATAGTTGATTTTTAGGTCAAAAAAGGAAAAATTTTGAATTTTTTTTGCGATTTTTTAGCCCAAAAATTTTATTATCAATTTCTACCGTAGAGAGTAATATTTCCACAAAAAATCAATTTTTTCGCAGCAAAACTGGCAAAGTTATGGTCAAAAAGCGTTTTCCTCTCTGACCGCCTCCGCGTTTTGCGTACTCTCTCGGCCACAAAGATCGTCGAATATTTCGGCGGGGGCTGAAAAGCGCGAGCTAAAACTTTCAGAAATTGATAAAAGGACTATGTCTGACATGTGTGCAAACTTTGACGAAAATGTGAGACTTGAAATACTACTTGCCTTGTGAGGGTAAAAACCCCTCTTATTTGCTAAATTTCCGGGTTTTTCTAGCTAAATATCGCAGTGAAATTAATCATCACGCTGAATAAAGCTCTTACGTAGAGCGTGGGACCTGATCCAGTGGCAAAAAACGTACCATTTTGCATCCAGGAGGCATCAAAAAATGTGGCAAAATACCTCACTCTGCAAGTGAAAAAACTCTCGTTTCAAAAGCCCGCCCGTTCTTTTTGTGAAGAAAAAAGGGCGCGCCTGTCAAAACGAAGTTTTTTCACTTGGATAGGGAGGCATTTTGCCACATTTTTGATACTTCCCGGATGCAGAATGGCACGTTTTTTGCCACTGGATCAGGTCCCCCACTGTACTGTTCCCCAATCCTTTTTCATTAAATTTTCCCTTCAAACGACCCCAAAAAATCTCATTTTTCTCACTCTCCACTCACCACGGTTGCATGGACCAGCGACTCGCTCCATGTGGGGTCCTGATCGTCTATTGCGAACGCAACAATCGCACTACAACAGCACAATACGACGACGATGGCAGTCAAGGGCCAAGGCATGCAGCCAGTTTTCATCAATTCCCGTGAAAAGAATGCCTGCAAAGAGTGCAATTTCGAGTTGATCGAAGTGGGAAAACCCGACCTTAGTGTGCAAGGAAAATGCGGTTTAAACGGGATTTACATGAAGGGCCGGGAATTGGGGCGACGGACAGGGGAAAGGGAAGTGTTCGATGATTTTTTTTAAAATTTTGTGGAGAGATTGTGAACAGGCCATTCGTCAAGTCCTGAAAATTTCATACAGCGCTTTGCAAACACAGCTGAGAAATTCACCGATTTTTGCGGGCGAGAGAGTACAGGGAACGCGGAGAGTAGAGATAAAAAAAACTTTTTTGGCCATATCTTTGCCTATTTCGTGCGGAAAAAATTGATTTTTTGTGGAAATATTACACTCTACAGTAGAAATTGATATGAAAAATTTGATGCCAAAAATCGCAAAAAAAGTGTCATATTTTTTCCAATTTTTGACCTAAAAATCAACTATTTTTTTCGCCCCAAAGGTCAATTTTCGTAGGTCGAGAGAGTATACGAAAATCAGTCACAGAGAAAAAAAAATTTTTTTTGGCCATATCCAAGTCTGTACTGACTTTTACTTTGCTTTTGAACCCTGAAAAAACTTAGGAATTTCCAAGGAAAGTGCCTCAAGTGCGACGCACAGATTTTCTTCAAATCTTTCACACACGTCAGACATAGGCCGTATATTAGTTCCTGAAAATTTCAGCTCCCGCTTTGCAGGAACAGCCGAGATATTCGACAATCTTTGCGGGCGAGAGAGTAGGGGGAAGGCGGAGAGCGGTCAGAGAGAAAAGCGCTTTTTAGCGGCATTTTTGCCAGTTTCGCGTGGAAAAAATGAATTTTTGTCGATGATTTTTTCGTCTTCAGCACTCAAAATTGTGAGTTTTGGTTGGAACATTGTGCAAAAGTATACAGTAGTTGGCAGCGAATTGTCAATTTTTTTATTTCGTGTGTAACTTCACTCAGACTCAACAGAATTTGATGAGACCAAGAGCGTTTAAGAGGCTGGGAGGCACGCTTCAACCTTATGAAATTGTTTTATTTCATATCGGCCACAGGCTTGGTAAAAATTTCAAAACAAATTTTTTTGGGGGACAACGAATTGTCAATTTTTACGTTTTGAGGCATAAGATCTCAATAAACCAGCATATAAAGACTAGAATGGAGAGTAATCAGTTGCCAGCAATCATAGAACAACATACAACGGGTTTCAGCCATTAGTACAATCTCCTTTGCTTTCTATAGGTCGGGCACTTGGGGGTGGACCATGTACAATATAATGTCAGCCTGGGGGCTTCCTAGGCCGAAATTATCTTATATTCCGGTTTTTTATGGAAGATTATTGCATATATTTAACACACTTGCACCGGATTACAAATTGGAGGGGCTACGGGTCAAAAATTCGTCAGATAATATTATTTTTGGTCATTTAAACTCTGTGTTTCGCCCAAAAATCGATAATTTTTTTGCCGACAGGGGGCATAGGTTCATTTAATCCTCCTTTACGGCCAAACTAACGACATTCTACAAATTATTTCATTACCTGTCTCGACGCCCTGAAATTTCCGGGTGAGATTCTGACGGTCCAATTAATTCTTGTGCCACACTAGGGTGGTGAGTATATTAATCATTTTATTGCGCGTCTTCTACGTTTTTAAACGTTAAAACTAATATTTTTAATGCTTGTAAAAATCTCTAATTTGCTAATAAAATGTCTTGGAAGTTGCAGGCTTGAAGAAATAAGAATTTTTCTGGGTGTTGCAAACCCGACGTGAAAATTCATGTAAATCCAAATATTTCCCTCTGCATACCTCTTCCATGAGTGCTGGTACTGACATGTGAAAGGCACTGAATATTTGTCTTTTAGTGTAGTTTGTTTTCAAATATAGAAGGTTTCTCCAGCGACCTTCATGCGCGACATTTTTTGATTTTTGATACTCTGACCAACAGTATGAAAGGCCATGATTAACATATTCGAGGTAACAAGGCGCAAGTGTAACCCATTAGTAGTAATTTTTTGACTTGACCTAGCGTAGTAAGATGTAACCGCCCATAAAAAACCGGAATATAAGATAATTTCGGCCTAGGAAGCCCCCAGGCTGACATTATATTGTACATGGTCCACCCCCAAGTGCCCGACCTATAGAAAGCGAAGGAGATTGTACTAATGGCTGAAACCCGTTGTATGTTGTTCTATGATTGCTGGCAACTGATTACTCTCCATTCTAGTCTTTATATGCTGGTTTATTGAGATCTTATGCCTCAAAACGTAAAAATTGACAATTCGTTGTCCCCCAAAAAAATTTGTTTTGAAATTTTTACCACGCCTGTGGCCGATATGAAATAAAACAATTTCATAAGGTTGAAGCGTGCCTCCCAGCCTCTTAAACGCTCTTGGTCTCATCAAATTCTGTTGAGTCTGAGTGAAGTTACACACGAAATAAAAAAATTGACAATTCGCTGTCAACTACTGTATATTTACTTGTCATTCATGATATATCATATGATATTTTGAAGCCAAAAAATGCGCTTCAAATTGCAAATTTCTTGCCAATTTTGAGGTTGATGTCTTTCATGTTTCGTGTTAGACTGCCTTTACATTACAGCAGGATCTCCATATAACGAAACTTGTTTTTATCGATCAATTTTAGAGGTCGAGTCAATTCTCGGCCAAAGTCATCCTCAACACAATGAAAACCTTCTATAACGCACAAGAGTTTAGCTTCGTTGCGCAGAGATTTTACCTCATATTCTTTACACTTTTTTTCATTGTTTTCAAAAGTTTTGGCAAAATTTGGCCCATCCGTTTTTGAATAATTGATCATCTCACCACACCATGGGCGGGAATGCCATCGCTAATTGGAGCGGAGGATAAAAAGGCCTCGAATCGTAGGGCCTTCAAAGCCATTGGCCGTGAAATGGCGGCGGCGTTGTAGGCCACCAAAGACTACTTCTTCCCCCTACTATCGCCTCATATTATACCGCTTCTGTCACCCTCAAATTCCCTGATTTTTGCGACCAATCAGCCTATGAAATGGTCCGCCAATTAGCGGCCAATATTTTGCGGCAGGCGTCGCGCGACTCGCTGGAAAGCGAGACGCGCAAAGACATCGAAAACTACTACTACAATGTGGCACAATGCGCGTGTTTGTATCGAATCCCGGCGGTGAGTCGGGCAAAGGTCGGAGAGACGGGCCGAGGACGGAGGCCTCTGCATTTCGTTGAACCGGAGGTAAGGAATTGCAATTTAAAGCATTTATTTCACAAGGAAAGTACTTCTATGGGGTATGGAGTTACAGGTCGAGACATGGATCAAAAAATCGCAAAACTTTTCTGATTCAGAATGTGTAAAAATTAGCTGGCCAACTTTGGTTTGTAAGGGCGAAAAAACCCTCAGAACTTTTCTCGCAACACCACGCAAATGCCTCGTTTTTACATTGAAACAACTATTCAATTTAGGTGTAGTATTAATCAAATTTGATATCTTAAGGCTTCTCAAGATGCCAGGGTTAACTCTAGCTCCAAACAAAGCTTTTGAATTGGTAAAAACTTTGTCAAAAAGACAGACTTTGAATGGTGTTGCGAGCAAACTTGTGAAGGTTTTCTCGCCCTTACAAACCAAAATTGGGTAGATAATTTTTACATATTCTGAATCAGAAAGGTTTTGCGATTGTTTTGATACATGTCTCGACCTGTAACTCCATACCCTATAGAAGTACTTTCCATCTAAAAAATGAAATTTCGGGTGAGAAGTGGTCACTGTGAGATCGGGACCGTCTTGAAAAACCGCCCTTTGGCCATAACATTACCAGCTTTTAGTGGAAACAATTGATTTTTTGTGGTCTGAAAACCTTGGTCTTCCTGCAAAGCACCGGGTTATTCATCGATCTGGGTTGCCGAGAGAGTACGCTAAACGAGGAGAGCGGGCGGAGAAAAAACACTTTTTTGCCGTATCTTTGCCAGTTTCGTGCGGAAAAAAATAATTTTTTTGTGGAACCATCACTCTCTACAGTAGAAAAAGGAACGAAAATTTTCATGCCAAAATTTCGAAAAAAGTGCCACATTTTTGCCAACTTTCGATATAAAAAACTCAGTCGTTTCTGCAAAGCGCGAGCACGGAATCTGGTAATGTTTCGGAAAAAATTAATCTAAGTTTGTCCTGAGCTTTCATGAAAATTTGAACGTCGCACTTGGAACACTTAGTCTTCCTAAAAATCTCGCTTTTCCAGGCCGTCCCCCCGAAGCAAACGCATCAATTACTGGTCCGAAAGAAGTCGGCGAAGATCCGCTCAGTCCGGAACGCCGCCTTCAACGCCGCCACTGTGATATGCGGGATCGTATGCCCGATCATGGACAGGGCTTTCAATCGGTTCTCGCCGTCCAATTAGAACCTGCCAAATATCATCGGAATAGCTCAATTAGAATATGTACAGTGGGGGACTTGATCCAGTGGGAAAAAACGTACGATTTTGCAACCGGGAAGTATCAAAAATGTGGCAAAATGCTTCCCTCTCCAAGTGAAAAAACTTCGTTTTGAAGGGCGCGTCCTTTTTCCTCACAAAAAGAGCGGAGTTTTTTCACTTTGAGAGGGAGGTATTTTGCCACATTTCTTGATACTTTCTGGATGCAAAATGGTACGTTTTTGCCACTGTATCAGGTCCCCCACTGTAAGTCGTTGCCTATCGAATCATGTACACTTGTAAAATTGTTTTGAACATAGTAAAATTGGTAATGACTTCGTGACGGAGGGATGCAGTTTATTGCGTTCAGTATGTTTTGAATATCTTTTCCCAAAAAATGTGTCATGATGACACCAGTGGAAAATGCGCCAGTGGTATTAAAAAATCGCTGTATCTGACTGAAAGCACGAGGTTTTTAAGTTGAAATTTGGCAAAATGCGGCACTTTTTTTACGAATTTTGACATCAAAAGTTAGATGTCAAAACGGATAATACCTCAAGTTTAGACGGAACTGGGACGATTGGGGAAACTGAAAGGTATTATTTTTCTTCGATGCAAGTGTCGAAATTAGGACAATCGAAGGTGGTAATTTCGAAAATGACATTAATTTTTTTGATCCTTACTTTTTTAAGTAGTACTGTAAAGTAGTAATTTTTTGATTTTTTTCACAAATACTCGATTTGGGGGTTTCGAAGGTGCTGTTTTTAAATCAGAAAAAATGAATAAGATTTTCAAAATCAGCACCATCGAAACCCTCCAAATCGAGTATTTATGAAAAAAATCAAAAAAACTACTTTACAGTACTACTCAAGGAAAAAAGTAAAGATCAAAAAATGAATGTCATTTAAATCAGCACCCTCGATTATCCTAATTTCACACTTGCATCGGAGAAAAATAATACTTTTTGGTTTCTCCAATCGTCCCAGTTCCGTCTAAACTTGAGGTATCATCCGTTTTGACATGTAACTTTTGATGTCAAAAGCCTTTGTTACTGGTCCATTTCACCACATTCATGTTGCCGTTAGCGAGCGGAGCCCGATTTTCAGCGAGACAATGGACAGATCTGGCCATTTTATTCAGCCCATCGGGCCAAAATGAAGTGACGTGCCCGTCAAAACTTTGAACTAAAAGACAACTCTCTGATCAACAACTTTCCCGCACTTTTTGTTTGTTTTTCCCCCACCGAATTTGCATATGATCAATCCAGTTTCCATACAAAGCCATAACATTCCAATGACCCCGATTTCTATATATAAATATCGCGAACCGGGTCCATGATTCACAACCATGTTGTGGCTGTGGAAAAATCTCCTGATTGTCTTGGGCTGGCCGAACGAGAAGTTCGTGTTCGAGGTGACGCCGGAGTTGAGTGCGGAGGTGAGCGCGGAAATCGGCGACTTTCACAATGAGCTGCGCAGACGAGTTGCCGAAGGAACGTACGAAAATTATGGCGCAAAGTGGCCAGGAGCGAAGAATATGTACAGGCTGGTGGGTTGAAACGATAAGTTCAAAGATTTTTTATCCGCTAAGGGCATGTAATTTATGGCTAGTCCGTCCGCCAAGTCGCTGAAGCGATTTTCGCGACAAGCACTGTGCGAAAACAAAGGTTCACTTTGCACCGTGCAATAGGCTTTTTTGGGATGTCGCTTGAACCCTGACTTGCGTTTGCACTGTGCAAAAAAAGTCAGAGTGCGAGCGACAGCCCAAAAAGCGATTCGCACGGTGCGAAAAGCAAGAAAATGCACAGTGCAAAAAAAAACTTTTGTTTCCGCACAGTGCATGTCGCAAAAATCACTCCAACGACTTGCATGCACTGTGCGAAAACAACACTTCACTTGGCGTTTGCACTGTGCAAAAAAGTCAGAGTGCGAGCGACAGCCCAAAACGCGATTCGCACGGTGCGAAAAGCAAGAAACTGCACAGTGCAAAAAAACTTTTGTTTCCGCACAGTGCATGTCGCAAAAATCACTCCAGCGACTTGCATGCACTGTGCGAAAAGAAAACTTCACTTGGCGTTTGCACTGTGCAGAAAAAGTCAGAGGGGAGCGACAGCTCAAAAAGCGATTCGCACGGTGCGAAAAGCAAGAAAATGCACAGTGCAAAGAAAAGTTTTGTTTCCGCACAGTGCATGTCGCAAAAATCACTCCTGCGACTTGCATGCACTGTGCGAAAACGACACTTCACTTTGCACTGTGCAATTCCTTGCCTTTTGCACAGTGCAAGTGGCTTTTTTGGGCTGTCGCTCGCATCCTGACTTTTCTTGCACAGTGCATGTCGCAAAAATCACTGCAGCGACTTTGCGGACGGACAAGTGTTTTTTGGTGCAAAATCGTTAGTTATATGACCAAAAAGTGTTTTTCTCCCTGACCGCACTCCATCTTTCGCACACTCTCTCGGCTGCAAAAATCGTTGTGTACCTTCGCTGAAACTGTGTAATCCAAAACTTTCTGAAAAGGCTTTTTCCAGGCCTACAGCTCTCATCTTGCGTCTGCAGCGCAATACCAGGCCAACAACTGTGTGTTCGAGCATCAGGCATGGAGATATGGTCAAAATGTTTGCGTAGTGAACAGCAACTCCAGTGGTAACTTGCTCATTAAATAAAAGAAACACGGCTGATCCCTCAAGTTTAGACAATGTGATAAGGCAGTGTCTTCGCGATTGGTCCAATTCCAACACATTCAACTGGTCGTTAGCCGACGAAGCGCCGATTTTCAACGAGACCATGGGCAGTTCTGGCCATTTTATTCAGATGATTTGGGCCAAAACCACTCATGTTGGTTGTGGGATTAAGAATTGTTCTAAAAACAACAGAACCACGACTCTTTTTGTCTGCAATTACTATCCACCGTAGGTGGACAAAATTGTGATATTTTGATATGTGCGACGCTCAGATTTAGGTTGAATATTGCATACATTTTAGGCATATACCACTTATCAATTTCTGAAAATTTTAGCTCGCGCTTTGAAGGAGCAGCCGAGATATTCAACGATATTTGCAGCTGAGAGAGTATGTGAATGCAGAGAGCGGTCAGAGAGAAAACCACTTTTTGGCGATTTCTTTGGCTGTCTCTTGTGGAAAAAATTGATTTTTTGTGGAGACATTACTACAGTAGAACCAAGGTCGAAATTTTTCACGCCAAAATTCAGAGTAAAGCGTGAAATTTTTGCTAAATTTCGACCAAAAAATCTCGATTGTTTCTGCAAAGCGCGTACTGGGAGTTTCGTATCCTCTTGGAAAAAATTAGATCTAAATTTGCGAGTTTTTCCACGAAAAATCTCAGCCTATTATGAACCGGGGAGAGTTATGTTTCCACAAAAAATCAATCTCTTCCATGCGAAGTTGACAAAGAAATTACTAAAAAGTTTTTCTCTCTGATCGCTCTCCACATTCCCCGTACTCTCTCAGCCGCAAAGATTGCTAAATATCTCGGTCGCCCCTGCAAATAGTGTGCTAAAATTTTCAGGAATTAATTTGTGACCTAAGCAAAATCTGTGCGCAAAATTTGAAGAAAATCTGAGCGTCGCACTTTGAACACTTCCCTTGTAATTTTTTCATATTTTACCGTTACTATATTTTTCAGCGGTAATTGTATTGGACAGCCCATCTTCAAGAGCGGCCGAAAATGTCGGCAACGCGAAGATTGCGGCGATTTTGAGGAGTCAAACTGCGAAACGGACGGGCTTTGTTCGACCACATTTGACAGGCTGGCCGCCGACAAACTCCCATTATTTATCGAATCGGATTTCGATGAGTTGTAGACTTACGAAATATAAATACGTTCTAAAATTGGCAAGGACGTTTCTTGACTTGTTATCGTACAGAAATTCAAAAATCATCGAAATTTTTAACAGGAAAAGTGTTCAAAGTGCGACGCTCAGATTTTCTTCAAATTTTGCACACAAATTGTGCTTAGGTCACAAATTAATTCCCGAAAATTTCAGCACACTATTTGCAGCGGCGACCGAGATATTCAGCAATCTTTAGAGCTGAGAGAGTACGGGGAATGTAGAGAGCTCAGAGAGGAAACATTTTTCGGTAACTTCTTTGTCAGCATCGCATGGAAGAGATTGATTTTTTATGGAAATATTACCCTCTCCGGTTCATAAAAGGCTGAGATTTTTCATGAGAAAACTCGTAAATTTAGATCTAATTTTTTCCAAGAGAATGCGACACTCCTAGTTCGCGCTTTGCAAAAACAATCGAGATTTTTAGGTCGAAATTTAGCAGAAATATGAAGACTTTGCTCTGAATTTTGGTGTGAAAAATTTCGACCTCCGATTCACATAAGGATGATATTTATTTTTTGAGAGAAAACTGGCGAAAAATTGTGGAATTTTGACCAATTTTCGAACTAAAAATCTCGGGTAAAAATTACGCAATTTTTCAACAGTTTCCTCTCGAAAAATCTCATCCTTATGTGAATCGGAGGTCGAAATTTCACATTTCTTAGAAACAAATTTTTCGAATTTTTACCAAGTTTTGTCAAAATCTGTGGCACTTTCAGTTTTTTTTTGTTTTTGTTTATTCAACCTGAATAAAAACTGTTTCCCTTTACATTTTTGACCTCACTTTGCTCCCAAAACATTACTGGGCTAAACTTTACTTGCCCACACATCCACCAGCATCAGGACCAATTTTTTCGTGTCCTATTCTTCAATTTACAGCTCAAAAAACGACAGTAACCCAAAAATTTTTTTTATTTTTCAAAAATAAATTTCAAGTCACGTCAAAAAAAATTAATCTTCGAGTTGAACCCAATTCCAAAAATGCCGAATTACACGAACACAACGTACTTTGACCCAGTTCTGGTTCATTTTTTCATGAAATTGACCAGAAAATTATGAGAATTTTGGCTTTTTTGGAGGAAATAGGTCATTTTGAGTGTCATTTCCATCGTGAATTTCAAAATGACGCAATAATTAGAGCATCACAAGCTCGTGAGAACAAAAAATTTATAAAAATTTGGCAAATGTCATAAATTTTTTGGCATTTTTGGACAAAAAAATTTTTAAAAGTTCAAAAAATTTTACTTTTAAAAGATAAACATGCCATTACAACCATTTTTATTGCTAATTAACAAAAAAACCAAGTGATATTGACCCGTAAATTCGCAAAATAGACCAATATACCACAAAATTGAGCTAAAAAATTTCGAAAAAAATCGAAAAAAATAATCAATAAATACAAGTTCCGATATGCCTGGTGGAAATTAAATACTATTTTCTGCGATTAGACCACAAAATAATGAGAAAAGTTCAATAAAACGGGAGCATTTTTCCTTCCAAATCTTTGCCTCGTTTGACCTTGTAAAAGAAGATCATGAATGAAATTGCGGCCACAATTCCACCAAAAACCATGTGATAAATCGGTAGGAACAGCGAGATATACATGGCGTAGCGATTTTCGAAGGGAAAATCGAGGTTGTCAATGAGGTCTTTGTGGGCGCCGGCTTTCTCCGCCAACAAACGGGCGCGGATCGCTTTTTGCAGGCCTAACAATGGGGAAATTATATTTTTTTTGGAAAGGTAACAAAGCATTATAAAGCTAAGTAGTCATAAAAAACAAAATTCCAAATGAAAAAGCAAAAAAAATTTAAAAAATTTCGTATAAACTACCTTATTTTAGATGTTTTTGGCAAAAAATGGTCGGATTTCGGTCAAATCTGGAATTCAACTACCATTTTGCTTTCTAAAATTACTCTCAGGTCCACGAACTACCACTAGAAATCAATAAAAACCAAGTTCGAAAGGCTTTTCGACATAAATTCACCTTATCTTAGTCATCAGGTCAAAAATCAAAAATTTTTTAGCTAAACCTAAAATTTACCTCTCTAATTGTATTCAAAACAACTTTTCAGCAAACCTACCACCACTAGCACTCCTCAAACCCCCTTTTATAAAGCCTAACTGCCTCAAATTACATTAATTTATTCAAAATTTTCCCTTTTACCCCCATTTTTTATCTACTACAATATCGGCCCCTGATTGCTGTTGAAACCCTTCCCAATTCCTCCAATACTCACCTAGCTTCGCATACACTCTGGCTTCCAACAAAGTCTGGACCAATATTTCGTGAGCTTCGTAGAAATGCACCGCCACTTCCCTCGTAATCACCATGAATTCCAATTTTTGGCGCAGCAAATGGATCGAGCGGAGTGCCGCGCGCGCCCTGAGGCAGTGCTCGAGGAATGCGGCTTTCTCGAACCGTCTCCACTCGTATTCCACGGGCAATCTGGCCGGATTTTTAGCGACTTTTATCGGATATGATTTTAGGTCATCATGGGTAATTTCCAGGCTCTCTGGTAGTGTGGTGATGCCAATTTGAGCCTGAATAATGTCCGCAATCGCCGAGAAGACTCGTCTAATTTCTTCGGTGGGCGATTTCTTGGTCGAAAAAGAGGTAACTCCTCCCCACGAAGCCACAATATGACCGTTGAGGGAGATGGCCTAAAATAAGGTAAATTTTTGTCAACCAGATGTTCAATTCGTCTTTAATTTTTTCATAAAACATTGTCGAGGTATTAAAAAGAATTTCCAACAAAAATAATCTCAAACTAAATCTATTTTCATCAATCTTGCACACATTTTAGAAATTTTAGCCTAAAATAAGGTGATTTTTTGATTTTTCATGCCTGAAATGGCTTTAAAACACATTTTAAAATAAAATAAACAACTGACACATATTCTACAACCCTAATCCAAGATTTTACTCCACTTTTAAACCGAATTTTCTTACATTTTCCTCGATTTTCACCGAATTTTCGGTGCTGAAGATGGCAATTTTAATCAAAGGCTTGTCAATGCCGAGAGATCGCATCCACGGTGTTCCTTTGCTGACTTCCGTCGTCAGGGCTTCAATTTGTTCATTTCTGAGCTGCTTCTGACCAGTTTTTCGGTCAGTCTGTAATCAATGTTATATTACACATGGTCTGAGATGGTCAATAAAAAGGTCAAATAAAAAATTGAAAACGCTTTCAGAAGACTCCTTCTTCAATAAAACAGCTAATAAACCCCCAAAACACACTCTGGATTACTGTAATTTCACATTTTCCTCAAAATTCCAAAGGACCTCCAAAAAACATAAAAAAATCTCAAAAATCCCAAATTTTCCTCTCAAATCCCTCAAAAATCCTCTTCAATCGCCTTCTCGTACCTGAATATACCCTTCGACATCAAAATCCCACAAATGTTCCACTCCGATATCAGCATAAAACCCGTATTTGCTTGCGAACTGGATGAATTTCTCGGTTTCGCGGCGGATTTTCTCTTCCGTCTCCGCATTTCGTGCCGCATTCTCGTGCAGGTAGATCAATTGGACGTGATAAAAGTTCGATATCGGCATTCGATCCCACACACTGAGAGTTTGCTGCAAATTCATCGCTTTTCACCTTAGCTGATCCAGTGGCAAAAAACGTACCATTTTGGATCCGGGAAGTATCAAAAATGTGGCAAAATACCTCCCTCTTCAAGTGAAAAAACTCCAATTTCAAAAGCCGCCCTTCAAAACGAAGTTTTTTCACTTGAAGAGGGAAGCATTTTGCCACATTTTTGATGCTTCCCGGATGCAAAATGGAAAGTTTTTTGCCACTGGATCAGGTCCGTCAGTGTATTTCATGCCTAAAAACAGAAAAAAAAAATTGAAAAAACTTACAACATCAAGGGTGTTTTCATCGGTTTTCGTGATGATTTCGAGGCGTTCTAGACCCAGTATCTTCTTCATCAGTTCTTCCAAGGATTCCAAATTTTTTATATTCATAAAAATCAAGTTTTCCTTTTCGAATCGGACACTTTCCTCTGTTTTCGCCTCAAAAACAGCAATATTCAATGAATTTTGGTCCAAATTCTCGGAAAATTTTGTAAACTCCTCTATGTCTTCGTATTTCACTACAAATTTGGCCATTCTGAACTCATTTCTCAAGTTTTTCAGCGATTTTTCCGCTGAATTTCTCCATTTTTGGCTTGTGTATAAGGTAATATTGTAGGGCACCCAGATGTCGTTCAACGTGGGATCTAGTGGCTGGAGAGCGGCTCTGTAGGGGAATGTGGTCAAGTACCATAAAAGTGGGATCACTACGAGCAGGGCGGGCAAATAGTAGAGGTAGAGGTTGGACTGGAGGGCGCGGAGATAATCGACTGGAAGCTCGTTGAGTTCCTAAAAATGGGAAAAAATATTGGTGAAATAGGAAGGAACTGGGATGATTGGGGAAAGGTACAAGACGGATCTGATCCAGTGGCAAAAATGTATCATTTTGCATCCGGGAAGCATCAAAAATGTGGCAAAATGCCTCCCTCTCCAAGTGAAAAAACTTCGTTTTGAAGGGCGCGCTTTTGAAATCTGAGTTTTTTCACTTGGAGAGGGAGGTATTTTGCCACATTTTTGATACTTCCCGGATGCATAATGGCACGTTTTTTGCCACTGGATCAGGACCCCCACTGGGACGATTGGGGAAACCGAAAAGTATTATTTTTCTTCGATGCAAGTGTCAAATTAGGATAATTGGGGGTGCTGATTTCGAAAATTACATTCATTTTTTTTTGATCCTTACTTTTTTCCTTAAATAGTACTGTAAAGTAGTAATTTTTTTGAATTTTTTATACTTGATTTGGAGTTTTGGTTCAAATCAAAAAAAAAATGAATAAGATTTTCAAAATCTGCACCATTTATTAACTTTTTTTCCTTAAGTAGTACTGTAAAGTATTAATTTGTTGAATTTTTTTCACAAATACTCAATTTGGGGGGTTTCGATGGTGCTGATTTTGAAAATCTTATTCATTTTTTCTGATTTGAAAGCAGCACCATCGGAAACCCCAAAATCGAGTATTCATGAAAAAAATTCAAAAAATTACTACTTTACAGTACTACCTAAGGAAAAAAGTAAACATCAAAAAAATGAATGTAATTTTCGAAATCAGCACCCTCCATTATCCTAATTTCACACTTTCATCGAAGAAAAATAATACTTTTCGGTTTCCCCAATGGTCCTTTTCCCCAATCGTCCAAAGAATAGGGAAGAAGACTCTTTTGGCTTACTTTATACTCAATTTCATTTCGAATTTCCGCGTCTTCCGATTCCAACAGCTTGTTTTTCACATAAAATTCGTAGTCCTTGATGGCTTCGGCATTATCACTTTCATCAGCGCTGTTTCCGCTTGTGCTGGTGTCTGATTCGGACATCTAGAAGTGTTTTTCTTCATTTTACACCACCTCCCGCAAAAATTTTTACCCAATTTTTTATTAAAATATAAAAAAATCAGCCATGATCATCACCTCTCCTATGGTTAATATACAGCTCAAAGCTCTGTTAGATATGCTTTTAAAGCCAAAACTTATCACTATAAAAGCTGTCCAAGCCATGCCAACAACTCTTATCATGTTTATTATCTAAAAATGCGACAAAAAAAAGATCTTGTACATACCAAGTGCAACATAAAAAAGTCGATGTAAACGCTTGAAAAGTCTGGCAAATGTCACGGTGAAGAGTGTATGGCAGTCTGAGATTGTTGATTACAGTACCGTAGACCTTGTGGGGGGTAAATACAGCTGGGAATATACAATAATTACATATATCATATGTGGGGAAAAGATAGGAAGGGCGGAAGGGTAATTAAAGCCTGCGGGTTCCTGAGTATCCATGTGTTGTGTGTAGAGTGTGCTGAAGATACTCTGCAGAGCCCTGCAGAGATTTGTGCTATAGTACACGTTTCAGCACTAGTTTTGGGCAACAAAACTGATGTCTCTAATGAGGACTTCGGTTCCACTTGATTTTCTGCTCGTAGATGTCGGTACGGAGGTCTTGGGCAAAGCATATCCCGAGGAACTAAACATCAAAGGAAAAAATAAAAAATTTTTTTTGACTTACTTGTAGTATACCAACAATAAATATCGCAACACCAACATACAGCATGTTGTTATTGAACCATAGCTGAAGTTTCGGCAAGCACCCATCAGTGTATATCTTATCATGCAGATTTCTCTTCTGAAACGACGAGAAATTATATTACACTAGGTCGTCTGATAGCAAAGCATCTATTATTTTGGCACAAAAACCGGACCACTTACTCCAACTCGAACCCTATGTCCACAAGCGTAGTTCTGCAGCTCTAAGCTATTCACACAACATGAGAAGGGAACCCCTCCGGCTTCTTCGCTCTTCAATGCTTTGGCTGATGAATTGAAATAAATATTCATATCCCAATCGTCCGGTTTGGTAATTCCACAGCACTTCCAGTCGGTTTGCATCCAATCAATGAGAGTTTGAAGGTCCGGATCGTCACGGTAGAGGATCACCATATCATCTAGTCGAGTCTTGAGTTCGGTCTCAATCCAATCCTTACTGACGAACCCAGTGACCGCAATTCCAACCTCCGCTAATAATAGGAGGCCCAATAGTGTAGAATATACCGTCAGACAGAAGGTGTTCTCACGGAGAGCTCCAATACAACCTAAAAAGAGCAAAAATTATATTGTACATAAGAGATGTAGAAGGATTTAGGAAAATTGATATTTCAAGGTGAATTTTAAGCAAATTTGGGTTGAATTTAACTTCAAAACAAAGCTAATTTCCTCCTTTAGCTCGTTATTGCCATCATTACCTTCCTAAAAACCAAAAAACATTTAAAAAAATATGATTTACCTGAGAAGCCAATAGCAAAAGTGAGTGTCCCAATTATAATCAACATGAGAGCTGGATCCAAGTAAAATTTGGACAGACGATTCAGCTGAGTGTAAGGGTTGTTCTTCTCAACTTGTGCCCAAACTCCAGCAGCGATCATGAGGAACCCGACAATCCAAAAAATCACATTAAACGAGAAGACCAGATATTTAACACAACATGAGACGCCTGATTGGCTTCTGTGCCCGTAATTGTGTGGCCGACGGATTCTCTGAAAGTAAATAGCATGAGCAAAGTGCTATGTAACTTTTCACACCAGAATATTGCGCTTTCCAATATATAATCGTCAATTTTATATTGTTTTCGACCTAAAAATGGAAGAAGAAAAATAAACCAAACCGAAAACGTACCGTTATCGACCGCTGATGTCGGCGGTTCTGTACTTGGTGCCGTGGTCCACCGGTGCTAGCACCCATCTGCAACAAATCGTATGAGTCCATCCGAAAAACTCGTGGATTCGATCAAATTTCTAGCGATTACTCATCGAGAAGACTGGACGCAAAGAGACGGGGATTATAAATATTATTCGGACTGCTACACTCGCAGCTTGTTAGAGATAGAGAAGAGGGGTTACCTGAAGTGAGATTAAGCGAGTTCTCGATGAAAACAATCGGCGGCAAAAACAATGGGATTCGGGTCATTTAAATCTCGGCGCATTTTCGCAACTGACCATCTGCTCAAACGCCCTGAGGGCATTTCGGTCCGGAATTGAAAACATAGAGAAAGGAAGAAGTGGGAATTTGTCAAATGAAGGGGAATTGAATAAAAAAGGTTGAAAAATCGACGAAAAATGGAGGGATAAGGTGCGGATATTACACTGGATAAAATCCAGTCTTTGATCAGAACAATTTTAGATCAAATTGCTACAAAATACAAGAATAGATCTATTGATAACTTTGCAAATTCACATTTGACCAAAAATCGACAAAATTTTCATGAATAATATCCGTATATTATTCATAGCAAAAATAGCAAATTTTGACCAAAACCCGCAGAAATTTGCAACAAGAAAGGCTGAAAGTTCTTTCTTCTTCCTTCTCCGACATTATTCAGCAGTCTCAACCCGCAATCTGAACCAAAAAATCCGCTTGCCGCTGAATAACAACATCAGAAAAACAAAGAGTTCCCAAGAACCCGAACAAAATCGCTTCGCCTCCAATAAAACTGTATTGTAAAAAAAAGACATAAAACGCGATAATTGCTGTAAAGTGAGTCATGGGACCAGAAGCGCTGCGCTTCGCATCAATTACGACCTTGAACATAGTTCGACTTCCAAGTTTGATGTGTAAGATGTGGGATTCGGAGGACGGAGAACTCGGTGGATAATTGAGTTAGGAGGTCCGTCCGAAACAATGGACATCGGGAGGAAAAGACGGACGAAAAAACTGCGCAATAACGGACTTGAAACGGAATGCCAAACAGAGCTTACGAAGAGCAAATTCAGCGGGAAATTCAAAACTAAACTTTCGGAAATTGCAAAAAATTCAAATTGCAGTCGAAACATAATTTAATTTGTTATTACTACTTGAAATTTCATGCATCTATCTCTTCAAATCTCTGCGGATTCGCGATTTCGACATCTGCACCTTATCCAAGGCAACTTTCTCCTGAAAAACCTCTTTTTCTCTAAAAAACCGATAAAATATTTACCTCAAAATGTATGTAGAGAAAAACAGGACCATCTACGACGTATTTCGCTCAACAAACGATTCAAAAATCACAGTTTTATAACATTTATTCACTCAAATTGCTAAAAAAAAATCCAAAAATGAATGTCTATTCAAAACAACGCATCATAACCGTATAAACTGAGATCCCGTTTGCTCTGAACTTGGTCAGCAGCTCATTTAGTTCCTCCTGCTTCTATTTATCATCAAATTTCTGGACAATTTCTCGTTTTTCAGCCAGATCTGTCCTCGCCTTCTCCCTCAGCCAGAAAATGGGGCAGTCCGAACTCACACAAACCACTTCATTCGTGAAGTCGCCCGCACAGTTTTGGCACTCCGTCCACAGTCGGGCAAACTTGTGTTCGGCTATTTTCAGCTGACTAATCTTTTCCGTGTAGATGTTGCCGATTTTCGGCTCACAATGTTTGCAAAGGGGCATTCCCGGCGTTGGGGTTGGGATGCTGGCCTTGCACGAGACGCAGGTCTCAACCTTCTTGAAGAACATCCCAATTCCACCCTTGGAGATGGCATGGGCTTTGACTCGGGCGTGGTCGCCTTCTGCAATTCGAAAAAATACTCTAAATTTCGAATCATCTCCAGACCTACTATAATATAAAAGTAATGGTAAAACGGTCGGAAAAGGATTAAAATTACATCCAAATGCCATGTAGCTCTCTTAAGAATCAGGAGGCTGAATTTTCAGACCAAAGAAACCCTCAAAACTACTCAAACTTCAACTCCATACCCAGTACAATATAAAAAATTTTTGTCTGTAAACTCGAGTAAAACATGCCAAAACTATTTTCCAACTAATTTTTATGACATTTTCAACTAATAAACTTCACTTTCAGATGCAAAAAAAAAACAAAAAATCCCTCAAAATCCATCTCCTCACCTACTACAATATAAAAATCTCTTTTTTAATCCCATCAAACTCACTCAACAAGATTTCCTTGGCTTTATTATTCGTGATGGGGTCCAACACTCTGCATAATGGGTTTAGCAATTGATTTTCCAGGTAGTATGTGGCATCAATTGGGATTTTATTTTCCAAAACGTATCTGGGGTCCTCGGCTTTTTCGTAGGCCGCCACCTTTTTTCCCTTGTCCACAATCACATATGGGATTCTGTCGCCGAGTTTGGGGGCCGATCCCGGGTCTCTTTGGCGCATTCGTTCGGCCAGGGTGACGTGGGCCGATCTGTTGTTGGATTTCTGGAAAAGGTTGGTCAAAAATGAAGAGGAACTGGGAGATTGGGGAAAAGGCCGATTGGGGAAACCGAAAAGTATTATTTTTCTTCAATGCAAGTGTCGAATTAGGACATTGGGAAAAAATGCGGTCGGAAAGGACCGGAATCATGTTTTATCGGCTTATTTTGTCTTCCGATTGCTGTCTAAATTTTTGTTTGGCATTTTTTTATGTTGATTTAGACTCTTTTTCTTTATTTCGGAGTTGGACGATTGGGGAAACCGAAAAGTATTATTTTTCTTCGATGCAAGTGTCGAAATTAGGATAGTCGAGGGTGCTGATTTCGAAAATGACATTCATTTTTTAAAATCTCTACTTTTTTCCTTGAGTAGTACTGTAAAGTAGTAATTTTTTGAAATTTTTTCATGGATACTCGATTTGGGGTTTTCGATGGTGCTGCTTTCAAATCAGAAAAAAAAATGAAAAACATTTTCGAAATCAGCACCATCGAAACCCCCCAAATCGAGTGGTATTTGTGAAAAAAAAATCAAAAAATGAATACTTTACAGTACAGTGAGGGACCTGATCCAGTGGCAAAAAACGTATCATTTTGCATCCGGGAAGTATTAAAAATGTGGCAAAAGGCCTCCCTTTCCAACCAAAAAAGCGCCCTTTCCCTCACAAAAAGGGCGCTTTTGAAATCGTTGTTTTTTTCACTTGGAGAGGGAGGTATTTTCTTGCATTTTTGATACTTCCCGGATGCAAAATGGTACGTTTTTGGCCAATATGGATCAGGTCCGCCACTGCACTACTCAAGGAAAAAAGTGAAAATCAAAAAAAAATTGAATGCCATTTTCGAAATCATCACCCTCGATTATCCTAATTTCGACACTTGCATCGACGAAAAATAATACTTTTTGGTTTCCCCAATCATCCAACTCCGAAGAAAAAGAGTCTAAATCAATATAAAGAAATGCCAAAAAAAAGTTGAAACAGCAATTGAAAGGAAAAATAAGCCGATGAAAAACACAATTCCAGTCGTTTCCGACCGCATTTTTTCCTGAAAATAACTTACTTCTCCGGTTTTTGTAAACTCTTTGGTAATAATCAAAAGTCCAAGATCAATTCTGTTGCAAAGCAAGTCCGAAATCACTCGTTTCGCGTGGTCCATGGCGGCTTCCGGGTCTCTGAAAAATTCGGCACATCGAATTACCGTATTCAAAACCAAAATTTCACATTTTTTTACCAATTCATCATGTGTAATATAAAAATTTTCATTCTTCTGCCAAAAAACCTCAACAAACATTCTCAACAGCAATAAAACCTCTTCAAAAGCGTCTAACTTCCTTACCGTTTCACCAGCAGCAGATCCAACACTGTATTCATCACTTTTCCGACCAATTGGCAGTTGTCTCTCCGGACATTTTCCAAGCCTTTCGCGTCAATTTTGTCGTACTTGTCTGGTCGAGTGTAGTAGAGGCCGACGTAGCGTTTCTTGTTCATCAACAAATATGGGCAATATACCTAAAATAAGGCCAAAAATTCAAACAAATACAAAAAAAACTTAACATGGAAAATACTTCTATGGGATACGGAGTTACAGGTCGAGACATGTATCAAAGAAATCGCAAAATTTTTCTGATTCAGAATATGTAAAAATCAGCTGCCCAATTTTGGTTTGTGAGGGCGAAAACCCCTTCAGAACTTTTCTCGCAACACCACGCAAATGCCTGTCTTTTTGGCCAAGTTTTTACCAATTCAGAAGCTTTCTTTGGAGCTAAAGTAAACCCAGACATCTTGACAAGTCTTAAAATATCAAATTTGATTAATACTACAACTTAATTAGTAGATCCAACGTAATAAAGAGGCATTTACGTAGTATTAATCAAATTTGATATTTTAAGACTTGTCAGGATGCCAGGATTTACTTTAGCTTCAAACAAAGCTTCTGATTTGGTAAAAGCTTGGTCAAAAAGGCATTTGCGTGGTGTTGCGAGAAAAGTTCAGAAGGGTTTTTCGCCCTTACAAGTCAAAATTGGGCAGCTAATTTTTACATATTCTAAATCAGAAAAATTTTGCAATTTTTTGATACATGTCATGACCTGTAACTTCATACCCCATCGAAGCACTTTCCTTATGAAATATTGTACAGATAAAATGGAGTTTTACTTTTTCAAATTCAAGCTTGATCGGGCTTGGAAATTTTTTAGAGATCAGTTCTGCCGCATGTTGTCCAAGCCTCATAGCTTCAGCAATCTCGGTGCAGCCAAATTCGACCATAACTGAGTCCGTGTCTCCGTAAATGACTTGAGCGTTCGCCGGGGCTCCATATTCTCCCTTTTTGTAAATTTCTAACAAGGAAAGTACTTCTATGGGGTGTGGAGTTACAGGTCGAGATATATATCAAAAAATTCGCAAAAATTTTCTGATTCAGAATATATAAAAATTAGCTGCCTAATTTTGGTCTGATGACATGTTTTTGTCCTCAGAAGTTTTCTCGCGACACCATGCAAGTGTCTTTTTGACCGTGTTTTTACCAATAAAAAATTTTTGTTTTGTGCTAAAATAAATTCTGAGGCCTTGACAAGCCTTAAAATATCAAATTAGATTACAACTACACCTTAGAAGTAGTTCCAATGTAAAAAATGGGTTCTAGTGTGGCAAAATTTCACCCTTACAAGCCAAAATTGGGCAGCTAATTTTTACATATTCTAAATCAGAAAAATTTTTGCGAATTTTTTGATATATATCTCGACCTGTAACTCCACACCCCATAGAAGTACTTTCCTTGTAAAAAAAAATAAAAATCAAAAAAAAAGAGAAAAACTCAATACAAAATTACCTCCAAAAAAACAACAAAAAGTAAAAAAAAATTAAAAAATAACAGTAATCCAAGCTAAAATTTGACGTCAATTTTTCCACAAATCACAAAAGTCGGCTTAAAAAATTTCCTATTTTACCTTCCACCGCATCCTTGGTGGTGTCGATCATCTGTCGGCCAAATGACGTCACCGATTGTGAGATCTCGACACATGGAAGTTTTCCGTTCGTCGCTCCGGTGAATCCGTAAACTGAGTTGGCCGAAATTTTCAGAGCCAGCTGACGTCCGTTCAGGACCATTTTCCTAAAATTGCAAAAAATAAAATTGGCTTTTCCGACAAAATTGCAAAAATAAAATTGGCTTTTCCGACAACACATCATTTTTCATTGCAAACAGACCATTTCTTGTCCAAAACCAAAGATTTTTTTTTACTAAAATTACCTTATTTTAGGTACTTTAACCAAAAAAATCTCGATTTTTTTAAATTTCTCAATTTTCTCTAAACCCCGCCCAAATACTGTAGATAGTCCATGTATCAATTACTAAAAAAATTTACTCTCGTTTTCCATTCACAGCCGAGATTTTTTGATTTTACACATTACACATGGTCAAAGAGAAATCATTTTTTTAAAATTTTTATAACAATCTATAAAAGAAATCACCGGCAAAAAGTTCAAAAGCTCGTATTTTACCTCTCAAAGCCTCCAATATCACACAATAATTTCCATTTCCCAAAAAAAATCAAAAAAAATTCTCCTTCCAAATCACCTTCTTCTTACTTCAACGGGTCCGTCGCTTCCTTCAGGTCCTTTTTGGCCTTCTTCCTTGCTCCCAACAGGTCCTCCAGGATCATTGGCAGCAATCCTTTGCACTGTTTCTTTGTGACAAACATATTGTTCGTCGGGGAGACTATATAATCTTCATCAATCTTAAAGTCGGCCGGGATGGGTTTTTGAATTAGCGTGGAATAGCACAGGTTGTGCGCGATCATAATCGACGGATACAGGGAGGCAAAGTCGAGCGTGGCGATTGGCTGATTGTAGAATCCTTCGATTGGGTCGAGGACAGTGGCTCCTTTGTAGCCGGCGTCATCGCCGCCGCCGGATTTATCGATCACGGGGATAAAATAACCGGTTGTTTTGGTCTGAAAAGTAGGTTTAATTAAATTTGAAGGGCCTATATAACGTTATCACCTCAAACTTCCGTCCAAAATTTACCAAAAACATCCGATTTTATTAGAAAATTGACAAAACTCACATGGATAATATATTTTTTTTACAAGGAAAGCACTTCAATGGGGTATGGAGTTACAGGTTGAGACATATATCAAAAAAATCGCAAAACTTTTCTGATTCAGAATATGTAAAAAAATAGCTGCCCAATTTTGGCTTGTAAGGGTGAAAAAATCCTCTGAACTTCTCTCGCAACACCACGCAAATGCCCTTTTGGCCAAGTTTTTACCAAATCAAAAGCTTTGTTTTGGGCTAAAGTAAATCCTGACATGTTGACAAGCCTTGAAATATCAAATTTGATTAACACTACCCGAATCAAATTTGAAATTTCAAGGCTTATCAAAGATGTCAGGATTTACTTTAGCTCCAAACAAATACCTTCTGAATTGGTAAAAACTTGGTCAAAAAGGCATCTGCGTGGTGTTGGAGGAAAATTCTGAAGATTTTTTCACCCTTACAAGCCAAAATTGGGCAGCTAATTTTTACATATTCTAAATCAGAAAAATTTTGCGATGTTTTGATACATGTCTCGACCTGTAACTCCATACCCCATAGAAGTACTTTCCTTGTAAAAAATTATATTATCCATGTGAGTTTTGTCAATTTTCTAATAAAATTGGATGTTTCGGTAAATTTTGGACCGAAGTTTGAGGTGATAACGTTATTTAGGTCCTTCAAGTTTTATAGAAGTATTTTCCTTGTAATATTTTATTCCGCAAACAAAAAACTTCTCATCTTTTAGCTTCATAGCAGTGTAGCAAATTTTCTGTCCACAATAGACTTCCATTTTCTCTATTATGATTATCGAATTTGCCAATTTTTCTCTAGGAAAGACCAGTAACACGTCATTTTTTCCATGTAAACGGCGTGTGTATCTACATCTTTCCAAATATAATGAGTTGTAATAACGTATTTTACCCTCTAATTTATTATTTACGTCCTAGAACAGCCAACTTCTCACCTTTCTCAGAAGTTGCGACAAAATTTTGACTTGTTGACCTCTTTCGATCAAAAAGTTGATCGGCACCCCGGTTACTCTGGCCATTTCAATGTAATTAATGATCAACATGAGCTTCTCCATCAACCTCAGAGGCAGATCTGCGTCTTTCAAGCAATACACCGCCAGTCTTCGACGATCTTGATCTGAGCCGTTCTAAAGTAATATACGGTAATATCTCGTCGCAGGATGGCTGTATTTTCTCGACATTGCGGCTAAACACAGAAAATGGAAGGAAAATAACTCACAAAAAGTCCGGTGATCATCTGATGGGCGACATCTTCCTTTTGTTCGCCTAGAAAGTGATAGCTCACATTGTTCAAGGTGTAACTCCGGAGCTTGTATTCCCGTTGAATCACCTGGAAAAAGGCTTGAAATTACATCATCTTCAATAGCTCGACCATTCCTGTCAATAAATTATCAATAACCCAAAAAAATCGACAAATTTTATATTGTACTTGCCTCCAGATGTAAAAAAATCTCATTTGAACCTCAATAAAACGACAAAACCCCCTCAAATGCTAACCACAATCCCGTGGCAACATGTTCTGCTCACCTGGAAAACATCAAAGACGATTCTCCCATCAATCGTTGTAATTTTATTAGTTCTTGTCCCCATTTGAGCTGACGACAGAGTTGCTTCGCGAACTTTTGAGATCTGATCCCGGACTCTTCCAAACTTTGACACATATTGTTCGACCTTCAATATCTTCGCCCGGTCCAAAACATACGGAATGTCAAAGTTTTGAACGTTGTAACCGGTCACAATATCCGGATCCACCGTCCGGAAGTAGTCCGAAAACCTAAAATAAGGTCATAGATCAAGCTTATCCGCATTTTTAATTGCTTAGAGGTTCGGAAAAGAAAATTTATACTCCAAAACTTACTTTTTCAACAGCTCTTCCTCGGTTTTACAACTAACAATTTCCCTTCCTTTCACAGGATTACAACCTCCAAGAACAAAACAAATCCTCGAAAAAGGCTCTGCAGCTCCCTCGGCTTTAGAGACACAGGCAATTTGGATCACTGGATCTTGTTTCGCTTCAGGAAAAATCCCGGGACGACCAGCAACTTCAATATCAAAAGACATTGTTCTTAGTGGAGCAATTCCATCCCATGGATCCTCTGGCGGATGAACAATCATGTTTTCAATTGATGTGGCTGCCTGAAAATTAAGGATTAAAGCTGGTCAAGTCGTATTTTACAATGAAAAACGTGCATTTTAGCTTGAACTTGCCTCAATTTGACATAAGGTCTCTTTCTTGCTGAGGTGAACAATTCTATATTTCTTGGCCAGAACTTGAATCCAACAGCAGCCAACCATATTCAGATCCGCCATAAATCGGGTTTCAAAGTCAATGTTGGCTTCGAAACAGGTTAAACTTGAATTCGTTGCTTGACAAAAGGCCGATCGACCTAGAACAATATAAATTGATAGCAAAACTTCTAGTTCGTGCTTCAAATTGAAATAACCCACATAATTACGGATCTAAAATCATAAGAAACAATATCAAAAGAAAACTTACAAGCAGTAATAACCTTCGGACTAATCACATTGATCTTCAACAAGGTCTGATCTTCTTTTTGGAAATGCATCAAGTTCTTTCCTCTGACTTCTTCCACACTCAAAACAAACTTTGTCACACCAGCAGGAGCGTATTGGCGACGTTGTGATTCGCCTAATTGCTGCAAAAAATTCCAACATCAGAAGACCCAACAAATTTTCGATCAAGGCATCGGCAGATGTCAAGAACAAAGAAAAAACCAAAATTAAAAGCAACTTGCCATTAACCTTTCGTTCAATGCGTTCACGTAGATACTCAGATTGGACGTCTTGTGATTCTTTGGGGCTTCCATGTAAAAATAGGGCACATACGTCTTGGCCGACAAACAAATTGACTGACCATCGGTAGTTGTTCCAAAAAGTCGAATTCTCACACCTTCCTCTTCTAAAAACCAAAATAATACACTTCAAAAAAACAGAATTACCTTGAATATAATCCACATCAATCATTTGAAAGGCCAAATCCATAGATTTATCTTCCAAAACCTCATTTGGCACCTTCGGCCGTGACCAGTGAGCTGACATGGTGAAGATGATGAGTCTTTACACTATGCACAGATGTGGAACGTTACGGAAGAGTGGAATTTGATGTTCAAGAAGATTGAGGAAAATTGTTTTCGGAAACAGCTTTTGGCGCGCTTTTAAAACAGAATGCCAAGAAAAATTGGCATTCTTTGTTTTCGTGGTGGGACGAAAATTAAATAGTAAAATTCATGTTGTTTAACAGATTGTTAAACACGCACTGCATTCTGAAACGTTGTTTAAGAATAAAATTTAAAAAAATATAGAGCATTATATGCCATTTTGAATCATTTTGTTTTTTAATGTCTAGTTCAATATAATGTGATGTATAAAATCAAAAATCAGCGTTTTTTTACTTTGATCTTTGATGTTTCTTGTTTTTCAAAGACTTCTTCGGCCTAACAATTTTCCATCCAGCACTTGTTCGCAATGAAACCCCCATAAATCAAGACAGATCGCTCAAGGGCAGGACATTGCATAATAGGGAAGAGAAAGCGACCTCAAGGTCGCTGAGGAGACTTTCCTCGTTTTTTTTTGCCCTCGAGAGGGTAGGGTGGCGCGGAAAAAAGGCCTTGCGGATTCTGGTTTATCCGAAAAATTGGGAAAAATCGAAAAAATGGAGCCAAGGTCGAAGGGTTTCGTCGTTTTCGCCCTCCTCGAGGCCGCCGACGGAAACCTCAATTCCACCGCGCCACGGGGGCCTTGATCTCTGTTGTGCACGGTAAGTGCAGCGGGTCAGGAGCTGGGGTGTGTGTTTACATTTGAAAATTTCGTATTTGTTTTTTGCTATAGGCCACAATAAACGACCTAACGACCGCCGAAAAGTCAACAAACACGCGCATCTGGCAGCTAAAAGGGTATCCGAAAACAACAACATCAGACAACCGTGGGTGATATAAAGAGCCGTTGTTGTTGGGATATTCAATCGCTTCTTTCGTTTTATTTTTTTTTTGCGAGTTCCGGGTCCGCGAGCTGTTTTTTTTTTTGATGATAATATTTGTACTGTAGTTCGCATTTTCTGGGATGAAACGCATTTATTTTTCGATTTTGAGGTTGTGCATGAGCCTGTTAGGGATAGTTTGTCGTTATTTTGCTAAATTCAACAACCCGATTTTCTAAAAAAATCCACTTTTTTGACAAGAAGCCCCCAGAAAACGCCCTTTTTTGGGGTTGCAGCCGCTCACAGCACATCGCTGATTTTATTTAAAAAAATTTGTCTCTTGAGTCTGTCATTGCCACTTATTAATTCTTAGAAATTTTTAGCTCTTGCTCTGCAGAGAACGTCGAGATTTTGAACAATCATTGTAGGCATGTCAAATTGTAACCAGGGCGGAGAAAAAATTAGTTTTTCTTAAGAAATAAGTTTCTTTCTATTATAATTGTAAAATTAACAAAATTTCGTAAAAGTTAATCGTCCCTACTGTACATTTCTCTCCAATTTTTTGTGGTTACGCGACTTTTTCCCATTTTTGCACCAGCGACGGGCATTTTTCCTCACGGCAACCCAAATTTTTGCGCGCGACATCAATGATAAATTTTCAAAACTTTTGACTCGAGTATCAGCCTGTCGGAAAAATAATGAGCATTCTATCGCATCAAAAATCGCCGAGAACATGAATTGTGTCGCGACAAAATTAAATTTCTTCTCACTTCAGCATGCGATTGGCTCACAAGGGAAGTCGTTCAGATCGCAAATGAGTTGAGCTACGGGACCGGTATATTCTGATTCTCCATATTCGAAAACGGTAAGAGCTGAAACAATTTTTCCGTCTGGGCCCTGGTTTTCGAGAAAATCGACCGTGAAGTTTGACCGGAAACCCCGCTAAATAGTCCTCGCTCCGAAAGACCTTTGGATCAAGAGCCAAATGGCCGAGGGCGAGTGAAAACGCTCTCAAAATTCTTTTGTCCGGGATGCCGGGGAAGGTTCGAGTCCCGCTAGGCTCACCCATGTTCAAAGAGCTTTGATATTGAAAATGATTAAAAATAAAAAATTTTTGGTTTTTTTTGGTGAAGTGTACCCCAAGAATTTCAGATAAAATAGTTTTTTAGGAATAAACACCAGAAATATGCCTATTTGACATGCATTTCAATATTTTATCCAAAGTATGTAAAAGAAAAAATAACTTTGTTTGCTTTGCAACCATTATGAATTAGGGTTTGCTCCTAGCAGGACTCGAACCTTCCCCGGCATCCCGGGCAAAAGAGTTTTGAGAGCGTTTTCACTCGCTCTCCGCCATTTGGGTCTTGATCCAAAGGTCTTTCGGAGCGAGGACTATTTAGCGGGGCTTTTTCCGGTCAAACTTTACGGTCGATTTTCTCGAAAACCAGAGCCCAGACGGAAAAATTGTTTCAGCTCTTACCGTTTTCGAATATGGAGAATCAGAATATACCGGTCCCGTAGCTCAACTCATTTGCGATCTGAACGACTTCCCTTGTCAGCGACATTCTGTCATTATTTTCTCGACAGACTGATGAAATAATATCAAAATTTTCCGTTGATTTTTTTGTATGAAAGTCGATCATACAGAAGCCCTTAATTTCCCAACTTATTTTTACCTCGCTACTTTAACCCTTCCCAAACTCCCAAAGTTCCTTTCAAGAATCTCAAAAACAGCTCTCTGAAGCCGGTCTGCTGTCTTAGCTAATTGCACTTTTTGCGAATGACCTTTATTGTTCTCATACACTTGGCAGTGTAGGGAGGGCCCGTTCCTCCACTTTGCCCCCCTTTTTTCGGATCAGACGCGAAATTTCGAACGACTGTTTGTTTACAGACGTGAGAGCGCAAAGCCCGGAGGCAAAGTAAAATTTTTTTTTGTGTTCATTGTGATTGGGCCACGGGCGATCGTTTCAAGCACGCTGTTCGGGTTGTTTCGCGAAATTTGAGGTCGGAGTTGAAGTTTATTGACGCAGATGACTAATATATTGTTATAGTGGGAATGGGGTTGTAATTTGGGGGTCGGATTTTGAGTTATAGAGGTTTTGGGAGGAATTGGCATTTATTTGGATGCTGAATAATTTTTTTTTGATTTTTTGTTGGAAATTGAATAGATTTTTGACTATCAATCTGTCAGTAAAATATCAGTCTGTCGGAAAAATAACGGCGGATTGTCGCAGCAAAATTTCACGCCTCGTCGAAAAAGTCGAGTGCCAAATTTTTAGCCTCGGCAGTCGTCGCAAAGCGATGATGAGCGATTTCAACGCGACAACACGTCGTTATTTTCCAGACAGACTGAGAGGCTTACGAAAAAGTCTTGATATGTTTTCGCACTGTGCAGACATGTGAAGACTTTTTAGCCCGCCTAGAAATAGGGAAAAACGAAAAAATCGCATTTTGGCTGACAGCAATCCCGATTTTCAAAAATTTCTCAATGTAGGACACTTCAATAGCCTTCAAATTTTACTTGTTTAATTTACTTGTAGTGGATGTCAGCTTGTAAAAATTTTACCTTCCGATGTTCAAGAGAAGCCAAGATATTCAACAATCAAGTTGGATGAGAGACTATAGAAAATGAAGAGACGGTCAGAGAAAAGTATAATTTTACTATGGTTTCTTTAGTTTTTGGGAGTAAAAACACAATTTTCAGTTGGAAAATTGCATTCTACAGGGCTCAAAAAAGCTCTCGATTATATAAGAAAAAAAAATTGAATTTTCAACAATTTTTAGCCCGAAAACATTAGTATTTACAGCAAAGCGAGAGCTAAAAATCTTGCATATGCTCTTGAGGCTTGTAATTTCATTTTTTTGCCTGGTTTCATCAACATCTAAGCGCTGCACTTTGAGAATTTCATTCTTTTAGCTTGAAAATTACCTAAAGTCAATTTTCATTCAACACTAATCCATCACATGGCTGATACTGCCTTTGCAGACCTTTTTCAAGCCCTTCTTTTCACTTTAATCCAGGGTATCCCTTTCATTTCCCCAAAAAATCGCCTTCAACCGAAAGTCAGCAGCGGCATGAGCGGCGCAATAAAAGGGCGACAAATTTTGCTCATACCGGAAAAACTGATGGGCAGCGAGGGATGATGAAAGGGCCAAGAGGATCCATTTGCCTCCAAATTTACATAAAACAAAGACTTTGAAGATTTGCCGGCTTGCGGAGCGGATAATGGGACTTTTACGGAGTTTTGAGTGAGAATTAGGTGAAGAGATGTTGGAGAGCGGCTTGTCGCTTGGGATTTGATGAGTGAGGAAGGAATTGCAGCAATTTCAAATGAAGTTGAAGTGAACATATGATATAGTGGCTGGTGATTTCTACGGCTTTATGTGAAACTTTAGCTCCTTACGTTGCAAAAAATCATCAATATTGACACCTCAAAAGATGGGCAAGAGAGCCGCTGAATATCTCGGGTGCCACTGAAAGGTTTCTGCTCATATTTTCAGAGATTGATGTGTGGAAAATTCAGATTACCTATGAAAAATTTGAATAAAATCTCAACATTGAACTTTGAGAAATTCTAACAGCTATATCTACCAACTCTTTTGGGCTGCGTCTTTTTCATTTCCGGGTGGAAAAGATTATGATTTTCTTTGCCGAAACATTTTTTACTGCGGTTGAAAGAGTTGTCATCTTATTGTCATCTTATCAGTCTGTCGGGAAAATAATGATCACAACATCGCATTAAGAAACACATCGCTGAAAATTAACTTTTTCGGAACAAAATCATTTTTCTTTTCACTTCAGCGACGGCACATCGACATTGGTCATTATTTTCCCGACAGACCGGCATTCTTTGCCATGCCATTTTATGCCTCATCAAGACTCTGTTCAAACTCCTATTAGGCATTAAGTACCTGCGTTGTCTCGATCATGGCTTGACCTACATTTTTATTATCTCCCCGAGTGCCGTTTTTTTGCGCCGCGCACAAACAATGCCGGGGTCCCAGAGGTCGGGTTGGAGGTCCCGATTTGGATGGTCAGTGTTTGCGGAGTCTGTGGGGGTCACTCGAGGGGCCAAGCGAGGAGAAAACGGCGCGCAGGAAGTGATCTTTAGGCACTCGCCGC